TTTGTTGAATAAGAAGAATAAAATTATGGGGCTTTTAAATATATTTATGAATAATCTGATGAATTAGAAATGCTTTAAAAATAAAATAAATTATTATTAATAGAAAAATAAGAATTAGAAAATAGAGATTAAAAAATTATGGCAGATTAAAAATATAAATAGAAATTATAATTTGAAGAAAAACTAGTAAAAATCAAAGCAAAATAAGAGAAATTATAAGAGAAATTATATGAAATATCTAAGATTCTTAAAGAGTTAATGATTAGTATTCCAATTATGTTTGAACGTATTGGCTGCAATTTAAAGGAATACAGTTAATTATTAGGACCTAAATTTGTAAATTTAAATTTCTATATAATAAGAGTTTTAAAGAAATGGATGAAGATAAACTATTAAAAGTATTGGGTGTTATTGAAATAAGAACGAATGATATATTATAAATGCAAGATATTGCTTAAAATCCTCGTCATAATTTTATGAAGAAAGATGTATAAATTATTATTAAATTAGGCTAAACAATCTAATTTTATTAAAATAGATGATGGAAATAATTAAGGAGATAATCCAAATGATGAATTATTACAAAGAATACGTAATAATCTAATCTGATTTATATTAGTTGATAAATTTAAGGATACTGAACTTTCAGAATAGTAATTTTCTAAAGCTCAACTTAGAGATATAGCAGAAAAACATATAAGAGCAGGTACTGGAAAGAAAAAAAGAAATTGATTCAAATTTATAATTTTTAATAGTAACTCATCATTAATCATGTTATTAATTAATTTTATGTCATTTTTTTCTAATTTTAATTCATTTCTGTAGCTCCAATAACTTAATATAAATTATTTCCATTTTCAAATATTTTAATCTATAAAATTCTATCTATTTTCTATTATTATAATTATGATAATACCTTTCTACATAAATAACATTCATCTTTATTTTTCCACATATCTAAAGCACAATGATAACATACACCGCCATGACCACATTACATAAATAAAGCATCTGGATTATTATCATAACAAACACAACATTAATTAATAGATGATAATGATATAGATCTTGGTTAATTTTTCTATAAATTAAAAAATTTTTTAATACATTTTATTTATATTATTAAATGGAAGTTCCTTTCAATTCATCTAAATTTTCTTATTCATTAAATTTTAGAACCATTGTTGATGCAAGTTTTAACCTATCATCATTTTATTCAATTGGCTTTTAGATATGAGATGATAAAGCTTTATGATGAGTTGGCTTTTTATTTTATTCTTAGATTTTAGAATCAATTTTATTTTCAGAATTCAGATCATCAAATCCAAAATAAGTTTTAGAAATTCTTTTTACTACTTTTGGAATTTGCATTTATGCTTCTGAATTTTGACTCTCTGTATAATCTTATTTATTAAATTGCTGTATTTAGGCTTCTGCTTATTGAGTAATAATAGTTTGGAGTGGATTAACAGAATCATTAAGAGATAAGAACATTTTTAAAGCTAAAATTAATTCTGGCTTAAATTTGGCATTAAAATAAGAGAACAGTATTTAGTTAGTAATAAAAATTATTCTACTTACTTCAATAGCTTCTTCATAATTTCTTTAATTATTAAAATTTAACACAGATATTGGTATGAGAAAGAACATTGATGAACAAGATATCATAAATAATAATATCCATACATTTGTTATTACTAATTATAATATATAATAATAAACCCAAGTTTCTTTGATAATTGTTCTATTCTAAAATAACTTGAATACCTAAGGCCAATACAACAAAAATGTAATATATAATAATTGATGCTGACAGACTAAATAATAGCCAAAGCATCCATAAAGTGTATAACCAGTCAATATCTAAATATCCATCTATTTTTAAACTGAAAAATATAGATATTAGCAAAATACAAATATTTCTTAATACATTAAACAAATTAATTTATTGTACTGATTCTTTAAATTACTATTTTCCCTCATTAAACTTAACTATCAATGAAAGACAGATATTAATAAGAGGGAAAATATTTGAAAATAGCAATAACTCACTTTTTCTATTGATAATATATATATTTAGTGATAGTACATAACATACTTCAATAAAAAGTTAGAATAATCTAATTAAGGCGTGATTGTACTATCTTTAATATAATAATATATAATATGATCTTACACATTAATTTTAGCAAATGTCCTATAAAAGTAAGCTTGATGGAGAATTTAGAAGAATAATTTTGAATCTAAGCAAAATATCACACTTAACATATTTCCTTCATAAGCAAGTTCAAAGCATAAAATCAATACTGTAATTACATAGATAGAATTTGAAAGCAAAGTATAACTCAATAATTCAAAGGCTTATTCTTATCTAAATCTTTCATAAATTTAATGCTTACTACATAGCTCCATTTTGTTGAATGTTATCTGTTATTTATTAATTCTAGGAATTATTTGAATCTCTTCTCATATATAAAAAAGATAAAATTGAGATTAATTGTTTAATAATTTAATGAAAATATAGATTTCTTTTGAAAACTGAAAAATTATTATCATTTGATAAATTTCAGTTATCTTAATTACGAATTGTTTTCTATAATATTTTTGATAATTCATCTAATTTTTAATAATAATCATGTTTAATTTTGAAAAAGATAAAACTAAAATATATCCTCAATAATTAGTTTAAGTTGATTATCAGATTCTAAATATTTGATTTAATATTATATAATATCAATATAAAATTATTATTAAGAATTAATAAAAATATAAATCAAATAATTTTTTTCGTTTAATCTAATTTAGTTATAGATTTGCTTAAATTCTAATATCTATTTTCAATTTAGAATGGTTATTCAGTATTTTATCGAAATTATCTAAATCTAACACTTTTAGATCTCAATTCTTTATCTACATTTTATATATTAAGTTATGTTTCACTAATATTCTTTTTTAATTAAGATATTGATCTCTATCTTAAGGAATTCAATTCTTATATATGTTATTCTTTTGTCTTCATAATCATTACAGATCTTCCTTATATAATAAAATAATAATACTTGCATTTGTCATTCTTACACTATTTGATCTATTATACCATTTTTTTGAGGATTTTAATTTATTTCTAAACTTTTAAAGTGAAAAAACTTCTGGATGTTAGAAAATAATCTTTTTTAATTTTTATAATGGTCCTAATTTTGCTCCTGGTTTTTCAAAAGACAATAATGAATTATCAAGATCATTTTATTTAGTTTATGTTTGATTAGGTTTAGCATTTAAATTATCAACATGTATTTATTTATTAATTACTCTCATTTGTAAATCTTATTTAGTTATTACTTCTTATTTTGATTTTAATTTAACAGGTAATACGAATTTTGAAAATTATGTTTTAAATCTTAAAAGCTTTTTATAGAAATCACTTTCCTTTTATTATAATTTCTCTTTACTTAGTAATTACAACAATTAAGTTTCTTTACATCTAAGAAATAAACGAGATAATTTACTAGATGTCATCTATCATTATTTTATTTTCTATCATCTTCTTAATCATTTTATCCAAAAAAGAAGTAGTAGGCTTAGCATTGGTTTAAGATTAAGGTTAAATCTATTAAATTTAGTTTTATATTTTTTTATCAGAAAAACTATTTGAAAATTAAGAAAGTGATCCTCGAAAAGATTTAGATCCATGAATTGATGTATTATCTTTTTTTGGTAATCTTAATGTATTACTAGATAATCTTGTATCAATTGAACTGAAGTTCTCATTATTAATTTCAATAAAAGCAAGTTCTGAATTATGAGCTAGTTTAATTTATGCATTTGGTCTACAATAGAAATATTCTGGTTATGAGATATTATCCTTATTATTTTAATTATAGTAATAATTGATTGTTTATTTTTAATTTTAAAGTTCTTATTATTATGCATTGTTTTGTTCAAATAGATTTTTTATTCTAGGCATTCCAATATCTTCATTAAGATAAATTTATTCTAAAATTTGATTGAATATAATGTTTTCTTTATTTTTAGCAAAAGTTATTGCCTAAATATTTTAAACATAAATTGATAATTCATCAGTTGATATTAAATAATGGTAACTTAACCATTTTAATACACCCATGATGTCTTAACATTTTTCAAATTTAAATTTTGATTAATAATAATATATTGATTGAATCCAAAACCAAATGAGAGGTTTCAATAATTTTGAAAATTTCCATTTGCATTTTAATTTACTTTTAAAATCAGTTTATGCATCAGTTTATTATACTAAAAATATTAAATATTTTAAAGCTTCTGAATGATTTACTTCATCAATTATTTAAGAACATTAATCATCTTTTGATTCAAAATATCTATTTAATAAATTAATAGAAGATAAAATATATTAACATAATTTAGAAACTCTTTTTCCTTTACTTTACATTATTATTTTACTAACATCATAGGATAAAATAGCAAATTTTAACTTTTCATTAGGTTTTATTTCAGGATAATAACTTTATAATCTATAAGCTATCATAATACTTTTCAAATATGTTTCAAATTCTTAAGTTAATTAAAAAGGAATAGTAATTTAATCCAATTTTAGTTATCCACTGGTATTTATAATTTAAATTTATTATTCTAATTAATCCTTAAAAATGGAATTTCTTAATTGTTCTCTAATTCTTTGTTTAGGATCTGCAGTAGCTAATTCTAAATTAGAAGTAATCTTAGATATAAGAATTGGATATATTTCAATATATTTAGTAAGTTTTTATTTCCATACTTTGATGTCAATTAAGTTTTTTTTGGACATATCTTTGAGTATTGATTTCTTAAATATTTTATTTAAGGCCATTAGCAATATATTTAAAAAATGAATTCTATCATTTAAATGAATCTAATTGGTATGATCGTAACGATCTAAAAATTTGGATAATAACGAGTAAACTTTTTTATATTTTTTTAATTATGATACTGTTAATACTTTTCCATAGAGCTAAATGACTTATTTATTGATATTTTCGAATTAGTTTTGTACAGACTATAATTGAGTTGGATTAAGAAATAAAACTTATTCATAATTATCCATTTTGATAATAATAATAATAATAATAAATAAAATCAACTTAAATTATATGAGATAGCTTGTTATTGTAAAGATTTCAAAACTAAATTTTCATAATCTTCTAAAGTAACTTTTCCATCTCCATCAGAATCAGTCATTTGTATCCAACTTCTCACATCATCAGGTGTTGGTTCATATTTCATACCTAAATAAGTATATAATACATACCCATTTATCTATAAGTTTCTCTAATAATTTCATATACTTCATCTTCTGTAATATAACCTGATCCATCAGCATCTAATTTTTTGAATAATGTTCTAGCTACTTATAAACGTTCTTCTATATAATTAGGTTATCTAAAATGTTTTAAATAAATACTCTTACTTATTCACTGATTATTATTGTTTAAATTGATATGAAGTTCCACAAAACTTTTTTAAACAATATTATTCAATATCCTACAAAGTTAATCTATTTTAAGCAGTCTCTAATAGAGATTATAAAGATTATATATTTACTGTTAATAGCTTTCATAAATCCATTAGTTTCATTAACTTTAGGTTTTGTGATAAAATTTTAAGATCGATATGCATCTGTAAACATTGATCCAATATCTACTACATCAATGTATCCTTTATTACTAACTATTTAGATCATTAAAAGTATTTTATACGATCATAAGTTGAGAAGATCTTTCGAGCAAGCATTCTACATCCATCTGCATCTAAGATTCCACCATATGGTGTAGAAGGCATATTATAAGGATTTGTCATACTATTCAGAGTATTCATAATTAACGAACTATTTATGTTATTTTATTAATAATTTAAATAAATACTCTTATATATAAACTTTAGATATATATTATTCATAAATCTTCTATTTGAGGTGGTAAACTATTTAATGTTTTAATATATGCCAATAATAAAATAAGTAAAAATATACAAATAACTAATGAAGTGTTTTTTAAAATAGTTTTAGAGTTCTATATAATTTGAGATAATCGTTAAGGTTTTTATTTATTCTATTACTCTATTTTAACTTATTATAAATGCTACGAATCATTTATTTAATCTTTTTATGGAGATTAAGATTTAGATTTTATTATTTAATCTCCTAATGAATGATCACTTTTTAAAATAAATGAATTGTCATTAATGAATTAATTCATTTTATCTGCTTACTATTTACGCTTATTCTCTTCTTCAAATTATTTAAGAACTTTAGGAAATGAATAAACTGATTTAATTTTATTTGTTGCTTTCTTAAATGTTTTTATTACATTCATGGATTTAATCATTTTTTCTGATATTGAAATACTTTATTGCATTGTTTTATCTTCATCATCTTCTACTATTTCATATGTTATTGGGATTCCATCACCAGATTATTTAAATATGTTTAAAATTTCTTTAGTTGGAAAAAAATAAACCTTTTATTCTATTGTTATTTCTTCTCCATTAAAACATTCTGTTTTATTTTTTTTTTAATTCAACTAAACTAATTTTAGTAATGGTAACAAACTATCCATTTATTTATATTGTCTTTAATATGATCCTTTTTATTCTTCTGTAGTACTTATTTTAAATTGGTGATATTATTTATAATGATCTTTTCTTTAATCACTTTTATTTAACTTTAAGATCAATTTTTTGCATCTACTAGGACTAGAATAAGATGGTTGAGACTTTTATGATGAAATTGATTCCAACATAGGATTTGGTAATTCATCATCCTCTTCTGTTACTTAATATTTAGGAATTGGAGTAACAATAATTTAAGGTTTTGTTGAACTTTTCATTAATCAATAATTTATATTAAATAATATTATTATTAGTATAAAAATCATTTATTAGATAATAATCATACAAATTAATATAATCATTATGAATCAATTTCTTATTATGAATTGAATGAAATATCTATATCATAAATAAGACAAAATAAAATTATTTAATTAAAAGAATAATTATGGATAATTTGTAATTAACTAGTTTCAAAGAATAAACCACTATTGTTTTGATGCCTTATCATCTTAAAAATATATCAAAATCTATTTAAAATCTTATTCCAAAGATGATTTTTACATGCAGAATACATAATTCAATTCCTGTAATTTTGTTATTAATTTAGAGCATTGTAATTGCTGTTAAGAAAGTTAACATAGTATCTGAATATCTTGAAACATTTGATGATTAACCATAAATGTTTATTGATATTGAATATACAGTAACATTATTGTAATTACACTCAGGTTAATATATAATATATAATTATTAGGATCTTTAGTAAAAGGAAGATTGGTTCAATAATTTAAATCACATATGATTGTTCAAATCTTTAATATTTTTAATGTTTTAATACCAGAAGATGAAATAAATGAAAAGTCATTTATTTGGAATGAAAATTTCAATGCTTTTATGAATAGTATTTTATCTATATAATAAACTTAGAGTAAAATGAGATATTAGAAAATCATATAGAATTATAAATTAAAATCACAGAAGTTATTTTAAATGAAGCTGATTAAAAAGAATTTCAAATTAAAGGTTCCTTAAAAGAAAGAAAATAAACAGGATAAATAGAGTATCTTGAAAATTCTATTGGCGATTAAACAAAAATTGAAGGAATTATAGCAAAATCCCTTGATTGTATAAATTGATATCTAAATTTAATTCTGTTGTTCACATTTAATTTGTTATTTATAAAATTGATACATAAATAAAATGATAGAACTATATTTAAAAATACTTAATTATCCATAAATTTTATATGGGGGAAATAAATGTTAAAAAAGTGAGATTAAATAATAAAATATTTATAAGATTTTTATTTAAGTAATCAAAAGTATTTTTTTATTATAGAAAAATAATAAAAAAAAGATCATTGAAAATTAAGGATATCTTCGTCTTCTGGGTCTGGACCAATAATTTTCCTTTTATTAGAATTATATTAACTACTCAAAAATTTCAGAATCTAAATTCTATTTAGAAGATTGTGCATTTAATTCATCTTTTACAAAATTGAATTGCATAACACTTCTTCCAATTTAAATTTCTATTCCATTCAATTCATATATTAATGGTATCACTTTTTATTAAATTAATATCAATGATCCAAATTTTGATTTATTATCAATTAAATATAGTTTTCCATCATTTAATTTTAGTATTCCATGATTTCTACTTACAGAAATATCATTTATTCTTATTTCCATTTCATTTGCTCTTCCAATCTATAATTAATTTGTTTTAATAGATTTATCATCACTTTTATTATCAAAAGTAATTATGTAGACTCCTTTACATTATGCCCAAGTTGAATCTTAAATTTTATTATCAATTCTCAAATCCTTAATGATATATAAAATATTTACTTAACGATTCTGAATGATTTCCATCAACACATAAGGTTAATCTACAGGTATACTCAACTCAATCAAATCAAAATATTTTTCATCACTTTTAAAAATTGGTGGATAATTAAACTTACATATTTCACATTCTAAATTTTTCCACATATAGATTATACAATTATTACTGAATTTAGTTTAGAATTTCAATTTTAACCACTTCTTTAAACAATTAAGATGGATATATTTGATAGATCCAGTACATTTACAAGGGTTTATTAAAGGATTCTATATACTATCTGAACTACTACAACATACTCTACATAAAATATTATCAGATTGGCTAGATCTAAATGAATCTAAATCACATCTAAGAGTTATTAATAAATTAATAATATACAATAATTTTCTTTTATTTAATTGAATTTCTCTAATTTTAAATTTAACTCTTCCAAATTTTAATATATCCCCTTATTTTAATTTTATTCCAGGATTACTAAACTTTTATTAGATTGATCTAACTACTAACCATAATTTACTACCCTTCTCTAATAATTTAGTGTTTGTTTTTTAACTTTGACTCAACCTTTAATATTATTAACCTATTTTATATATTAATTCCTATGACTAATCAAATTCTTCCCCTTCAAACTAAGCCAAGTTCTCAAATTATTGAAATTCTCTATTGTCTCCAATGTTCTTGGTTGTAAGCTCTTACTTATCATCCTCTAAGTGCTATTTACATTCTCCCTTTTGATTTATTATTGTAAAAACTCCATCTATTTTTTCTATTCTAAAAAGTATTTAATCTTATTTAATCACACATTTATTCCAGTCAACATCTTCATCTATCCATTACAATTCATTATTGTTTTTTATAATATAGCCTCCTTATCTTATCTTATTAATATAAATATACATACCTTAATGGTTTATTCCTTTAAATCATTTTAATTCTCATAATCAAATAAAGAAAAAGATTCTTGTCTCCAAGTTTTTNATAATTAATTTGTTTTAATAGATTTATCATCACTTTTATTATCAAAAGTAATTATGTAGACTCCTTTACATTATGCCCAAGTTGAATCTTAAATTTTATTATCAATTCTCAAATCCTTAATGATATATAAAATATTTACTTAACGATTCTGAATGATTTCCATCAACACATAAGGTTAATCTACAGGTATACTCAACTCAATCAAATCAAAATATTTTTCATCACTTTTAAAAATTGGTGGATAATTAAACTTACATATTTCACATTCTAAATTTTTCCACATATAGATTATACAATTATTACTGAATTTAGTTTAGAATTTCAATTTTAACCACTTCTTTAAACAATTAAGATGGATATATTTGATAGATCCAGTACATTTACAAGGGTTTATTAAAGGATTCTATATACTATCTGAACTACTACAACATACTCTACATAAAATATTATCAGATTGGCTAGATCTAAATGAATCTAAATCACATCTAAGAGTTATTAATAAATTAATAATATACAATAATTTTCTTTTATTTAATTGAATTTCTCTAATTTTAAATTTAACTCTTCCAAATTTTAATATATCCCCTTATTTTAATTTTATTCCAGGATTACTAAACTTTTATTAGATTGATCTAACTACTAACCATAATTTACTACCCTTCTCTAATAATTTAGTGTTTGTTTTTTAACTTTGACTCAACCTTTAATATTATTAACCTATTTTATATATTAATTCCTATGACTAATCAAATTCTTCCCCTTCAAACTAAGCCAAGTTCTCAAATTATTGAAATTCTCTATTGTCTCCAATGTTCTTGGTTGTAAGCTCTTACTTATCATCCTCTAAGTGCTATTTACATTCTCCCTTTTGATTTATTATTGTAAAAACTCCATCTATTTTTTCTATTCTAAAAAGTATTTAATCTTATTTAATCACACATTTATTCCAGTCAACATCTTCATCTATCCATTACAATTCATTATTGTTTTTTATAATATAGCCTCCTTATCTTATCTTATTAATATAAATATACATACCTTAATGGTTTATTCCTTTAAATCATTTTAATTCTCATAATCAAATAAAGAAAAAGATTCTTGTCTCCAAGTTTTTATTTTAATGGACAATTCCTTCATACTATCCTATCTCCTTTTAATATTTATGATTGTTTCTTAAAGATTATTATTGCAAGATTCTTATTCTGAATCAAAATATTTTCTACATTAACAATTGCCCATTTTATTCAATATATTTAGCAAAAAAAAATTAATAATTTTCAAACAAATAGCAAATCAATTACATTCAGATTAAACTAATTACAAATAAGTAAAGAAATAATAATAAAAGCAAAATATTCTCATTATCTAAAGATTATCCAGATTTAAGTTCAATAAATTTAATTTCAACAATCTGATTTATTTGTAAATATATTTTATATATTCTCAATTTAAATTATCTACTCTATCTCATTTATGAAAATAAGAATAAAATAAGTAATTAATATAATAATTTATAATGAACTTATATAATTTTTAACATTTTATTTTAAAATTAAATATGGCGATAATGTTATTTAAGTCTTATTTAAAATAATGAAGAAATACTATTTTTAAATTGTTATATTATATTTGATGCAATATTAGTATTATTTTTAAAAAAACAAACCAAAATATAAATCTTTTTAGAACTATTAATTTAGAAAGTTACTGGTTTTTGTACTTTGGAAAATGAATACCAAGCCCTTCATAATTTGAAGATTTGATGTTTAAATCAATACTTTTAATATGTGACATAATTAATAAGGAAACTTTAGCTATAGTAATTTCAGCCTCGATTACTTTGCAATATAGATGCAGAAATTTAATTTTAATAGGTAGTACAAATTAATAAGCTGCTATTATATCAGTTCTATCTGTGAACAATAATAATATGATTAAAGCTTATATGAAAGATGTGGTATTTATAAAATATCATGCAATAATATATTAAGAAGTCTGATCAACCATATCATTTAATAAGACTTATGCTATAGGGAAAAAACAGATGATATATCTTAATGGTTTTAATTATTCGATTAAGACCCTCTTGTATATACTATTATAAATGAAATAATTTATATTAGAAAAGTTAAATCTGGGTAAGAAAAACTATGAAATATATTTATTTGGTTAAATTTAAGAACACTCAAAAAATTGTAATTAATTTTTCATAACCTTTCCAAACTAGTGCTAATAAATTCTGTAAAAATTGTGGAACTTTTTTATTTTCAACTAAGTTTTTTTTATACCAATCTCTGATGCTAGATTGAGCTATCATCATTTTTTCATTGCATTTAGTTTTCAATAAAATATTTTAGAATATAAAAATACCTAAAAAAATTGATGTTTTTCTTATAAAAACTCCAATCACTGAATAGAAAAATAAGTATATTTCTATCTTTTATTTTGTTATTAAGATCTCATCTCGATTGTCTACTATATATTATGCAAATCTTAATGTAAATCCTTCATCTTAGCCTAATTAATTCCATAATTCAGCAGCTCCTACTAAAAAGTGTAATGCAATTGGTAATTAAAATACAAAATTATCTATAGCAAATAAAGATATCATATAAAAGATATTGGTTGCAAATTCATATTTTAGAAATTAAGCAAAATATTCTTGATATTATCCTTTTTTAGGAATTCCCTTTAGTCTTTTAAGAGCCATTAAGCAAATAATAACACTACCTAAATTAACATACTTGTGTAATTCTGGTTTTTGGAGGAATAATAGTGCTGGAAAATATAATACTTTTAAAACTCCTTCGATCACATATGAAATTGGTAATTGAGGTGATTATCTTTAAAAATTTTATTTTTATTATGATTATTATTATTATTACTATTATTATTATTATTACTATTATTACTACTATTAATTTTATTATTATTCCTATTTTTTAGTTTCCTCTTGTTTTTGAGATTATTATTTATCATTTACATCAAAATTTGGGTCAATGCATTTCTTATACCAATTACGTTTATATTTTTCTACGTTGGTAGGTGTAGGAAAAATGTTTGAAAAATATTGCTGAAATTCTTTGTTTCCTTCAAAATCAAATTTACTATAAGCTTCCATAATTAAAAATAAATTATATGATTAATTAAGATAAAATTGGATTTATATTATCGATTGACAAAGATTGGTAAAATATTGTAGAAAAATGTTAAAACATTGATAATAACATCAAAAATATGCAAACAAGATTAACATTTACAATAGGTCAAATAAATAAGGAAATTGGGAATAGACATATAATACCTGCATTTTAAGTTGAAGAAGAATCAATCAAAGAGGAAACTCGTCTTCCTTCTTAAGGTGAATCTCCACTTAAGAAACCTACTAATTTAGCAAAGCAAGCTCAAATTTTAGCCCCTGTCTATTCAACCATAAGCGAACGTTTTTAAATTTGTAAATTTTTGGGAAAAGGCAAATTTAGTGATGTATATCAAGCTCAAGATAAATAAACAAAAGTAATTGTTGCTTTAAAAGTTATTCCAAAAGCAACCATTTAAAAATATGGAATGGAAAAGCAATTATCAAATGAAATTAAATTATAAGGATATATGGATCATCCTAATATCCTTAAACTTTATGGATACTTCTAAGAGTGGTCTAAAGTAGTCTTAATATTAGAATATGCAACTGATGGGGAATTATTTAAATTATTAAAGAAACAACCTAAAAAAAAGTTCTCAGAATAAGTAGTTTCAGGCTATATTAGATAAATTATTGAAGGTATTGGATATATGCATAGTAAAAATATCATTCATCGAGATATCAAACCAGAAAATATCTTAATTACACATACTTTATTAAAAATTGCTGATATGGGCTTATCTACATATAACCCCACTAATTAAGTTAGATAATCTTTTTGTGGTACTGTAGATTATATGTCTCCTGAAATTGCAGCAGGTAGAGATTATGATCACACAGTTGACATATGGGCTATTGGTATTTTGGCATTTGAACTTTGTACTGGAGAAACCCCTTTTTATGAAAAGAAAAAAGAAGATACTATGAATAAAATAATCTATAGTAATTTTGAATTTCCTAATTATTTGAGTGAAGAGTTTAAAACTTTTGTTAAAATCTTGGTATAAAAAGATCCTAAAAAAAGACCTACTATTTATTAAATTATGTAAAATCAATGGATTTAAAAATATGAAAAAGAGAGCACAATATTCAATAGAGAATTGCTGAATTAAATGGTTAAATTATTAAAATGATTGAATTAAATTTTGATTAATAAATATAATACTCAAAAGTAATTTCTCATTAAATTAATAATTACTCAAAGTAAATTATAAATAAACTATGTTAATGATTAATAATGAACTTTATTCTCTCGAGATTGTTATCATAAATAAAATGATTTAGTATTTTTTTTTCATTATTTTTAATGCAATTTTATTGTGAATTTCTTTATTAAGAGAAAGTAGGGAAAGTACTCTTCTATAATTTGTAGTAGTTTTGTTTTCATTTAAGATTTATTGTCATATTTTATTAGCTTAATGGATAAGACTTATAATAATAAGAATTTAAATAAGATTACTCTTTTTTTCTTAATCTATTTAATCTACATTTATGTCTGTATATACTATTTTAATTTGAGTCTTTTTCAGATATGTTAAAATTGTATAAATTGCTGAAATGATTAGAATTTAATAATAAATATTTGAGTATTAGAGTTATTTCTATGATGAAACTTTTAAAATATTAAATAAATCCTTATATATTTGGTTGGTCAAATTGAGCTATTAGACACAAAATCAAATGTCATTATAATATTGAATGATATATCATGTTATAAATTAATTTAATTTTTTTTTTATTATTAAATGATGAGATTGCTATTGAAAATAGATTTGTAATTAAATACAATGTTGGATAATAAGATAATTCAATTTAATTTTTAATTATTTGATATTCAAATCTTTAGAAGTATCTATGTATGTATTTATAAATTCATAAAAAAATTTTCTTATAAATATATATTTATAATCATTTTTTACATTAAATAAATCTATGTTTAACTTTCATCGAATCTATTATTTTTACAATATCTTTATTATTTTATTTTTAGGAATCTTTATTAGTTTGTTTAATTGAGTCCTTGTGAAAATGACTGTATGGTAATAAACTTGATTAATATGATTAATAATGGGAATGAGTATGAGGCGAAAATGAGGTTTAGGTAATCGATTTTGCATTTGTTGATTGAAATGACTTTCGATTTACACCACTAAGAGGTTTAAGGTAAACTTCTTATTTAAGGTTTGTTTCTTTTAACATTTTTGTAATATATTAAGAGACTTGACTTTTTCTTGGTTCTCTGCCATGACTTAAAATTTAATGAGATAAAGCATCATCATTCTCTGGAGCAGTTTTTATTCTTTAATTATTAAATAATTTACCTTTGTGATTGATGTGATTAAGGTATCATAAGAACAGGTTAGGGTTATAAATGGGGTGGAACAATTGCTTATGGTTTTCTTATAGTTGTTAAATTTCGAACTGCTTTTAAGATATGCATTCGCTTTCTAAACTTTTTAATAGCTTCCATTTTATAAGTTAGGATGAAAATGATCGCATTAATTACAGCTTTAAATCTCCTTAATACTCTTTTTCGTTTTTACCATCTTCAATCTTATAAAATAATACCTTGATTCATTAAAAGGATATTGTTTTTTTATCATCTCAAAATATTAACTGCCTTTTCCACATTCAGAACAATCACAACTTTGATTTAATTTCAGATATTCCTTTTCCAACATCTCTTTATTCTAATACAACAAAGTTCTTTTCTTTATAAACTTTTCATCTTATCTATTGACTTTTATAGTTCTAACATGCTTTAGTTCATAAAAGTCAATTGGAGACAGTGAACTTTCTGACATTTTATTTTATTAAATTAAATATCAAAAATATAAGATTTCTATGTCTCAAAGATAATATAAAAATCAATTTTTGATTTAACTTATAATATGCTTAAAATTAGATTTGATATTTTCTTTTTTTAGAGTTCTTTATTTACATCTTATATAATATATATATATAATGAAAGTATTTGTTCATAAAATCTAAAATCATTTAATTAAAAATTAACAAACAAAACTATGGACTCCACTAAAGAAAGAGTTGAAGGAACTAGAGCAACTGTTATTGAAATTATTGGAAGAACAGGTAATAAAATTTATAATAAATTGTATAGGATCTAGAGGTGGTATTACATAAGTTAAAGTTTAATTGGTTGGATAATAAAGAACATTAATTAGAAATGTTATGGGTCCAGTTAGAAAGGGAGACACCTTAGAGCTTATGGAATGTGAAAGAGAAGCTAGAAGATTAAGATGATTGGATGAATTATGTACATTAAAAATTGCAAATTTAATCGTTATTGCTAGTTATGCTTATTCATCATAATTAAAAGTTTTATCACTTATATATATATTCTAATTATCTTTCAACATCATACAACAATTAAATGATATTATATTTTGATAAAGTAATAGTAAATTGTAATATTGTTATTCTCATCTCCATTAACTTTCAAATTTAGAGATCACTTCAATTAATAAAATAAGAAAATTGAATTAAGAATAACAACAATATTTTTGAAAGTTAAAGAAAAACTATTTAAATCTATAAATAAATCATATTAAACTTTAAATCAAAAATGATTGTAATTAATCACTTATAAGAAATGAAGAGATATTATTTTTTTATATAATACCATTATAATTAGAAAATAATGAAGAATTACAATATGCAAGATTATTATAAATTAGAATATAAAATAATTCTTTATTTAATATAAACTTAACTTAGCAACAAGAAAATAATACATAGACTGATTTTAAACTTAATTTTATAGAGATAACCTAGATTAAAATATATTAAAATATAAAATTTTTTCACTTTATATTGGATATTTAATTGATATTCTTTTATTACTTTCAATTTTATTTTTGTCTATTTCTTATTTCAACTAAATTTTCTATTAATTTAATCTATTAGTGAGACAAATATCCTAAAATTAGAAAGATGGACAGATGTTTAGATATTTAGAATGTAAATAGAGAATAAGGATATATATTTTTTCTGAATGATACTTTTTATTAGAAAATAAATCCATTGGCTAAATTAATTTTTGAATTAGCTTTTGTTAGACATATAAATATAATACTTTTTGATAATTATTATCATCTAATAATTATTTTTTATAAAAATTGATAAATTAAAAAAATTGGATGGGGGTTCGTGTTCATCTGAACAAACTTATGATTTATTTAATTCAGATAAATCTCAATTCTCTTATAATTGGTTCTCAATACTTAAAATATTTATTTAATGTTTCACTCATCAAGTAGAATAGTTGTTTCAATACTCACTTTGAATTCACTTTTATAAATATATGAAACTCAACCCATAGAATTTAATGATTCTAATTTAATGATGTAGCATCCTTAATTAACTTCTATAATTCCCACAAATCAAGTATTTGTATCTGATATTAATATAGATAATAAACTTATTTGTTGGAATATCATTATTATTCTTAATAGATTGGAAGAATAGAATTCTGATCATTACATCATTATTCTTTGGAATATCAATTATAATGTAAAACTTCAAGTAAAATATTTTAATTATATTAGTTATGTACTACCAAAAACACTAAACTTAATACAAATTTATTTTTTGTTACTTATTATCATATATCATATTTTCTATTAAGCAAAATAACTCTATTTGAAGATTAAATCTCTTGAACCTAATATAAACCAAATTAATTCTCTAACAATCAATTATTCTAATACAAGAAAATTTCGAAAAATTTCGAAATAAGTCGAAAAATTATAATTAAAACTAGTAAATAATAGTATGAATGAAAATGAAATAAAAGTTACTTAGAACTAAATGAATATAGAACTTAATCTAATAAAAAATGAATAAAAAGAAGAATAATCAATTCTGGAATAACATACTAGTGAAGCAGATTTAGAAACTGAGAATTAATGTGAAATTAACCATTAAGATCTTTCATAAATATCTTCTATAAAAGAAGATCAAAGTATAATATTATAATAAATAGAATTATAAATCTAATTGAAATTTAATGGAATAATTCAACTTTTTTGTTGCACTTTTGAAACTTTTGATACTATATCTTCAATTCTTTCATGTACATTTACAGAAAAGCAGATTATTTAAATAAAAATTCACATACTCCTCAATATCTATGATGAAAGTTAAGATTGCAATAATAGGTTATGGTGCCTCAAAAAATTATTAGCTTTTTAATTTTGAATATAGATTTTATTTAAAATTCTAATTAATTTTATAATCTCATCATAATCATTTGAATAGTTTTAATATTTTATCAAAGAAAATAATCAAAAATTATATTATGATAAATCTAAAATTTTATATATTTCCAATTTCATTATTGAATTATTCATAATCATGGAGTGTTGAATGATCCAATTAAGGAAACAATATCAACAGGTTATCCTTTGAGTTCCTTAATTTCCTTAAATTTCTCAAAGTTTTTGAAAATTTTAGAGAAACTCTTTTATGTACCAATATGGGCAGCCTCAGTGATCATTTATTTGAAACCTTGCTTTCTACATTCTTCAGCTGACAAATAGGCACAGGAAAGAGCTAATTGTTATTAAAAGTGATCAGCTCTTGTAGCAAGATGACTTAAATAAGCTATTTCTTTTTTTCCTAAATTTTTTGTATCAGCATATTTGTCAAGCAGAATTTCTACTAATTCTTAAATTTCTAACATAACTTTAGATGGCTCTGATCCTTCAATATGTAAGTCATTGTTTGAAGACAAGTCATAAGTCAAACAGGCAGATACTAATTCATCTCCAAAAAATACTCCGAAAGATAAATTCTCTTAAACCATCAAATCACTAATGGAAACTTAAGAAAAATAATTACTATAATTTAAGATTGAATTCTGTGTCCAGATCTTCTTCAGTTACTTATAATATTTTCATTCCTTGATTTTCATGGGCAAATGATTTAGTCATAAGTAATTAGATTTTCTTAGCATCTTTTTATTCAAGTTTTCTAAATGAGTATACTTTCTCTTTCTCCTTAATTAGTTCAGATAAATCATTGATATTAGAAACCTCCATACAGATAGTTGCTTTAATATTTAATTAATACTAGAGAAAGAGATTCTGGATTTATTCAAAAAATCCAAACTAATAAATATATTATCATTCCATATTGTTAATTTTAAAATATGTTGAAAATTGGGAATAATTATAAAACCAATAAAAAGTTATTAATAAAAATTTAGATGTGTGAAAATTTGTAACAAGTAATCTGGTGAGTTATTAAATAGTTTTCTAATTTTATGTTGAACCAAAAATTCAAGAATATCATTTTTTAATTATTCAATATATTTATTAATTACTTATAAAATTATTCTACTATAATCCTTTTTAATTATGCTATTATAGTATTTTTAGATATTATTAATTTTATTTTTCAAATATTTCATTCACCAAAACTTATTATATTTTTTGGAAATCCAATTATCATTTGAATATTTGATTATGTATATGTAATTTAAGGAGATTTAAAATCTTTATCTCTATTTCTAAATATATATAATTTCATATTTAATAAATAAATAGTTTATTCTGTTTATATTCAAATCTACTTAATTAATTTCTTTTATTTCTCTATTATTGATTAAAGATAGTTTAATAATTTAGATATTCCCTGTAAGTTCCATCAATGCTAAAATTACTTTAAAATACCTCTGTAATATGTGTTATATTGGAAATAAAATGATAATTAAAATTAAAGGTGAAGATTTGGCATACAAAATATAATTATTTTTCATTAATAATAATACCATAAACTATTTTACTTAAAAGTTTTCTATATTTAATTTTCTTTTTGTTTTCTTTTGTTTCTTATGTTAAATTTAAATTTAATTTTCTTATACAAATTATTTCTTTATATAAATCTAATTCTTATTTAAAGATTAATTATTAACAAAATATTAATTAAACTAAAAATATAATGAAAAAGATTATCATTTTATTATCCCTTTGTATTGTTTTGACATCAGCTTCCCCATCACTTTACAATTTTATCAACAAATTATTAGGAATTGAAGTTGGAGGTACAACAGAAACAGTCTTAGCCTCTTGTTTTACTGATAAAATTGGATATCGTGATAATGATCTTTATGCTGGAATATATTATGCAGAGTTATCAAAAGACTACAAAGTTAAGGATTTCAGTGCTCTTGGAAAATTACCCTATAAGTACAAGCTTAAGATTACCTATAATGGAAAATCTATAATTGCAGAAAAAGGAGATGTTGGTGCTGGAGGTCCTTCCCATCCTAAAATTGATATCCATATTAAGGCTCTTCAGGCTTTAGGAGTTAGCAACTGCAATAATTTTCTCACTAATGTTCAAATTGAATACCTTGGTTGAGATGACATCATATATAAATATATATCACATTTAATAAAAATTTTTACATATCTAATATAGTTTAATTATTAACATAAGATTTTGTATATTAGATTGTTGAGAATAAATTGTTTCAGAGAATTAATAATTATAATCTAATTTTAATATTAATCTTATTGGTTAAGAATATTAAAGGTTTTTTAAAACAGGATTATAATTGTTAATAATTTAATTATTATATATTATTAATGTATACCATTAGCAAGACTCAATCTATACTAAATTGAGATATAGTTATATGATAACTTTAATATTTATATTTGAAAAGTCTATAGCTAATTTCTATTTTAAAAAAACAAAAAATCTAATCATATAACATTTGAAAATAATAGTTCTTTAATATCATACAAGGAATCAAAGTGTTAATTCTGTTGTTCTAAACTTTTTTTCATCATTAATAAAGTTTCATTGATCAATTTTTTTTCCTTTGACTCTGCTAATTTTAATTCTTCTTATGTTTGTTGAGTATCTTAATGATTATTTTAAGTTGTTTATTCATCATTCAGCTTAATCTAATCATTAAAATTTGTTAAAATCTAAGTTTATTAAACTGGTAGTTCAAATTTAGTCTAATTTTCAATCTTACTATTAATACCACTATTTAATTCTAAATGTCTTTAATCATTTAAAATACTATCTATAGTAAATTTATCATTTTGTTAATGTTAATCATCAGGAATATCTAAAGTTTATTGTTTAGTTTATAATATTAATTATCCTTAATTTTCTGATGATTAAATAGAATCTAAGACCTTTTTAGGTAATTCTACTTTAACTCCTTTTTTTTCTAATTACCCACTCAATTTGGCTAAAATGAAATTAAATCTATTTTCAATTGATTCCTCTTATATACTTAAATCAGAAGCAATATCATTAAATTTAGCAGAATTCAAGTAATTAGATATAATTCGAGTATCTCTTTCAATATCCCAGAAAATAGTAGGTGTTTATTATTAAATATATGCTATTTCAGACCATCTTTTTTAAAGTGATGATCTGTCTCTATGTGGAAATCTTTACTAAATCTTAACCCAATTTCCTTTATGTTTGCGATATGCAAAAATTAAGAGTGAATCTTCTTTTGGTGTCCAAGTTAGATCAACTTCTTCTTCTTCATCTTCAAATTCTTCTGGCTCTCTAATTATTGTGTACCTTCTAGAACATTCAATATGATCTTTAGTTTTTATCTTATCTGAAATGAGTTTCCAATCTTCTGTTTTAAAGCGTTCAACCAATTATAACAAAAGTACATCTTCACCAATAGTCCAATAAGAATTAATCTTCTTTTTTTCGATTCTGTGATCAAAGTCTTTTCCATTCATTAATGGATATTTAGGATTAAACTTATCCTATATATTTTGATATTATTTTCCATATTTATCATCCAGCATAGAACCATTTTATTTATAAGGATTAAAGTTATCTATTCCTTCTTTTCTTTATTTATTATTAAATGATTAAATGTAATTATTGACTTCATAATCATCTGATTCTGAATCACTCATCATTTCTATTTTATTATTTATGGTTCGATTAATCAAAAATCTTAGTAATAATAGACAAATAATATCTTGATTTCTTGATATAAAATTTAATAAACATTTACAAATCATATATCATTATTAATTCAATACTATGATATTCTGTTAAATAATTCATACCAAAAAATATAATTATTAAAATTTTAAAAGGAATATTTTTCCTCAATTTTCTTGACAAGATAATATTCAAATATATTTCTTCTTTCTTTCCCTTTTAAATAGTATAATCATAATGGTAAATAAAATTATATAATGAAAAGTGGTTAACAACCTTGTCAAATATCTATGTAAATATAATTCAAAAATTTACCACTTCAATTGACCATACTCTACTAAAAGAAAATAAAAATAAATCTACATACTTTAAAACCTTACATTAGTATTATGCTAACAGTCAATATTAATGGTTTATTTCTGACTATTAATAATTTCTACTTCTAAAATGAAAATGCAGAAATAATTAAACCCAAATTACAAGCCTTTTTTAATTTTTAATTTTGTTTTAACAAAACTCCACAATAACTATTGGCAAAACATAAAATATCAATCCCAAAACAATTAACTAACTTTCTTGTTGCTTACTATTCTTAAAACTAATATTAATTTTCAATTACATCATTTCATCTTCAAATTAAGCTTTATCAATATTCTCCAATTTAATGCTTACATGAAATGTAACTCAAAAATCTTATTATAAAGCACAATAATGAGTGCAATAGTTTGGATCCTTATTATTAGAAATTGAAGATATAAATTATATCAATAATAAAAGCGTAGCTAGAAAATTAAATATTTTTTGAATAAGAAATATATTAAGACAAATATTATAAATTATAAGTATATTTTACTTTATTTATCTCAAGTTTTTTCACCAAATTAGTTTTGTCTTTTGAAATTTATATTCTATCATAAAACCGCATTATTGGCAATTTTATTATAATTGTATATTATAAACATATAATATGAATATAAATAACGTTATTATTATAAAATTATATAAATAAAATAATTTTTAAAACTGATTCCTCTTAATTCTCCTTTTATAAAAAAGTAAAAGAAAGAATTGATTAACTATTTGTCATGTAACTGAATTTTTGAAATAAAGTTAACCTTGTTTATAAGACAGTTTCAAAATGTTATTATATTATCCAAAATTTTTTAATTTAAGTTTCATCATCATTATTATGGTTTTGAGATTAAATTCTTACAATGCTACACCCAATTAATGATCAAGTATTCTATATGTTAAAGATAAATAACAATTATAAATAAGTTAGATAGTCATATAGTCATAAAAATTTGAAATATTGATTAAATTTAAGATACAGAGAANTTTCCCTTTTAAATAGTATAATCATAATGGTAAATAAAATTATATAATGAAAAGTGGTTAACAACCTTGTCAAATATCTATGTAAATATAATTCAAAAATTTACCACTTCAATTGACCATACTCTACTAAAAGAAAATAAAAATAAATCTACATACTTTAAAACCTTACATTAGTATTATGCTAACAGTCAATATTAATGGTTTATTTCTGACTATTAATAATTTCTACTTCTAAAATGAAAATGCAGAAATAATTAAACCCAAATTACAAGCCTTTTTTAATTTTTAATTTTGTTTTAACAAAACTCCACAATAACTATTGGCAAAACATAAAATATCAATCCCAAAACAATTAACTAACTTTCTTGTTGCTTACTATTCTTAAAACTAATATTAATTTTCAATTACATCATTTCATCTTCAAATTAAGCTTTATCAATATTCTCCAATTTAATGCTTACATGAAATGTAACTCAAAAATCTTATTATAAAGCACAATAATGAGTGCAATAGTTTGGATCCTTATTATTAGAAATTGAAGATATAAATTATATCAATAATAAAAGCGTAGCTAGAAAATTAAATATTTTTTGAATAAGAAATATATTAAGACAAATATTATAAATTATAAGTATATTTTACTTTATTTATCTCAAGTTTTTTCACCAAATTAGTTTTGTCTTTTGAAATTTATATTCTATCATAAAACCGCATTATTGGCAATTTTATTATAATTGTATATTATAAACATATAATATGAATATAAATAACGTTATTATTATAAAATTATATAAATAAAATAATTTTTAAAACTGATTCCTCTTAATTCTCCTTTTATAAAAAAGTAAAAGAAAGAATTGATTAACTATTTGTCATGTAACTGAATTTTTGAAATAAAGTTAACCTTGTTTATAAGACAGTTTCAAAATGTTATTATATTATCCAAAATTTTTTAATTTAAGTTTCATCATCATTATTATGGTTTTGAGATTAAATTCTTACAATGCTACACCCAATTAATGATCAAGTATTCTATATGTTAAAGATAAATAACAATTATAAATAAGTTAGATAGTCATATAGTCATAAAAATTTGAAATATTGATTAAATTTAAGATACAGAGAATGTAAAAGAATAGTGAAGTGTATAGCAGTAAATAATTTAATGAAAATAATATATGAATCTAATATATGAATCTAATAATTCTTATTTTAAATAAGAATAATTTTACTCTGAATTATCACAATAAATTAGGAAGGTGAGTAAATTAGAATTAAGTCTAAATACGATTATATGTGTAGATTACAATTCAGGTTGATCTTAAATTGAATTATTTATAAAAGAGTTTGGTCTAAACTTGACATTACTCTTTCAACTTAACTTTTACTAAGCAATTTAAAACTTTGAGAAGAATAGATATTCAAGGTAAAATATCATATTGTTATTTAGAGAGTAATCTTAGAAGTTGTATTACTAATTTTTATATTTAGTTTTGTATTTTTGTAAATAGAAGGCTCTGTTGATTGTTTTTTGAATTAATATTAAATAAATAAAATGGATCAAATCCAATCTTTTGAACCGTGTAACTAACCTTCTGACATACAAATACATTCAAATATTTGTGATAGCAATGACCAATAAAAAAATGGTAATCAAACCAGACGAGCCTGGTCTCTTAAAGAAGACAACCAACTCAAATAAGCCATTAAAATATATAGCACTAATTGGCTATAGGTTGCTTAAGCATTACAAAATCGAAATCCTTCTTAATGTGCTTAGAGATGGAAAAGAATAAAACCTTATAATGTACAAGTTTATGAAAATTTTCAGTATAATATACGGAAACCATGGACAAGTAAAGAAGACTAGCTACTTTTAAGATTAGTACAAGTACATAATAAAAATTGGGTTTAAATTGCCAAATGTATTCCTAATCGTACTAGTAAACAGGTAAGAGAAAGATTTGTAAATAAATTAAATCCAGAAATTAATTAAGAACCTTTCACTAAAGAGGAAGATATGATTATAGTTGAAGGATATAAGAGCTTTGGATCTAAATGGTGCAAGATATCTAAATTATTATAAGGAAGACCTGTATGAATTAATTAGTTATCAATTAGGAAAACATAATAAAAAATAGATATTATTCATATATTCGAAAGCGTTATTTTAATATTGAGAATCCATATTATGTGGTTCCATAACCAAATAATGAGATATAATAGTCTATCCAAAAGGAAAATATAAATTATTAATAAAACAAATCATTTAAAAGAACAATTGATAAACTTAAAATTCGAAAAAGATATTTTGTATTTACTTAATTTATCAAAAGAAATTGTCTAATAATGGATAGAGTGAAAATAAAGAGAAAAATGAAAATAATAGTATAGACAAATAATTGAATTAAGAAAATGTTAAGTTATAAAAAGCCTTAATTTAAGAAAATAATCAAATAAATAATCATCTTAATTTTAGTAATTTTATTTCAATAGTATAGGTTAATTCTAAGAGTAGGACAAAAAAATATTATAAAAAAATAAATAAGTTATAAAAGATGAACTTTCGATTTAATAAAATTAGATTAAGCAAGAAGCAGAATAAGATTAAGTTGGAAAATTGGAACAATTATAAGAAAGTCTTATATTATCTCAAAGTTGTTATGCTCCTATTCCATTAATTTATAATACTGCTTAGACATATAAGATGATGTATTATTTCCCACAACAATTATCCATGCAATTTATTCCTCAATATTTCATGAATGGCCCATATCTATAATATGGAGTATAAAGTTAGGAAACATTGCTTTCAAGATCATAAGAGATACAATAAAAAAGTCAACAATTATGATAAAATTTAACTTTTTTAAATGAATAGTAGAAATATTTATAAATTCAATAATTCTTTGTTCCCATTTTAATCATTCTTTATAATGACTATTATAAGTTTATGATTTCCTAAAAGTAACCAGATGAAACTTTCTTTATTTCTTATGTTGATAATGAAGAAAAATGTGAAGTCATTCTCACAATATCTGTTAATGGAATTTTTTCTACATTTTTATTTGTAAACTAAGGAGATACATTTCTTGATTTATTTTATCTTGGAGTTAAATTGAAGATATCTTAGAATTGATTTTAATCTCTGTAACTGCTTTTATTTCTTACAGATAGTGTTGGAGTATAATTTTAATCTAGGAGTCCTTTTTTTGCTTCATTAATATATTTATAAAATCCTGGTTATTCTCCAAGAACTTTATTGGATATGGCTTAATTTTACAATTTCAATTGAACATCTAATTTAGTATCCCAACTCTTAAATCTCTCTAACTTTTATTATGACTTTAATGGAGATTCCTTGTATCCAGATCCTAAAGTATTCACTCTAGAAGTTTAAGTAAAAGGATTATCAAAAAATGAATCAACTTTAAACTATTTATGTGGAACTTTATCAGCTTAATATAGTTTGCTTAAAGCAACTGCTTTAGATTAGACTTCATTTCTTTTTGAACTACTATGAAATATAAAATTATTTTACAATATTTCATCAAAATTCAAACCACCAGAAATTTTATTAGTTGGTGTCCTTCTTTAACTTAATGATTCACTAAAATATTAAGAATTATTACAGAGTTGGTCTATCACGTTTTCCCCAATTTCCTAAATAAAGATTTGGTTTTTGTTGATGTTCAATGAATGGTTCACGATGTAAAATATTATCTCTAACTTCTTTTCTGAACTCTGCCAATTGACGTTTATTCATTTATGTAGTAGCTTAAAATGTACTAAAACCAATATTATCATTTGATTTTTGGTATCTTGATTAATTAACCTGAAATAAAACATAATAAGGATACTGGAGAATATCTTGATTGATTAAGCATATCGTTTCTTTATATTTAACAATTAAATTAATATTAAAAATTATTGTTAAAAATATATTTATTTTTTCAATATAATTATGAAAATTCAAAAACATGAATGATCATCAACCCATCTACTGTCTATATTCTTGCTATCTTTGCATTTGATAATTCTACATGACTTTTCAATTTTAATATGATATCTTGAATACTCATATTCGATAATTGAACATCATCTTTTTATATTTTACTATCTTCACCTAAAACTTTTTATGTCCAATTTATTAATAATTCAATTGTCCAATCATCATATTAATAAAATAATCTACGGAACATTTATACTAATAAAATTATAGTTGATAATTCAATAGAATCTTTCTCATTAAGAATAGATTTGCAAATAGTAAGCCATGCTGCATATGATATTTCATCATCTAAATATTTATAACAACATTCAATTATTAAATTTCCAATCATATACTCTTAATTTTTGAATGTAATTTTAGTTTACATTTATGTAATCTTTTAAATTCTTAGATAAATTTCATATAGAAATCTCATTGAAAATTCAAAAACAGGTCTTACATAAAGAGTATATTCTTCAGTTTTGTAATTTGGATAAAACTTCAATTTTGTTTTAGTTTCTGTTCCTGGATCATCTGGTGTTGGAAATGGCTTATATTATTCAGGCTAATCCAATAAAATTTACTTTTCTTAAGAAATTAAAATGGAAATTATTTCTTCATTTAATAGGTCACTATTGAAAAGAAGATCTGTTTCAGGAATATCTATATTGAAAAGTGAATTCATAAGATCAATAAATATTTTTGCAATTAGTTTATTTTTTGATACTTCTTCCAATTATTTTAAAGATTTCAAAATAAGATGAGAAGTTATCTTTAATGCATTTGCATCCTAAAAACTATAAAAATAGAGAGGAGCTTAAAGTAATGAGATTTTCTATTTAAAAATATGAAAGGTTTCTTGATATTTAATAAGCCATTAAGGCTATTAATCATATGGATATATTTAGAAAAGTTAATTCTCATTTTATAACATTTGATCATACTTTATATTACTTTAACTTTAAATATATCTAGGAGTATAATATGTAGTATATTCCTTCAATTTTAAAATATATTACTAATCTATTGACAAATAAAAACATCTTTTTTCTTCTTCTAATTAAGTTTCAAGCTATCTTTTCTTTTATCTTAATAAATCTAATTATTTATGAATAGATTATTCAAAATCCAAATTTTAATCTCTTGTCAATTTTCTATAAGCAAGATATGAATCAAATTTTTATGTTTTGTATAATTTTAAGATTCTTTATAATTACTAAATTTCACTATCTATAAAGTATCTCTTATCTTCAAAATCAAATAAATCACCATGAAATTCAGTTTTACATTTACTTTGATCATCTCCCCCTCTTCGTTATTTATCACAAGGAATAGATTTATAGAATCTATTTAAAACATCTTAAAATTCATTTTAAAATTTCTATTCTTCATTAAAATAAACATAAGATGTTTCACCTAATCTAGGTAATGTAGCAATGTCAACTTATGTATGGACTCCTCTCATTGTAGAGAATTGCTCTAAATTCTTTTTCATAAGTTGTATAAAATTTTAAGATGGTGATTCTTAATATTATTTTTATTATTCTTTTGAATCTGAACAATCTTCCCATTATTCCAAAGAATCTATAAAGTCACAAGCATCATTTTCTTAAGAAACTTCTTCAGATGCAGATGATGATTATTATGGATAATATTCTTCTGAATCTTCATCATTTTCATCATCAATTTATCCTTAGGCAAAATATTAATTGTTTTTCCAAAATTAATCAGATTCTTCTTAATTTGTATGTTATCTTGGTCGCCTTTGTCTTTTTAATGGTTATTCAATTTCTTGATTCTTTTCCTTATCACTCATTGAATATTTGTTAATTTTATTATTAAATCAATTAATTATTATTAATTAAATTAATCTATTATCTCGATAAATTCAATATAAAATAATCTAAAATTCTAAAGTGCTTTTATATAATTCTTAATTGATTATTAATAGGCTTTTTACTTGTAAATATGATAATTTTACAATTCATTAATATTTATTTAGAGTTATTTCAAAAAACAAAATTAATTGTTCTAATAATTCATTTTACATTTCATGATTCTATCCTTAATGTAAAATAAAGTAGCCCCCTATATAATTTGAAAAAATGATGACAAAATCATTAATAAAGATTGAATTCCCCATTTGTCTCATACTAATGATTCATAATAAAATTCATTCATCAATAATTAAATATTTCCTATTCTATTTATTGATTTTGATTAGTCTTATTCAATTTATACTCTCTTAATTTGAATGACAAGGAATTAAATTTTCCATAAGAAGAATTAAAACTATGATATAAATTAAAAAATATAAACTATATATTAAAAAATATACTTATAGGTTGAGAGAATTTAGTATAAATACATTATTTTTATTTTTATTCTTAATAGCTTTTTCTACCTATAATTTTTATGATTATCCTAAAAATATTTAATATAATTTAGTAATATTAATTAAGTATTTGGTTACTAATAATACTTAATTGAAATATTATAATATTTATGTTCAATTAATATATATATATATTAAAGGTTAGTAAATACTTTAAATTAATATTCAATTTTCAATTACCTACACTATGATTCGAATATCTTGCTTACAGTAATCGAGATTAAGGTTTCATTCTAAATAAATTATGCTCACTCTTAATGAAAACTGGTTTTTATTATTAAGGTTGTTTAGGTACAAAAATAGATGTTGAAAAATTTTAAGTTTTATATTCAGATTATGTAATAGGCGAAGGGGATTAAATAGATTCAGTAAGGATTCGATTGTCAGTCTATTTGCATGAATTTGTAAAGCAATTAAAAAATTGACCTTTTGAAATTGGAGTGTTATTACCAATTAATCTTTCAGATTGTTCAATTGATTTAGATATTCTTTAACTCATTTCTGTTTTCATTAATTAATATTCAATAAATTTTTTGAGATGTTAAGATTATGAACCCATTTCTTAACGAATCATTTCACTGGCTTCATATTATCTTTTAATTTTAATTTTTTAATTTTCAGGAACTAAATCTATGTATTTTCGATCATACTTTTTAATTTCATCATTATTTTATTACATTATTTATACTTATTTTCTAAAATCTTATTCACTTGCCTTTTTTTATTTTAATATTTTTTAAGATGATTTATGATTTACTTAAAACTTGATCTTATTCAATACTCCTTTTAAACTGGCTACTTAAAGTTCATAATCTTCTTCAATGTCTTTATTTTTAGAGTCAATTCTACTAGTCATTGATCCAAATAAAGGACTATTAGATAAATTTAATTTAAGAGAGGGAAATGCATTACTTTGTTTTAAATTAATTATAGGTCTTTCTATTTTGATAGGATATTCTTGTACATAATCATGAATAGACATAATTTTTTATTTTGATTATCCTAATTATGATTCATCTACTTCTTCAATAATATTATTCAAATTTGATGGTTATTATTTATCACTCTCATTTTTTAATTTAAGTAAATAAAGTTGTTAGTTTAATTTAACTTTTTCATACTAAGATTAATGAAATTTATCAACTTATTTAATTAAACTTAAGTTATGTTAATATTTCATATTAGCTTAATCATAAAAATATTTCTTTAAGGTTGTTTGATCACTAAGTATTCTATTAAAATGATTCATTTATAATCCATAAATCTTAGCTTTTTCACTTTTCACTATAATAGTTTGTTAAGATACAGATATTTTGAGCATGATTTCAACATCACCTATAATCTCACCCTCACTTAAAATAATAACTCTTCTTTATTAAATCATTTTCTTAAGAGGTTTCATTTAAGTTTATTTAATAGCAAGTAATAATTATTATTCAGATGATGCCAATTCAGATTATTATTCTTCAGAAACTTAATTGATAATCTCTTATTCATGTACAACTTCTAATTCTCCTTTTTTTATTAAATAAATTTAAGTTACTTTATCACCCTTTCTTATTAAATAATTTCCTTTCCTTAGTTCTATCTTTTTAAAGTTATAACAATATCTTAAAGTTACAAATCTTGGACATTCTCTAAAGAAATAATTCTAAAAAAATTTAATTCTTTATTCAATTTTATTAAGTTCTGCATCTTTCAATAATGATTTATAATCTTAAGAAGTTAAAACAGCTAATTCTAAATTAGATTTAGCAACAACAGTGGCAGATCTTGGTTGATTCCAAATAAGTGCCAATTCTCCAAACATCTATCCTTCCATTAATTCTATTACAAACTTATGTTTAAATACTCCATCAATAAAAAAATAATCAATATCTAATTTTGATGGTGGAATACCAGCTGTCATTTCTAAACCCATTTATTATTAAATTTCTAAAATCTTTTTATCCTTTTCTTCTTCAATCTTTACTTCTTCAATAATATGTTAAGTTTAAAGTAATTTTATTGAATGAAATTATTCATCTTCTACTTATTTAGAATTTTATCTTTTAAGTTTCTTCATCATTCCAACTGAAGTAGAAAATTTATTTTTCATTTTCTCTCTTTTTGCTTAATTAATAACAGATATTGGATGAGTTCTTTTTTATTATTATGTACAATTTTCAAACTTTTTTCTACTTTTGTATGATAAATCATTAACTACATATTGATCTAATTAAGAATATATGTTAACACTCCCACTTAAAATTATAAAAGCATTCTCACCTTTATCACCCTATTTAAACACTGTTTCACCTTATTAAAATGCTTTGTATGTCATCTTTTAACAACATTAAGTATGAAGCCTATTGTCAATATTTTTTTGTTTTGAATTCATTTCCTTGAAAAATTATAAGTTTTCTGTTGCCTTCACAATTAATAATAGTTCCTCTTCAAATCTATCAGAAGGATCTCGCTTTAATATAATTGTTGCATATTTAATGAGTTAAGATGGATCTAACTAAGTCTATAATTCTTAACAAACAGCTCTATATTTGTACGTATTTTTATTCCTTAACCATTGAAATTCAAACAATGGATTTGTGACTGGAGAACTCATATGAATATTAAATGTTTAGTATTTTTCTAAACAAATTTTAATTGAATGTAATTATAGATCATTTTTTAGCTTTTGCAAAACCAACTTAATCATTGTCTCTATCATATATACTGTAATATTTTCTAAGGAATACATCTCCTAATATCCAAGCAGGTCCTTAAGGTTATTAAATATCTAAAGGCATAAATGCTGCTATACAATCCCAATTATTAACTTCAATTAATGCTTCTAAAAGAATTAAATTTGATATTACATAAATCATCACCTTCATTAACCTCTGTCAATTAAGCAGCATCAAAATTAGTTGGTTTAACATATTCTTCAGGTTCCAATGTATAATCAACATCATCAATCTTAAATGTAATTGTAGGTAATGTATTTATTTCATGACAATGAGATTTAACATTTAAGGTTCTTAACAAAGTTCCTAAATCATCAAAAGGTCCACTCATTATAGATGTACCAGTATCAACAATAAGTCTACATGATCCATTACATAAACCAATATCTTTGTTATCAACTAAAATATTATCAGCTTTAATCATCCAATAATATTTATCTATAACATCATGATAATGAATATCTCCATCTACATGAGCTGGGTTATAACCTCCCAAAGTAAATTCACTATGAGCAATATCATTTGCATCTTTGGCAAAATAAAATGAGAATTAATTTCTCTCCAAAACTCTCTAATCCATAAGATTATCAAAAACTGGATTAAAATTCTTAGGTGCCATTTTTGGATAAGCCAAACCAAGTATACCATCAAAATCAAGATCTCTAAAAATAGCTCCATTTTCACTTGTAATCTCTGCCAAATTCTATCTTGGTAAAGTAACTTCACCAAAATAAACAGTATCAGCATTAACAACTCCTTTTAAATCACCACTTCCAAATTCAACATTCAATTCTTAATTCAAAGGCAAAAATGATTGACTATCTTCATGATTATATTATTTATGTCTCATACAGCCTTCCTCTTAACATCTCGTTGAATCAATCCATAAATTAGCACTTCCTGTATCTAAAACAACTTTAAATGTATTTCCAGGTTATCCTACTCCTAAATCAGCAGTGTATTGAATATTTTTATAATTATGCATTCTCATATATTGAGGACCTGATTATTATGTTTATGCAAAGGATGATTCTGCTATTTTATCCTAATGCATAGCAACCAGTTTATAAAAGTTTTATGTATCTTAAACTTTAGTTTCTCTTTCATGTAATTTAATATGAATTACCTTCTTTTTATCAGGTTCTAAGAATTTCTATTCATTTTGGCTTATAATCAACAACTCAAATTTACATATTAACTGCATCTGACAAGAAAATGATTATACATAAGAATAAAATCGACTTATTCATTTGTAAAAACGATTTTAATAAAATAATAAATTATGAGTTAATTCACAAGAAACTAATCCTATTATTAATTAAATAAAAAAATATAAATATCAAAGTAGTTTATTGAATTTTGTATAGGATTATTTAATGATAATTATAAATCTGTCTATTTATACAAAAGCATGATTAAATATTTATTTTCATACAAAAAGAATTATCAATATTAATGAAACTAATTCTAATGCTATAAATAGATATAGACAACAATAAGATGATGATTATAGAAACTTTTTCAATTTTCCATTAACATTAATCATATCCTTATTTGTTTTATCCATATCTTTGTCAATTTAATTAAGTAATCTATTTTATTCATCCAATGTATTTCCAATATTTTTACCTTATACTTTTAAAGTATCCAATTAATCAATACATACATCAAGTTTCTAATCTTATTCTTTTTATAATTATTTTTAATTTTAATGTAATTATTTGTTATCCATTTGTTGTAATGCTTCTGTGTCCTTATATTACTTACCCCCATTTGACCTATTATTAAATAATTAATCTTATTAAGATTTTAATGATTTGTCGAAACTTTGTTTTAATTCCGCAGCTACATTCTACAATTCCAATAATTTATTTTTTCTTGTTTCTCCTTCTTTCTATAATATTTCTTAATTTTAACTTTGTCTTTCTATTAATGATTTTAACAATTCTATTTCTCTATCTTTTAAATATATAATTAAATCTATATACCTAATTTAGAGATTCCTCCTCTAATTTCACCATCAATCATTCCTACAGGTTAATTAGCATTAATCTTTTATTCTCTTTTCTATATGTCTGATCTTAATTATTAGATTAATCTTTAAATTCTCTCAATATCACCTCTATATGTATCACTCATTGAATTTTATATTTTTATATTATTTAATAACTCATACAAGAACAATTCCTATTTCTTCTGGTTTAAGCATATTACTCTCTAATTTCCAATTATAAAGATAATAATTCAATTAACCATCACCTGGACAGAACATTAATTCCTAATTATATAAAAAATGATACTTTCAAAAATTTTTCATTTTCCATAATATCCAAAGCATTGAAAACATCATAACCTTCATTTTTTGCGAGAATCAATGCATCATACATTAATTAAACTATTGGAGTTTAAGTAGCCACATTATAATAAGAGTAAGCTGCCTTTAATAATATTGAAATAATAAATTACTCTTAAATGTGTGTGTTTTGGATTTTTAATCACTTAACTTGGTAGATTATAAAAAGATAAGAAATCTGTAACAACTCCTTGTTCTTTTTCTACAACATATGTACTTATAACATCTTTTCTTGGTAAAAACCAATGTTTTACTTCATCTTCAGTATATTTAAAATATAATTTGAATTATCTAATATATAAAAGATTTAAATTACTTCAAATATTCATTTAATAATTTAGTAACTTAAGCTACATCTTTTTTTTTCATAGATCTCAATCCTTAGGTTTTTGGTTCTTCAGGTAATTTGTATAATTTTTATTATCTTGATATGGTTTATCTTGCAGAAAGAGATGAAAATCCAACTTCAATTAATTTCTTTGCATTCAAACTTCTATGATAATATCTTGTTTAAGAAATTGGAGTTGGTACAACTATACCAGCTGTATAGACTGCTTACCACATATTTTTAATATGAACTCTTCTTGTAATTTCTTTGATCAAAACTGGAGCCAATCTATTTGCTCTAATTTTTTTATGAACACATAAGAAATTGATTTCTGTCATCTTTACTTTTGTTTACTAATTCTCTATATGTAATGTAACTGGAATTCCTGTTATAAACCCAACCAACTTTTAATTTACTCTAACACCCACAATCCAATCAGGATGTTAACCTGGAGGCAATAATGCCCATCTCAGAAAATCAATTGAATAATCAAATCTAAACATATTATCATCATCTTCAACATAGTTTTCTTTCAATAATGTATATACCTAATTTAAATATCAGAATACTTATTAAGCTTGTTCATCATTTCTCAAATCAATATTACACCATTCAAATTTAGAGATTAAATTGTATGGATCCTTTCTAACTTCTTCTAAAATTCCCTCTTAAATTGGGCCAGGCTTTAAGGAATCCAATTCATTAATATTTGGCATAGGTTGTGTTTCCCAAAATTAATGTGGTTTATTTAATTTATCCAATAATTATTAATTGTACTAAGTTTGCTTTTATACAACACTAAGTTATTATTATTATTATTATTATTATTATTTTGATTCTCCTTAACCTTAAACTTCGATTTCTTCATCACTGGATTCCTATTATTTTTCCTATTGTTGCATTATTTATAAAAATTTAAAAATAATTAATCAAATCACTCTCAAAAATAATTTATATGAAAAAATATTTTATAAAAAGAAAAACTAATTATTCTCAAGATATTTTTTTCATTCTTCAAATTTTTACACCAATTCTTAAAACTTGATTGTATATTATGTTATTAAAATAATTATCAATTATTACAAAATTTAACAATTAAAATAATGGTTGCTTTTTGGTAAATTTAGAATTTCCGAGATTGAAATTTATGTGTTTCTACTGATGAGATATATAAAATTGCATTCATAACAAAAAAGCTTATTTTATTGAAATTTAGACATAATTCTTTATGTAGGATACAAAATAATACTAAAATTAGAATTCAGAAAGAAATATAATGTGCACCTCAGATATGTATGAATATTAATATAAAATAAAATTGTAATATATTTATTAGGTATTTAGGGTAAAAAGATGATCAATTATATTTAAAAAACTCACTGCTTTGTGATTGCTATAGATATTTAGCTTTCTATTAAACAAATTCATCTTTTTTAGGTTTAGGATGAAAATTTTTTTTTTCATTTAGTTTTGTTTGATTTTGTTCTTCACTTTGTTTATTAAATTAATATGGTGTATGTGTTTTCCTCTTTGGTTTCTCTCTACCAGTAAGACCCTATTAATCAGTTTGTATTAAATGATTCATTGAGTTTGAGTTATCTTTTTTCTTTTATTGTAATTCTTTATTTATAGTTCTACAATCCCATACTAATTATCTTTATTTCTGAATAGATCTTTAAGATTGTTATTATTATTAGATTTGTGCTTCTGATGAAGCTGTCAAATTACTTCCGTTCATATATCTCATTCTATTTGATTATTAAGCATTATAATAATCCTCTTGACTTTAGAATCTCTTGATCTACTTAGCACAGTCAATATCTTCCTTGATTTATTACTCCACTGTTTCTTCACAATCTAACAATGACATATTTGAATCTTCAGTAACAACTCTTAAAGCTTAAGGGGGAAATAGATCAGCTTTAATTTTTTATTATTCAAAACCAAATTATGGAACAGTTGGAATATCAATACTGGAGAACTCAAAATTAATATCATTGTCAAGTTAGTTCATTCCAAAGCTATATTAATGAGATTAAGTTATAATGTTTTATTAAGTTGGAATGCTGATCGATTGAACATCCTGTGTACATTGTTTACATTCATTTCCCATTTTTAGCTTCTTTAAATATTATATATATAAATATAGGATTAAATCAAATTTACAAGTTTAATAAGTGATTTTAGCATTTATATTTATACTGTTTTATTTTGTAAAAATATTTGTAATTGATCAAAATGATTAAATTATTTATTATATTTAATTATAATTCAGTGATTTACCGTCATACTTCTTAAAAATAAACTGTTCATCATCCAAAAAGGAAATCACAGTTATAATTGAACTATTCTTTTCTTCAAAATCAGATGGATCCACAAGAATTTTATCTTCAAAAACACCAAAAGTTGAACATTTGATTTCTTTATAAATTATCGACATTTTAGAATCAAATTGTTTAACTAATATGTTAATTCATTAAAATTTACTTTATTATAAGGAAAAGGAAACACAATTTATTAGATGAGATAATAATGAACCATCTGCCCCAGCTACTCTGATAAATAATTCAATTTATGAAACTTTATCATTTTAAGTTCTCAATCTTTAAGGATCTACAATCTGGATCACAATATCTTGAATTTAATTCAGATAATGTTTTTCTATTCTGGCTTTATCTAGATTACTTAAATCTTCTTGATTATCCATATTTATTGATAATTCTTAATCTCATTAAATACTAATACTGATGCATTAATTTAGATCTACTTCCTTTAATTCTATCTCCCGAATTATATGTTTGACTGAAATGAAACAATCAGCATATTAATAATTAGTAAATCCTTCTCCAAATTCTATAACAATCTATCTAGCCTATTTAAATTATCTTCCATCTATTCTAACATTTTTCTCTAAAAATCTTTTCATATAATCCTAAGGAAACATTTCTCTAAATATGTCTGCGTCCATTAATTAATAAATAATTATAATTTATCATTAAATAAATTAAATTCATTACTAAGTATACTAATTTATCTTATTCTTCTTTGAGTTTATGATAATTATAATCCTTTATTCGAAATCATTAAATTAAACAATCTAATTATTTTACATTTAACCATTTTACTTATAATCACTAATTATAATACTAATATTTATTAATATATTTTATTTCTAAAACCTAATTCATTTATGAGACATTCTGGATTCATTTAAATATCACCAGCTTCCTTAGTGCCATTGTAATATATAATTAATCTTTAGAAACTATTCAGTTTAATAAGTACCTCTTGTAGCAACAACACCTATGTATTAATCAATAATCCAAGTTTAATAACCATAACCATAGCCATAAATTGTGAGAGTATTAATTAAACTTAATTGTTACAATAGTAAAGACCAATTCATGTTGTCGATTTGGAATAATATGATGATATTTGGAGAAAAAAAGTTGAAGACCTTGAAAAACAATTAAGAGAACTATAAAAATAGAAGCCATAACCAGTAGTTTAAGCTCCAGGTAATTTTAAATGTTATTTAAAGAACCGGTAATTGAATTACGAGCTGGTGCAGATACTGAAGAGTTGGAAAAATAGATCTAATAGCTTCAATTAGAATTGTATAAAACAAAGGAAGATTATGAAGATTTGTTATAAAAATACAAAGAAAATCTTAATGAATTAGAATAATTGAAATGTAATATCTAAAATAAATTTTATTTTAGAGTAAATGAAAAATCATGTATGTACTGATAATACTGTTGAATTAAAAAAGAAAATTGAATAATAAGATAAAGAAATTGAAAGATTGAAAGCTTTACTTGCTTCTCAAGTTCCAGTTGGTATAAATCAAAAACTAATTCAATAGCTAATGATGACTCTGAATAATTGAAGCTTTATTAAAAAAGAATCTCAGAATTAGAAAGCTAATTGCAAGATTCAATATTATAAGTTGAAAGATATAGATAAGAGAATTAATAACTATTATCCTAATTGAACTTCTTTAAGGATTAAATCAATGAAAAGGATGAAAAAATAAAAGAATTAGAAAAATAAATTGATGATCTCAATAATGAATTAGATAATATGTAGGAAGACTAAGAGGAATAAATTGAATAAAAAGTTGAGATTGTTAGAAAGGAATTGAAGAGTTGGAAGGATAAATTTTTGGCCTTAAATGCTCAATTCCATGATTAATAGGAAAAATTAATGTTAACTGAAGCTGAATTAGATCACATTAAAAAATAAGGAGGAGGTGGAACTAAAGTATATTTAATAAATATATTAATTATTAGGGTAGCTAGGTTATCACTACGACAACAACAACAAAATAATCTAAATGAAAATTAGTATATTCTAAACATAAATACATCACATTTTTTCAAAAAATTATATAGATTAAATACTATTTAAACATATCATCTTTCTAATCTCAAAAATTATTTAGAAATTTCTCTCTTCCAACATTAATTATACTATAACTTTTAATTTTATTATTTAAAAACATCATAAGTAAGGAACTAATATTTTGTAACTATAAAATCATACTAAATATTCCAGAGTTATTATTACTTGAATAATACTTAATTTGATGTAATTACATTTTTAAATACTTTTGATAATGATACAGCCAAAAGTTTTATCAATATATTTGATAAGTTATAATATATAATTTATGATAATACTCTAAACTATTTGAGATAAGAGTATATATATTTGAATTTTTCAAATTAATATAATTGTATATACTTCAAACTCCTTCTTTTATTAGATGGATTGGAATAAAATTAATAATATTTTAGATTTTTATTTCCTTATATATCAAGCATTCAATTTAGAATGTTGATATTAGATGATATGAAGTAATCCATGATAAAATTGGTATTTTTTTATTTATAAAAATGAATATTATACTATTATGAATAATTTAGTTTTTCATATTTTATTTAATAATTACTAAGTTCATTTTTCTGATTATTAATTAGATATAGCATTTTGAATAATCTATGAGTTTTTATCTTACTATTTTTATAGATCTTCTTAAGCTTTTATGTTTTAATCTTTTTTTGATTCCTATTTTTTGTAATTTAAACCATTTTTGGCACTTTACATTTTCATTTTATATATATTTCCTAATTTAATTTAATTTTACTTGTTCTATGATAGCAAAAGAAAGATATATAGAAATAAAAAAATGAAGTAATATTATAGTATGTATGCTTCTTAATTTTGTAAAATTGATTGCTTAATATCCGTTGATGATATAATTGTAAAATATAAATTCAAATTTTTTCACAATAAATGAATTTAAAGAATAGAGATACTCCATCATTTTTGAATAAATATTTAAAGAAAGATACAAATCCCAAAAGACCTTTTGAATTCTAAGTTAAAACATAAGAAAAATAAGATGTATCTCCATTGGAAAAACAAGCAAGAAGAAAAACTATTGAATAAAATTTCTCAAGTTTAGCTGATTAATCAATTAGAAAATGTACAATTTTACCAAATTATGAACCTTCGAAATGTTCATCTGGTAGAAATGGTATAATCAAAGCTTATGCTGCAAATACAAATTAAGGATTAATTAGAGATTACAATGAAGATAGAGTTTCAATAATTTTGAATATAGTGAAACCATAAAATAGAGCAAATGAAAATTGGCCAAAATGTTCATTTTTTGGAGTTTATGATGGTCATGGAGGATCTACTTGTGCTGATTTCTTAAGAGATAACTTACATTAATTTGTAATAAAAGAATCTGAATTTCCTTGGAATCCAATAGCTGCAATTAAAAAAGGATTTGAAGCAGCTGAGACTCATTTTTTGGCTTATGCTTTGAATTCATTTTAAAAGGGTATCCCTGAGAGAAGTGGATCTTGTGCAATAGTTTGTTTAGTAGTAGGAGAAGTCTGTTATGTGGCAAATGTTGGTGACAGTAGAGCTGTAATGAGTTCTTAAAAGGGGAAAAAAGTAACAAATTTATCAATTGATCATAAACCAGAGACAGAAATAGAGAGAATATAAAAAGGAGGTGGAAAGATATATCAAACACATGGAATGAATGAAGAAGGAGAATAGATTATTGGACCAATTAGAGTAATGCCAGGAAGGTTATCAGTATCTCGTACTTTTGGTGATATAGAAGCAAAACTAGAATAATTTGGAGGTAATTCAAGGGTTGTTATATCAGAACCTGAAATAAAGATCATTAAATTAAATTAGGAACATGATTTTATAGTTATGGGATGTAAAATATATTAAATTAAAATTTAGGTGATGGCATATTTGATAAATTGAGTTCAGAAGAAGTTATAGATATTATATGGTAAGATTTAAGAAATAATGATAAATTAAATTTACATTCTCTTTTAAGTTAATCTGTGGATTCAGTATTAAAAGAAGCTATCTTTAAGAAAAGTAGTGATAATATAACTTTACTAATTGTCGCATTTTAAGTTAATTAAACAAAAGAGGAACTCAAAGAATTCAGATATACAATTAGTAATTCAGTTGATAGAATTGAAGATAGTTCTTATATTAATAATAGACCAAGATTAAGGTAAAAATTAATATTAAATTTTTAAGTTAACAAATGTAAAATAGAAGTGATGAGAATTATTCTGGCTTGATTAATTAACATATCAATAATCAAAGTACTTCCTTTATAAATAACAATCATAATAATAAATTAAATATGTCAATAAATTTGTAAGGTAGATTGTTTAGATAGTTACAATCTAAAAAGAATATATAAGATGAAACAAAAAGTAAAACAAAACATAGTTATATTCTTTGAATAATTAAAAACTAATAAATTTATTTAATTTTTATTCAACTATATAAATATATGCTAAATTTGAGAGAATTATAAGAGTTACGCTAAATAAATGATGACAGAAAGGCATTAACAGATAGATATGGAGTAGGATTCAATCATCCACTTTCAGCTAGAAATGAATATAATGGCAAATAGACATTAAGTGCATGGGATCCAATTACAAATAAACCTCAAACACTTATTGTTAATAATGGTTCTGATCCTATTGTTTTAGATCACAATATACCTAGATAAGTAATCAAATTTTATTTATATTTAGGAAATCACTAAAAACATTGTATTTTAGAAGGGTTTCCCTTTTTAGAGTAATTAACCTTTAATTATAAATCCTAAACCATATACTTAAAATATTCCAATAACTTAATCAAAAATCTAATCTACATAATCTCTTCCATAAAATTATATGCATGAATACCATCATCGACAACGACCTTATTAACTCAAAAGCGTTGAGGATATATTAAGACCTTGGAAAGCAAAAGAAATTATGTATAACAGAGAATTAAAAGCATTATAAGAATAACTTAATAAAGGAAATTATTCTATGACAGATAAAAGGACTTTGAAAGTAGATAATGTGGCTAAAAAATTAGAGTTATAAAATGAAGTTCAAAAATTGGAAGCAATATTAAAAAATAAAGATGAAGAAATTACAAGATTAAAAATAAGAAGTTAAGAAATAGAACAAAAATATATTGAAATATCTGAAGAAAATTCAACAGAACTTAATAAATATTAAAAAGAATTGGAAGAATGGAAAAAAAAGTTTAAAGATCTTAATAATTTATATCATGAATGTGAAGAAGAATGTACAATGAAAGAAACAGAAATTGAAAGTTTAAAAAAAAGAAAATTATCTGTAATTAAAACGTAAACCGTTTAAAAAGTTGGAACTAAACCATAAAAAAATATGGATAGTCCAAGAGCAATTATTTCTACTGTAAGCGATAAAGATTCAGATTATTATTGAAGAAAGATATAAATTCAATTTATTTTTTAATTTTAACATACAATAAATAATAAATTTTAATGAAAATTATTTTTTATAGGAAACCTATTTTCAATCAGAATTTGGAACATCTTGAAAAGAATATCTCTATTTTCATTTACTTAAATTTCTGATCTATTGAAGTGAAAATCTGTTATTATTATAATAATTTATTGTTAAATAACATAAAAATGTTCAACAAATATTCAAACTATAGATATCTGTTATATTAGATCTACATTTTTATTATACAATTAAGGATTTTTAAACACTCTAACAATTTATGAAAATGTTATTTTATCGTTTTTAAATGGGTCTAATATTTCATAAATTTGAGAACACTCTTCATTCTTCAAATTAGGTTTTATGCTTTCTGTCAATTTTAAAAATTATTACTAAAGAAAATATAATATAAATTAATACTTGATTGATAATTCCATCTTTATCATGATCAACAGACTTAAATACTACACATAAATTTGCTAAGTATTATTGATAAAGATTCATAAAATATTCAAGAATAAGCTTGATAAAGATAGAAAATTCGTATTTTATTTGTTCTTTTTAAGCACTTGGTCTTCTTTGTTATTCTTTTTAATTGATTCTTTTAATTGGACTTACACTAGTTGCTGTTTTAATTTAATGCATATTTAATAGATTAAGTATAGTTTCTCTATCCTCTTCACCAAGACAACATTTTAAAATTTCTATCGCTTCTTATTAAGTTATTTATCCTGCCACTTTTTGTTTAACCATTTCCTTTATTTCTGCTACAGGTTTTGTTTTATATTTTGCTTATAAAATGTTCTAAATCTTTAAATTAATTTATATACTTAAATTATATGTTCAATATTTAATTTACGTTAAGATTGTAATATTCTAAAATCTTCATCTATATTATTTTTAAGCATTAATCCAAAAACAGTTACATCATTATCTTCAGTAATATATTTTTTAATTGCATTAATGATACAAGCCACCCATTCCAAAGCTAAGTTCTACATATGATTTATTTTAATTACTTTTAATCCATATTTACAATATAAGTAAGTATAAATATGTTATTCGATTGTTTCTAAAGGTAATTTATTCTCATATTGTCTAATATCATGTTTAGATTTGCTTTCATAAATATCTTAAATGATATCTTTTAATTATTTAAGAGTTAATGGTCTAAATGATTAAGGTTATACTAAAAGATGAAATTCTGATAAGGCTTTTTATCTCTTCTTTTCAATAATACTAGGGCTTTCTGTTTATTTATAACTGATATCAGACATGACATTTGATGAGTTTTCTACTTTTGATCTTCTAATTATCATTTCTAAGTATTTTTTATTTTCTTATTGAAGTTATTCATTTTAACATTACAAATCTTCAAGTTCTTATTGAAAGGATTGTAAATCAATAGATTTATTAATTATTTTACCTTCTTAATCATTTGTTTGGCTTTCTTTTTCAAAAAATTGTGGATAATCTGTTTAGGTTGTTTTAATAAGCATAACAACTTATTAAGTTTAAAAATTAGAAAATGATTAAATATCCTGAAAAGATTGATTTGCAGATTGAATTTATTTAGAACTATCTCTATGAGATCTCTATAATAATTATTATTAGGCAAATTAATATTCTAATTAAGAATTTATGTTATTAAGATTTTCTTTCTCCTATTCCAATTATTGTAAAGTATTTTATAAAGTATTGATTTAGAGTTGTAAAGGATGAATTAGTTCATATAGTTAATCTTTTTACTATTAAATTTTATTCTTTTCATTTAATAGACGATCATGTTCTTCTTTAAAGAGTTGAATTTCTTTATTTTAAGATTTTACAATATCACTATTTAAGATGAGTTATTCAATTTCATGATTATCTTTTTAAATTTTTTTATAATCTTTTAGATTGTAAATGATATTTGTTAAATCATTAAATATATAGGAATGTTCCTATTATAAAGTTCTTAAAACTTATTCTAATTTATTGTTATTATTACGAAAATAATCAATTAATTCTCTGAAACATATCTCATATAAATCATATTTCGCCTAAATAGATTAATTCATATTACTTTAAGTATATGAGTATCAAGAAAGTGTTTGGAATGAGTTTGTTAGACTTTGGTTGAAAAATCTGTCATAACATCTTTAACGTGGTCAGTCAATTAAGAAGAGTGTGTTTTTTGTTGATTGGAATTATTTTCCATATTACAAATTTAATTAAATAGGTTCTTTTAACTTAATTAGATAATGAAGTACTTCCACATTATCCACATCATCTTAATTGAAAGTAATTTCACTTTAGTATGATTTTTCAGATCGTGCTGATTATCTTTCAGAAGGTCTATCACTATCTAGTTGATCAAAAAATTTGAGTCTTCTATTATTAAGTGTGATTAAATTTGGTAATTATAGGATTAAATATTTCTCTTCATTAATATTCCTCAATCCAATATGAAGATGTATTAATTTTGGCATTGTTTTCAAAGCATTTATTATAGGAATAATCTATATAAATTGTTAAAATAATTACATCATCAAATAGATTATTGGAAATATCTAATGTTTCAACTGTATTCAATGTCGAAAGATCTTCAGGTAAGGTATGTAAACGATTACCATGCAAAATTAACTTGATTGATGCATTATCATAATACTTCACGTAAATTGCTGCATTCTGCCAAATGAGGTAACAGATCTTTTAGATTATCAATTTATTAAAACTCTAAATCAACAGTCTGATTGCAATTTTTATTCGGTTTCTATCTCAATAGATCTACATCTAAGTCAATAATCTACTTGTTTTAAGTACTGATTCTGTTAGTAATTGCATTCTCTTTTTAGAATCTTCAAAGTCAAATTTATCAGCATCTGCAATGTGCAATGAAACAGCTAACACTTCTTTGGCAATCTCCTTTTAATTCATAATATATTTATTTTATTATAATGTGTAAATTTATTCATAGTATATAGACTCTAAAGTAACATAATCACATTATAATTTTCCTATTGTAACCATAATATTTATTTTTATAAACTAAAATATGAGAAATTGATATGTATAGAACTTATAAATAATAGTGTTAAAATATTATATTGAAATCTATCTTAAGTTTAATTAACATTTGATTTTGATGTAATGACTCAATATTCAGTATATGCCATCCTAATTATAATTAATTGTTAGATAATTAGTGATGATAAAGGTTTATTTATTTATTTATTTTGAAGATGATTTCCAGAATATAAAATATTTTCAGATGATGATTGAACATGATATTTATAAGTATGAATCATTTAATAATGAATTGTAATAAATTTATAACAATATGATTGAGGAGATGTAGAATTTATAATTAATTCAAATAGATTCAAAAAAATTGATATAAACTAGATCTATAACTAAATATAATTTTATTTTAAATAAATTACTTAATTTCAACAACAAGATTTATTTTTTTGTTTTGTGGTTTCAACAGCAGGATCATTTAATTAAATATATTTTCCATCTAATTATGGATCTATTTTTTAATTCTTTTCTTTTTCTTCTTATTTAGAATCATTTGATTATGATGCAAGATACTTTTGATACTCACTTCCTACCCTAACCCCAAAACTCTATTAATAGTAATGATATTAACTTCATTTTTAGGGTCTATTATTCCTTTTTGTATTTTAAATAGAATGATTTCTGCCAATTTAGTAAACATCTATTGAATTGAATTAATATGGAATAATACTTAGTCTACATTATAATTAGTTTTGGCACTTGTTTCCATAAATCCAATTTCATTGTCTTAAGCAAATTGTTTGGCTTCCTCAAATGAGACTTGACGTCTTTTATAATAAGAATATTGATATACTCCTATTCTAGATCATTTTTATTTCCTATTAATAAGAATGTAATTTGCTTATTTCCATTTTCTCTTGCATCATCAAGCCATTTCACAACATTTTCAAAAGAGTTTCTCCTAATTAAAAATATTTCTTGATTGATTACTTTGTTATATCATATACAATAATAGCAGCAGCAGATGATCGATAATAAGATCTAGTAATTGATCGAAAAGACTCTTAACCTGCCTCAATAATAAAAATATTTTAGATACTGTGTCCCATATAGACAATTTAATAGCAACATTTTAAATTCTGATGATTCTAGCTCCAAATTCAACTCCAATAGTGACATCATGCTTTGATCGGAATCTTTTGTCTATAAATTGCATCAATAGGCAACTCTTACCAACAGCTTAACTATTATTATCATTCTTTACCCATATCTCCTATAATTATGTATTTGAAGAGATACACAAAACTAGTATCAAATTTATCATTTAAGTTGCCTGTTGATGACATTTTTATTAATAATTAAGATAATATTAATTAATCTAAATAATAATAAAAATGAGTGAATAAGATCATGATGAATATTATGATGAACAGGAAGGGGATTAAGAAGGAGATATGGAAGGTGATGATTAAGAATTTGATTTTGAAAATATGACACCAGAATAGTAATAATAATTTTTGGCAATGCATGGTAACAAACAGTTATCCATATTAATATAGGATAATATAATTAAGGAGAGGAAGAAGATGAAGAAGAAGTAGGTGATGAAGAAGTTGATGATTAAGAATAAGACTAAAGGTAGATGAATCAAGGAATGGGAAGTTCATCTTAATTTTAATAAGATAATGCTGAAGAATCAAAACATAGTCCAGGAAGAAGAGAATAAAATGATGAATATGATCCAGATGAGATCTTAAGAAAAGTTAAAAGGGATTTATTAGAAAATGTAAATAGAATAAGGAGGGAAAAGAAACTGAATCCATTATATATAGAATTAATGCCTGCAATTGTAGCAGAAAGATATGCTTCTCATTTGCTTGATAATGATCATAGTGATGCTGAATTTAAGAAATTGTAATATTAAATAATTAATTTTGAATAGAATCGAATTTTATAAGTATAATGAAAAGAAATTAGATGATCTTAAATTGATTTATATTGTCTCCAAATTTGAAGAAGATACTATACCTGATGCATAAGTTATCTATGATTATTTTATGGAAATGGGTTATCTATTTTTTGAAGTTGAAGATGATAGAAAAATATTACTATCTAATGAAATGAATCATATCTCCATTGGTGTGTCATGTGATGATAATTAAGTTGCTATTGTTTATATTGTAAGTCATAAAGATTTATGTGTTACTAAAATTGAAGATAGTAATGATGGATGCATTTTAGTTCATGGAAAGATGCTTGAAGATTTAGTAGGTGTATATGCCTTATAAATATTACCTTTTTCTAGTGATTCTGGTAAAGTTCCTGATAAAAATGAAAATAATAAAATAGGACCTGAACATATTGAATTTGATAGATAAACTAAATGTTTTGTTGCTAAAATTGGAAATCAGGGATAGCCATGCACATATGATATCAGATAATACATTGATTTGTATACTAGAAATACACCAGAATCCATTCCTTATAAAAAAAGCACAAGAGAAAAATTAAACTTAAAACATATTGAATTAAAACTGAGAATACCAGTGATCTTCTACCCTGATCCTAGATATGCTCATGAAGAATAAGAGGCATTATAATCTCATTAATAAGAAGAATAGGCCTAATAAGCTTTATAAGAATCTCCTATTTAATAATTAGATGATTAAAATAGTGAAGATTAAAATAAAGATAATTTATCATAAGATGAAAATCAAAAATAAAAGGAAGATGAATTTATTCATAAATTTTAAATGCCAAAAGAATAATAATTATCTAATAAAGATATTAAAGAAGAATTAGAAATTGCTATTGCAGAAGCATAAAGATAACATGATGAACTTTATGATCATAATGTTAATTTATAATCAAAAATTAAGTAAATAAGAAATAAATAAGAAGTTTATGCTGATAAAACTGGAGAAATGACAATGAATGAACATAAATATTTAAATACATTAGCTCATGTACATTAAATTAGATTAGATCTATAATAAACTTAAGATAGATATAATTAAATGGCATAAGAATTGCAATCAAAATTAGATGAAAAATCAAAAAAATGTAATGAAATTAGATAAGCATTTATGGATTTGAAGAGAGAAGTTGCACGTAAAGCTGCTTATTCTAGAACAGATAAACCTATTCCTGAATCTAGAATATCAGAATGGGAAGAATAAGAATCAGCTAAAAATAAAACTTTATAAGAATTAAGACTTGATACATTAAGATTGAAAAATACTTTAGCAAAAAATTAAAAGTAATTAAAAAAGAAAGAAGAATTAGCAGAAGGTTTACATTTAATTGATTTTGAATAATTAAAAATTGAAAATTAAACATTAAATGAAAAGATTGAAGAAAGAAATGAAGATCTTCATAAATTAAAGAATAAAAATACTAAGACAGTTTAAATGTTAACACATACTCGAGAGAAATTAGGTTATGTTAAAGCAAAGTTTTAAGATTAAGAAAAGATTAATTGTAATATAATTTATTATATTATTTTAGAAAAAAAAAAGGATGACTTAGAAGGATTACGTAAAAACTTAGGAGAATAAAAAGAATCTAAAGATAAATTAAGAACTGAAAATCTTAAATTAAAATAATAAACAGGGTATTTATAAATAAGTAGAATAGTATTGTGAATCGTCCTGAATTGATTTAAGATTATAGTAATAGGAAAAAAAATATTGATTAATTAAAAATTGAATTAGAGCAATTAGAGGTATAGTAATCTTTTATTTTTAGTAAAAACTAAAATATATGCAAAAGATTATTGATGAATACTAAAATCATCTCAAAAAGAAGGAGTAAGAAATATAAAATAAGCAAAAAGTTAGACTTATATGATTTATAATAATTAAAAATTTAATTATTTATTCCTTCTCCAGAGTAACTAAAAGTTCTTGATTAAAGAATTGAAGAAAATAATATATAATATGTTATAAAAATATAAATATTATTTGTTAAAATGAATGAGAAAAAGAAATCTGTGTTTTTTGATAAAAGGGATGAAAATTACATACACTTAACTTCACCAATTTACTTTTTAGAGATGTTTACAAAAAAAAAAATAAAGTGCGATATTATTATACCTCAAACTATTGTTTTTTCAAAAGGTACAGCAACATTATGGTTATTCAATTCAAAAACATCTCCTACTCCACTTATATTAAAAAAGAACTCTAATAAATTGAATTTTGTAGAAATAAGTAGAGTTTTATGCAAAGTAAAACAAAATGAAGATTTTAGAATTGATACATTAACAACTCTTTTAGATATTATTAAGGCTGGAAAGAATGAAATTACTGCATTTGCAAGAATAAGTAAAGCAAAAAAATCAATAACTAAAATTGATTTGGTTAAAATGTTTTTAGATGGAAATGTTAGTGGCTTATAAATATTGTAAGAGCATTTAGAGAATTATTCAAAAGCTGGTAATATCAATCTAATAAGTTAGATGAATTATTTTATGTTGAATATAGATAAGATGTTATTAATTTACCTGTCAGTTATAGATTTTTTAAAAAATCAACCTAAAAATAAGTAATTTTATAACCTTTGCAAAAGAAATTATCATAATTACATATATAATAATAGACATAGCATTCAGACAGTTATGATGAGAGTAATAAAAATGATTAAGTTGAATATGTGGATTGTATGTTTAAATTCTTTGATAATTAAATGAATTAAACATTATCAAAAGTAAATTAAAAATTGTAAATTTTAGATTGTTAAAAAGTTAGTTGATTTTTTAGAAAAAGCATATAAAGTGAAAGTTAAGAAATTAGTTGCTAAATTTATGCAAAATGATTAATAGATGATATATTTTCTAGGTTTAAAAGAATTATTAGTTGATTTTCAGGAAAATGCACCTTATGAAATTTAAAGCATGAAAAATGAATTAAAGGATAATAGTTCATTTGAAAATTTCTTAATTTTAATTAAAATGTTTACAAGATTAAGGGATAAAAAACCAATGAAAATACCTTAAACAATATATGAAGATGATAAAGAAATTAGTCAAAAATTATATAAAAATTTAATAGTATAAAAATGTGTTGGTGATTTTTGTGACTATATAATGGAAGAAAAGAATAGAGGTCCTCTTCAAATACGTAAAAATATTGTTACAGATTACAAAAAATATTTTGGTAATAAAAAAATGAATGAAGAAAAGTTTTCAGTTACTTTACCTCATGAAATCTCTTTTTAATTGATTCTTAGAACAAGAGAATGTTCATAAGAAGTTATAGAGGTTTTAATGAAAAATAAGATATTCACTAGAAATTCAAAGCATCATTTTTAAGAATTTGATAAAATAAATACTGATGAAGAATATCCATTTAAATTTAATAAAACAGAAGTTTATAATTTACCAAATCTCTATAAAACTGTTAAAATATGTAAAAATTGTTTTGTCGTTTACTCTTTAGCTAGTAAATATTTTGATCAGAGATTATCTGATGATTTATAATAAAAATAATGGATTAAAAGGGATTCATCCTCTTTAGCCTAATAAAAAACAAGTTTAAATACAACACATTAATAATTATCATAATTAGATAGATCAAACATAAAAAGAAATGATTCAAGGATTAGATAAAATTAAAATTAATCATTATAAAAAATAAAAACTCAAACATCATAAAATAATGCAGAATAAGAATAAGGGGAAAATAGAGTTAGAAAAATATAGAGTGCAAAATAGTTTAGAGTTATTCAATCTGCTCATTCATAGGCTCCTAAAACATTTAAATTATTTATGCCTAGCTAATAAACATAATTGGAAAATACAAAACGGAATTCTTCAAATTCCAAAACCAATAATATTGATATAAATAGATTAACTATGGGTTTTCTTAATTATACAAAGCCTCCAAAACCAAATAAGATTTAATCTGCAAAATTGCATTCTGGTGGACTATAATCTTAAAGAAGTTAAATGGAATCATAACATTTAAAAAGATCAGATAGCTAATCAGATTAATTTTAAAGAAATAGAATCAATAAAAGTTAGAGATAATTGAATTCAAATAGATAATCATTCTTTTAGGGTAAATTAAGAGTTATTGAAGTTCCATAAACTCAATATTCTTTATTAGATGTTTGTCAACTCTATGATTTAGAATATCCCCCTGAAAGTGTACCAGATATATTTTTGGAGTCTGTAAATTACTTTTGTTTTGAATAGTGTGCAATACCATATTTAATATTATAACACTAAGAAGATGATTAAGAGATTAATAAAGACAATTAAAGTGGTTTAGATTTAACTGAAAAAGAACATCAAATAGTAATATTTTTAGGAGATTTTTTTGATAATTCATTTGAATATTTAGACGTGATGTAATAGAATATTAAAGCTAATACAACTATTTTATTAATGAATTTACCAGGTAAAACTTTTATTTTATTGTAGGGTAGTCCTATACAGTGTTTGATCCAAATATAATTCAAGATAATTTAGATATTTCTTTATTATTGGATTCATTACTTTTTGAGCTATGTCAAAAAGATATAATTAAAAATAATGACATTTATAAATTTATAGGATATGGATATGGTGGATTCTAGATACTAAGTTACAGTAATAATTATTTCTAATTTAGTGACACATATATAAAATAATCTTCCTAGAATTGGAGGTTTATTAATAATTAATGGTTTTTGCGAAATCGATGATATGCTGACTGACACTTTGAAGAAATCAAAAGAAGTATTTTAAACTTGTCCAAATGATATGCCTGAATTAGGATTCCATTTCTGGAATTCTCTCATATAATCTCATGAAGAGAAGTAAGATCCTAGATATAATCCTATTTCTTTGAATGGAAGATTACATATAATAAACGGTATTTATTAATTAAATATTAGGTTTAATTAAATCATAAAATGTTTGGAATTCATGTGGTTAAGAAATTCCCATTAAGCTTTATCATGGTCTAAAAAATTGTGTTGTTAATATTAAATAGGCTCATCAAATTAAAAATAGTTCTTGTTCAAGTAATTCTTGTGAAATGAATTTAATAAATTTTGGGCACAAACTTTAAAATTTAGAAGAATTGTTATTTGAATTCCTATGACATTTATATGTATAAATTATGATTATTACGATAAATATACAGTATTTCAATTGTATTACTCTATCTCATTAATGGATATTAGTATTTAAAAAGGAAATTGTAACTTAAAACAGAATTATTTTGTAGATTCTAATACATAATTTATATCTATAACAATCATTAATCAATTTTTGGAGGTATTCAGTCCTCATAATCGGAGCTTTAATCTTTACTTTCTAAATATTCCAGATCTTTAAAATGTTGATCTAAAGAAGTATTTAAATCTATTTGATTTTAGGATGACTTTTTTCTTGTATTGATTTCAAATTCATAAAAATCTGTGTAAAATTTGTCTAGTTTAGAACTTAGCTTATCCATTTTCTTTAAATTTAATAATTATTGAATAATCTTAATTAAATTTGTATTTCACATAAAATTCTTATCAAATTTGATTAAATTAATCAGTATTCTTATTTTAAATGAATAATTCTTAAATTTAATAATATTCAAAATATAATAATAAGAATTTCATTATTCAAACTTTACCTCAATTAAATCCTACATTAAATGTAACTATAATATAATTATATTATAAAATACCATCATAAATAATTATTTTTCTTTAATTTTAATTAATTTTGCAGCTTATTTGTGCTGAATTTTTAATTTTTCTATATTTTTTGTTGCCACTTCTATATTTTTAACAATATTGTCAACATTCTCATAACTACTTATTTATTTTGATAAATTTTCATAATGTTATCTATTAATTTTTATTTATTCTTCAATTTAATACACACTTTTTAGATTTTCTATTTCTAAATCAGTTTATTTTATTCCTTCGACTAAGAAAGTCAGTGTAATACATTACTTATTGAATTATTTAATTCTTAATTTTATTCTCTATCAAAATTTTATGCTTCCAATTATCTGACTGCCTTAGCTATTTAAAATTCATAAACAGTTATTTCTTTTTAAAATTCAGCAACTAATTATTGTCTTTTTATTTAGTCTATTTATTTACAATTTTTCTTCACTCAAAGTTTCTTATGGTGCAGTGATTTCAATATATTTTTTAAGGATGACCTTTAATTAAGCATCTTTATAAATCAATAAATCTTTTATAATCCTTTCTGTTGAATCTGGATCTAATTTGTAAGGTGGCTGTAAATCTCGATTCATTGTGTATATTTATTAATAATTAAGTATTGTTAAATTTAGAATGTATATAAAATACTTAAAAACTTATGAGAAAACATTCCCATTTCTAACTATTATTTTGATGATCTATAAATAATAATCATTAAATATTTATTCATTTTAAATATAGACAATTTTCTTATATATTATCAATAGGGGCTCCTTTAAAAAGTAAATTATTAATTATTATAATAATAAAGATTTCTTATATAGTATATATTTTATTAAATTTGTCTCCTTAACTCCTTTATGTTAAGCTCAAATATTTTGTTTAATAGATCCTTTTAAAATATTTTAAAATTAAATTTAAATAATTTGATTTACTTTAGATAATATTATAATATAATTAAAATCACTTCAATCTAATAATTCAGGTAGAATATCTTCTGATTTTCCTATTAACCAAAATGTATTTCCAACTTCAATAACAGGTTCTGGATTTATTTCAATTATTGTAGCTTTCTTTTTGATAAATTCACAAACCAAAGTTTTAGCGAAATGAGTTTATAAAGTTGTACCAATTACAATAATAGTATCATACCTTTAATATAACTCTTATATTTCTGTTATCCTACAATTTTCATCTAAAATCTCTTCATCAAGTAATAATAAATGAGGTCTTCCTTTTGCTCCACATATAGGACATTTTGGAATCTCTTATTATAATAGATCTGGAATATCATAAACAGTCATTAATTCTGCTTCTTGAAATGTACATTCATACAAACATCTCATATATTTGATATTACCATTAATTTCATAAACCTATTTGTTATATCCATATTTAATCTATTCAGATTCAAACAAAGAAACTAACAAATTATCAATACTTAAATTAACAATCAAAGCATCTTTATTTTTTTCTTTAAAATTCTTTATAGCAATATGACCAGCATTTGGTATTTTATCCTATGTTTATTATTTAAATTATTTATGCCATTCCCAATATATTTCAGTTTAATCTAATAAGAAATCTCTAGTTTTCAATTTAGATAATTGGTAATTGCAATCTCCATATAGCCATACTCCATTCTATTCTTTTGAAGTAGGAATGTCACTTGCTTTGCTGAGACCTGAACCACATAAAATAACAGTGTTTTTAGTGATTAATTATTTTGCTTCATTTATAGTTAATTCTATAGCAGTTTTTGGATTATGTTCACTTGAACTTATACTATTTGAAATTAAGGATTTGCCTATGTTTTCAAGTAATTAATCCATTGTGATGCTAAAAGTTTTTTAAAAGTTGTCAATATTATCAACAGTTGATCTTGCCTGCTCTTAGACATCATTAATTGTTTAGAATGTAAGTTTCATTTTTTATAATGTTTCATTTGATCTATCCTATGATTCTTAGATTTCTTTTTATATTTTCTAATATCTTTATTTTTCTAGTAATTGTTTCTCATCAAGTTCTTCTTCTTCTTCTTCTTATAATTTTTAATCCATTTATTTTAAATGAAAATTTATTTAATTTATGTGGTGGTTTATATTATTAATATTATCAACAAAATTTATATTTCACTTTCCGAAATAGGATAAGAATCCTTTTTTTTTAATTGTCTAATCATCCTCTTTAAGTGGACTTAAAGGAGTGTTTTAAGAATTTTAATTCTTTTTTTCTTTCTTTGCTATTTAAGTTTCAAGTTTCTTCAATTTGGATTAAAAATATTCTTTTTCAGTCAATATTTAATTATATAATAAAGTGCTTTCTTATGCTTATTTTTCAGCTCTTTTAACTTCTGATTTTAAGAAATTTACTTCTTCAGCCCAACTTAATTTGGCAGTAATAAAATGAGTTTCAAGTTTATGAAGTGATTATTTTAATTATTCTTAATCTATTCTCAAATCTCTTTCTTAAGAATAATCAAGTTTTCCTTTTCTTAAGTTTTATATTTCTAATAATTATGCTTTTATTTCTGATTATAATACACCAACTAAATGTTCATAATTTTCTATTTCTTCTGCTAATTATCTAAATATAATATAATTATATCTTACTCATTTTCATGTTTTATAGAATGTAATTCTATTTTTAATTATTCTATTTCTTAATATCTTCTTTTAGTATTCACACTTGTATTTGAGATTCTAGATGATGCAAACATATGTCCTAATCCATTTTTAGATTAAGGTGTTTATGGTATTTATTAATGGAAACTATCTTCACTCTATTAAGTATTATGAGGTTTTTCTATTGAAACTTCTTCTGTTAATAATTCACTTAATAAATTTCCTCCCTATCCTTATTCTTCTTATTATGAATGTTATCTTTCACTAGGTATATGAATCTTTTGCATTTATAATTATTCTTCATAATAAAATTTAGTTTCTTGTAATTATTATTCTAAATGATTAACTTATTATTCTAAATCATCAATTTATTATTAACAATTATTATTAAATTATCTAAGTTCATCCATATCTTAAATCTATTTTCTAATATTATTCTCCAATTTAACATTTAATTTAACTTATTCATCTCTTTATTTTTAAAGTATAGTTCTCTCTCTCTATAAATTAGTATATTATTTAAATGCATCTTCAGATTTTCTATCACTTTTTAATACTTATTATAAAGCAGATGATAATTTCTTTTACATCTCTACATGTCTACCTTCATAAAAACTAACTTCCTTATACTTTTCATCTTTAACTTATTATAATAATTTCTCCTAACTAACTAATAATTTATCTTAATTCTTTATTTTCTCTTCATAAAGATTGATTTAATGAAGTAAATCTTATTCTACTGATTTTGATTCATTTATTTAATGACTAATACTATCTAATACTCTTTCTGTAATTTCATGCTCTAATTTCATTAATCTTTCATCAAAATTCAATTAGTCTTATTCTATTTTCTAGTTTAATTCCTATACTAATTATTTTAAATTTTAAATTTTAATATCCTTTTCATCATCTACATTAGAACTATGTACTTAATCATGAAAAGTCTCTTAAATTTATGTTGAACATTCAAGTTGACTTTTTAGATCTTATATAACTTTTTCTTTTTCAACAATTAATGCAATTGCTGTTTCCTCCATTTTAACTAACTATTATTTTAATTCATCTATTTCCTCATTCTCTGGCTTTCTTTTTAAACTCTAAATTTCTTTTTGCAATTTCAACTATAAATTTATTCACATAATTAACTTCATTAGCTTTATATTCTAACAACTTATTTTCAGCTTCTGACAACTTTAATTCAAGTTAAGTAGCAAATGATTAAATTTCCCCTTGTCCTATTGAACTAATTTATGTGGTTATTTCATTCTCCAAATCACTTGTTCTTTTTCTCTCTCTCTCAAGTTCATTTGTTAACTTTTTATTAATAAAGGTAATACTTCTAATATCTGTTGTTTAAATTGAAATTCTTAAACTCTTAATTATTTTTAAAGTGCCTCTATTTCTACTTTTTATGCTTGAATCTTCCCCACAAGCTAAAGTAAGAATTATAATTATTACAAACATTTCTTCATCATCAGAATGATTGTTGTTAGACATAGATTATAAATTATAATTAATTAAAGATAATATATTTTTTTGATTGTTCTTTATGAAATTTAGAATTTATAAGATAACTTTAAATATGAATTAACCATATTATTTGAAAAATACAAAACCATTTAGAATTTTATTTTCAAATTTTAGATAACCATTATTTTTTAATTTATTTCAAAAATTTACTAAATGAAACTTGAATATTAATATTCATGTGGAATCATCTTAGATATATTAAGTTTCATAAGAAGTTTAAGAATTAAATTACATTAAAACTTAAAGTTATTTAAAATATTAAGTGAATTAACTTGAAGAAGGTAAATATGTCTCTCATAGTGAATCATACAAAGAAATTATAATAACATCTTTATAGAAATAAGTTATCTATAGATTATTAGATTCTCCTTTATTTCCTGTTAAACTAAGTGATATTAATTAAAATATATATTATTTAATTATCAATATAATGTAAATCCATCTCTTATAATTATTTATTTAATATAATTTATTTATAAATAAATTTGATAATTTACAGATCATGTATTAATCCTAAGAAATATTGAGTGATGAAGAAGATTTTGAAACTTAATAATATCTAATTAGGCAAAGACAAAGTAAAATTATTTATATAATTTAAGTTGCTGAATTATAATAGTAATATTAATCTAAAAGGTAGGAGTTAGATAAATATTTAAAGACTGAAGAATCAATTGTATCTCCTAGATTATTCAATTATGAAACTAATTACTCTACAAATTAAACTTTGAAAAACTAAATAATATCTACAGAACCTAATTAGAATTTAGATATTGCATAAAAACAATAAAATTAATTTTTAACAAGTTTTGCTTCTTTGAATAAAAGGTCTTTAATTACTCCTACATCAGATAGAAGATCAGAAGTATAATAGAATTCAAACTTTAATACAAATAAAACATCTAAATCTCCTATTCAAAATCCAATATTGTAAAATAATAAAAAGATAATCATTAAAAAAGTTAATCATGAAACATAAACACAATTAACAGTCTCTTGTAAAATACCTATAAATTCCAAATTTTCAATTTAATTACAATAAAATTTGGACTCTAATTTAAACAAGGCAACTCAAACAACATAAATTTTAAAATAAAAAAATTTAGTATAGAATTCAAAACCTAAAGTTTAAGAAACAAATTCAATAAATAAATATACTTAAAGGTTTAAAACTGAATATAATTGTGCAAAAGAATAGAATGAATCAACAAAAATATAACAAAATACAAAAAAGACTCCAATGAATAAAAAGTAATTTGAATAATGGTATAAGTCATAATAAAGTTGGTATTACATATATTTATACTAGGGTTAATAAAACTGAAATGAAAGTGTTTTAATAAAGAATGGAAAAGGAATAAATGAATTAGGAATCTGATTATTAATAATAAAGTTTCAGTCCAAAGATATTAAAACATTCTTAAGATATAGTAAATCAAAAATTCTCAGGTTGTTAGTTTATGGAAAGATAATAGCAATATGATAATTATTTAAAAATGAAATAACAAAATAGAGAACATGAAGAAATTCTAGAAAGATAATCATAGAAATTTCGAATGAGTCCAATATCTAAATTAATAGTTAGAAGTGTGACTCCAAAATCATATAGAGATAATTCTAAAAACCATACTGCAAATACATCATGGTTTGGAAATCATAACACTCAATGTTATTAATGATTACTATACTTTAATAAATAACATTATAAAAATGAAAATTCTATATAATTTATTGTTTCTTCTAGAAATTATTTTAGGTGCAGAACAGTGTTAATGTTCAAATTTTACTTAACCTTAATAATGTACATAATTTTAAGGATGCAATTGGAATGGGAAAAATTGTTATCAACCAAATTGTACAGAAATTATATCATAATCAAAATGTATAAGTCCTTAATGTGCTTGGTATTTGGAGAAATGTCATGATGGATAATCTTGCAATTATTATACAGATAAATAAATTTGTAATCAAATATTTGGATGTATCGCAAATGATGGATATTGTCTTCCTTATGAAGATTGTAATTTTACAACCTAAGAAAAGTGTCAAGGCATTACTCCTACAGGAATATAATGTTTTTGGAATTCATAAACTTAGAGTTGCCTTAAATTTTAAAGTTGTAATAGATTATCATTGGATAATAATGATTGTAATTCTATACCTTATTGTATCTAAAAGAAGAAATAATGTGAGAATTTTAGTAACTTAAAATGTTCTGATATGGAAAGTGTATTTTCTATCATCATTATTAGTAATAAGATTGTAGCAGAATGGCATAATATGAATGTTCATGGTTAAATGATAAATGTCAATATGTTGCTTGTTCTACTTACACAACTCCATTATCCTGTAGTGTTAATTCTTGTACTTGGAATGGATCATCTTGTTTATATTGTCCAGTAAACATTTTATATATAAATATAGATAGATAATTCTTATAGTAATTTAATAATCATTTTAAATCTACTTATTTCGATAGTATTATTTTGAAATATAAGATATATATAATATATAATATATGTAAATTTTCATTGTTTACTTTTAATTTCTAAATTAAGCATTCTTTCTAAACAGTTTAAGTAATTTGCAGAAAGATTTGGCATCTTATATAAAGATTATTCTAATAATTATCAAAATTATTACATTTTTAAAGTTTAACTTTGCTTTAAAATCCTTTAATTATTTCATCTGAAGACATTATACTATTTTGAAGTTAATCATTACTTAATTAACTCATAGTATTTAATATTTTAGAATTATTATTTATTACACTATTTAATTTCTTATAATCTTCAGGTTATTTAAATTCTTTTTATTTCTAACTCATTATAGAAGTATTTTAATTTTCTAAATTTATAAACATTGGACTTTAAAGTGTTACACCTCTTGGTGTTGTATCAATTTTAATTAATTTTAATTAAGATTTTTTTGATGACTACAAACTACATTTATCTGTTTTCAAACGAGGTATATGATTTCTTAATGTTGAAATACCTTAATGAGATCTAGCTGTTTATTTTATTAATTTTAAAGTTTATTCAATACTAAGTATATTATCATTCTTAAATTTTTCAATGAAAAGTGAATTTTATTTTGATCTATTATGTTTTTTTAGCTCAAGTGAAGGTAATTAAGAATTAGAACTTTATTAAGTTACTTCAACTTGAATTAAATCTTCAATTTAAACATCAGGCAATTATTAAACAAAGTCTTCTTATATATGATTTTTTATTGTTTAATAATTTAATGCTCTATGTTATTCACTATAAACCTCATCTTTAATAAAATTTAAAATATCTTATAGATTTCTTTTAATATCTTTAAATACTCTTGTTTCTAAACAATTATCATTATAATCAGCAGAAAGTATAAACTTTTATTTTTTTATTTTTTTTATTTTTGCTAAAATATTTTCAATTTTTTTTTAGAAAGGCAAACAAATGTCAAAAGATTCGCTTACTTAATAAAGTAAAAATTTAGATAAAAGAAATTCCTAAATCTAATTATACTATTTACTCTAACATCAACTGATGTGATGACTTTCCCTATTGCTTAAATATCCAATTTTAATTGTTATTGTACTTATTCAATTATATCTGCTTTTAATTCTAACATTATATTAAGCTTTTCTATTTCCTTTCTAAATTATTTAAATAACAATTATAATTAAATTAAAATATCTCTATTTTTAATAATTTTAATCGATCTTAAAACTAAATACATAAAAATATTTACTAAAATTAAATTTATTCTTAATTATTTATATATCTATTTTTTCAATTTACTTGCTAATTTTAGCAAATTTTGAATCTCTAAGAATCATTTTAGTACTACTTTGATATTTTAAGGCAGGATTTAAAAAGTAGATTATTCTATCTTAATCATATGCAATAGTTGGTGTTTAAAGATCAATTGTTTCAAACTTAAAATGTGCACATTTTATTTCTTATACTCCATACCAAGTTGTTGATGTTTTTTCAAGTATAAAATCAAATGTTACTTAACCCAATCTAAATGAACCTTAGTTTTATTAATAAGTATGATATTCTTTAGCAGTTTCAAATTTCTATTTACTCAATAATACTTATAAATACTCTTTAATCAATGTTTTTTAGAATAATTCTTAGTAATTTTAAGAATGCCAATTATGAATCAAATGAAATAACACTTTCAAAATCATTCAAAGGTTCTTTACAATTTGTTAATAAATCATAATATTAATTGTTTTCTCTTGTATAACATTTTAGCTTAATTTTAATATCAATTATACAAACATTTTATAGTTAAATCTATTTTCAAATGTGTTATTTTTCTCTAACTTTTTTAATTCTTCTAATCTATAAAATACATGTCCAGTAAAAATTAATAATAAACCTGGATCCTATGGTGCACCAATCAAACAATGAGTTCTACCACTTTTGATATCTCCTTTTAGTAAAAATCTAAAAGATTGTAAATCAATGTAAGCATCAACATTATATTGAATTAATTGTGTATACATATCCATATTTGTTATGTTTGACTTAAAAATAGTTTCAAATCTATGCTATCTTTATTATCATTACTCATAAGTATCTTTGACTAAAATATGCTTAAGCTAGTCTTCCATTTAATGATCTCTAATAATAACGGAATATAAATCCAAGATATCAATAGAACCTTTTAATATGTGGAGAAAAAGATACTAGGTTACTGTCGATCAGCAAAGTCTGGATTACGTACTCTTAAATATTTTAACATTAATATTGATTAAATTGTATTTTCTTTTTTGATTATAAATTATATTAAAAACTCAAAGCTCATTTTTTTTTTATAATTAAGCAGCAGTTGAAGCTAATTTATCTGCAATTTCATTATGATCTCTCGAAATATGAGTATATTTAACTTTCTTAAATAATTATGCATAATCACAAATTGCTACTCTAATGTCTTCTAAATGTTTTTATTTATAATTTAACTTATTATTCATTCCATCAATTATAAGCTAATAATCAATAATCTCAATACTTTACTATCCCCAAAACATTCTAAATAATTTATTCCTAAATTTAAAGTATATCTTATTCCAAAAAACAATGCCAAAAATTCAGCTACATTATTTGTTTACTTTCCCAAAGGTTAAGTAATTTCTTTAATTAATTTCATTTTATCAAACAATGCTATTCCAGCACCAGCAGGACCAGGGTTAGATTTACTTGCACCATCAAAATAAAGTGTATATAGATTTTAAGGTTAAATAGGAATTATTTCTAGACTTTTTGGATAATAATATAATAGATTTTCAAATTATTAATCCAATTATTCTAATTTAACTAATCTTTATCTACTAATTTATATTTTCTTCATTTAATCTTCTATCTCATCCAAAATACTATAACAATCATTTTAATTTATATCATCAAATTTATACTAGTTAACTATCTTATTCTCCTATTTATATTTGAATTAACTATTTTATATTGTTGTATTTTCTACATTATAAGTCTTATCGAAGACATTTTATTATTATTATTAAACACTAATTTCTCTAATTTATCCATCTTTTTAGCTAAACAGAAAAAAGAATATGATACCTTCTCTCTCTTATTAAACTAATATCAGAAATCATCATTTATTATAAATTTTCAACTTGCTTAAATTCCAATAATTATTGTGCTTAAATAGCAAATTATTGGGCTTTTTCAAATTCTTTAAAATATATTAATTTATAGCCATCAGGTTTTTCAAGTTTCTTAATAGCATATCTTTCTAATTAAAATACTCTAGGCTTCAAAGAATAATCTAAGAAAACAATAGCTGATTTTAATTTCATATAAAAATTATAATTATAATTAAATTCTAATTAATATATAGAAATAAGCTATCATTTATATAATTAACTAGTTATATTAAATTTTCTTAATAAAAATATAATTATTAATTTATATTTGAAAAATGATATATATCAAGATTTTATCGTTGCCTTCATTTTTCTCAATTATATCTAACTTAATAGTATTCAATTAATATCTTCCTCTTAATGATATCCATTTTCTTCTTCTTCTTCTTCTTCTTCTCTTTATTCTCCTTCTCCTTCATATTGATTTTGATCGATATCAAATAAATGCATATTTTACTAAATAAAATAATAATTTACATTAAATATTTCTCTAAATTAACTATTTTCATTTAATAATTTTTCATTATCTTCTGTAATAACTTATTTTTCATCTAACATATGTTAATACAATTCTTTAAAATTTTCAATTAGTTCTTCTAATTTCTTAATTTCTTAATCTTTCTATTCTATTTCTTACTTAATATTATTTCTATCTGAATTCTAATCTTCTTTGTGATCTCCACCTCCATTTTATATTTATGTAGATAATTATTCAATTAATTAATCCTTCATATTAATTTCATTTTCCATTTCTTCCATTTTAGCTTAGATTTAATCTAAATTATAATTTTAAAATTCTTAAACAATTTCATCAATTTATTATTATTTTTCCAGAATTACTTATTCTAATTCTTACATTTATTTTTCATATTATTTCTTTTATTAATCTAATTTCTTTTATGTCTATGCTTCAGCATTGGTTAATTAATCTTTCAATTTCTTTACATCAGTTGTAAGATTAGATGTCTATTTCTTTTCTTCTTCATTCTCTTTTTTTATATCATTAAACTTTTTTCTAAATCTTATTGAGATTATTTTCTTTAAAATAAATTAGAATATATAAATTTACATTTTTTTTTCTACTTCTTTATTCACTTAATTCAAATAATCTTAAGTTTATTTTAATTCTTTTTCTAGTAATTAATTCTATTCTTTCTCTTCTTTTAATAAATTAATAAGAGATTAATTATTTTAATCCTAAAAAATTAAATTTAAATGAATTACTTAATTATTCTAAGAGCTATTTTTATAATCTTATTCTTTGGGTTCATATTTTATTTAATTATTCTATCTTTGATTAATTTCTTTTTGTTGTTAATGTTATACTACTTTAGCAACATTTTGATTTTGCTTCTAAACAAATTAGAGAGGCTCTTATTTATTACTAATTGGAACTTTTGACTATTGATATTATTGTTATTAAGGTTATTATTATTTTTTTGATTAAATATGTTAGGCATTTTTATTCCCTTGTATGGTATCTGAATTTTTTGGAGCTTTTGAATAGATTTCTATTGTTAATGAGATTTCTATAGTCACCTTAGTAAGGAATGATATCTCTTTTATGTTATTGATCTATCGACACTTATTTATTATGGACTGTTTGATCACAAGTGTAACATAATCTGATCATTTATCCTATTTTACACTATAGACATTTGATTGTTGCAGGTCTCTAATTACATTGTATACATTTAACAAAGAGTGTAGTCATAAAATTTGAATTAATAAAAATAATGATATTTTTTTTGTTATAAACAGTTTTAGCAAAACAACTTACTAATCTTACAACTCATGTTCTATACAATAAAATATCTGAATCAGAATAAATCAATGTAGTTGTGACAGAGTAATTAAATATAAGAGACTATCCTTAAGCAAAGTATGTTATTGATGCTAAATTGGAATCAGAATAAAGAGGAAGCATTTGTTATGTTAAATAAGGATCAATTTAATTTGGTGATTATTCTATATATAGTTAAAAAATATTTGAATTGCCTGATTTACAAACTAATGATCCAGAATTATTACTAAATATACCTGTTTTGTTGAATATGGTACACATAAAAAAAGCTTTTGCTATCGTCACAAGCAATAATTAAATATTACTATATAAAGTTAATTAAAATTCATCAAATATCATAGGTCATGATATTCAATTGTAAGCAAACTATTCTTTTCAACATTTACGCAAAGAAGCAAAAATAATAGAACCTCCATAAATTATATACACAGATTAAACACAATACATTTATTTAATATATAGAAATTAAATAATTGGAGGAAAAGTGAATTATGATAATTTAAGTTCATTTGTATTAAGGAATATAACTAATGAAAGACTAGATAATGATAATTATTATTTGGGTTAAGTAAAAGTATTTGGTTGGCATGTTTTTATTCCAATAGGTGTGGATGGATTAGATATATATTAATATAAAGAAAATGGAGAATTACATTTTATTGGGAATATGAATTCAACTACTTTATACAATAGAACTAGAAAAATAAAAATAGTTGATTTAGTATTTGGAGGAACTGAAGATTTAAAATATATGTATATACTTGATGAATAACGTGGAATCATTAGATTTATAGTCTCATCTAATTCCTCTGGATTTGATGCTTAATTAGATTCTGAATTAGGTATTATTACAATCCCTCATGGAACAACACTAGCAGAATACAATAATAGTTATATTTTAGTATTATAAGAAAGAGGAGTTATTAATACTTTAGTTGAAGTAGGTCTTCATCAAAATGCTTGGTTTAAAGTAAAAGTTCATTATTTGACTGGTAAATATTCTGAAATTGATATTTTACCTGAATTTACAATTTTAAGAGGAAAAGATGAACATAGAATTATAAGAACAGGTATTTATGAGAAATTTGAACCAAAATTTGTTTTTACTTTAAAAGATAATCTTAGTTAAGAAAGATAAAATTCTTTTTATGAAGAATATGTCTTTATACCAAGTCTAATAACTATGGATTTCTATGATGTTGATAAAGGATCACTTAATGTTAGCAACAATTTTAATTATAATATTACAAACTCATTCTTAATTGGCATTACTTCTTAATCTATTGTATATATGCCATATATTATTGAAAATCCTTACATTAGATGTAATCCAAGAAGTAATAGAACTATAGGAAGATCTTTCGATTATAAATTAATTATTAATGCAACTCATTGTCCATAAAAAGGAAAACTAACAGGTATTCCTCCATAATTAATCTTATGCCAATATGTAGATCAATTTAATGTTAAAATAACCAATGGTGATGGCATCATATATGATACAGAATCCATGGCCTCTATAATTATGGGATTTATAGTGCTCTTTATTATATTATCTATTTTATTAGCATATTTATATACAAGATACAAAATAAAGAAAATTGCTTTGGTAAGTGATATATAAGGATTTGGAGAAAGTGGTAATCGAGAAGGATATGACATGGATCAATAATAGTGATGTGAAATAGCACTTAATTTATTCTTATACATATTTTACATAAAATTAGTAAAATCATCTTTATTTGATATTTTTTTTATTCTTAAATTATTATTATTTCTATTCCCAATATTATTTTTGTTATATATATTCCTTTTCCCTTCACATATTATTATTATTTAATTGATTAGATGAAAATTATTAATATTCTTAAAATTATTTAAATAACTTCAGTGTTATTTACTTTAATCTCATGATTTACTTAATAAATTTTATACTAAATATAAAATTTATTAAATATTTTTAGTAAGCGAAGTTTAAAGAATTTAAAATCTATTATACATAATTATTTATTGCTTTAATAAATTACAAAATCAGAATTAGATATATAAATAAATATAATTAAAATTAATCGAAATAATATTTTTGAGAACTTAATTAAAACAAAATAGTATAGAATTTTAATTTAAGATCATAAGATGTAAAAATAAAGAAATATCATAAGTTTCTTCTTCTATTTTAAATATATTTTCTTTAAATGCTAATAATATCTCATCTTTAAAATTTTAAAGATTTTTTTCATTAAACCTTAGATTATAAAAACCTTAGATTAATTAAATTTATTTCTTATTTAATAATTATTATTAAGTGGTGATTTTAAATTATTATATATATTTAATTTGTGTTTAAATTAATATAAATTTGCAGTAATAATGAATCAACTCCAATAAGTGGATTATGAAAAATCAATATTTAAAATGACTTGTTTAAGAAAACATCTTCTAAAAGATATCACATACTTTTTATTCTTATTTAAAGACTACTTAATTTTAACTTAAGTAAAGAGATAAATTTATATTTTAAGGAACTAAATTCATAATAACCGAAATATGTTTTTAAGTTAAATCTTGATACAAAAGTATATTGGCAATAAGAGAAATAAAATTATTACTAAATTGGATTAGAATATAAAGGAGAAGTTAAATATTTTAATGGTGATTGTGAGGGATTAAAAAAACTGAAGATCTTGTTGAGAAATAAAGTGATATATCGTAATGTGAATGACTTCTATATACCAATCAAATAGTTAGGAAGAGGAGGTTCTTCAAGAGTAAATGCAATTTTTAGTTATAGGTATATTTGGTGACAGAGAAATGTACNCTTTGGTAAGTGATATATAAGGATTTGGAGAAAGTGGTAATCGAGAAGGATATGACATGGATCAATAATAGTGATGTGAAATAGCACTTAATTTATTCTTATACATATTTTACATAAAATTAGTAAAATCATCTTTATTTGATATTTTTTTTATTCTTAAATTATTATTATTTCTATTCCCAATATTATTTTTGTTATATATATTCCTTTTCCCTTCACATATTATTATTATTTAATTGATTAGATGAAAATTATTAATATTCTTAAAATTATTTAAATAACTTCAGTGTTATTTACTTTAATCTCATGATTTACTTAATAAATTTTACATAATTATTTATTGCTTTAATAAATTACAAAATCAGAATTAGATATATAAATAAATATAATTAAAATTAATCGAAATAATATTTTTGAGAACTTAATTAAAACAAAATAGTATAGAATTTTAATTTAAGATCATAAGATGTAAAAATAAAGAAATATCATAAGTTTCTTCTTCTATTTTAAATATATTTTCTTTAAATGCTAATAATATCTCATCTTTAAAATTTTAAAGATTTTTTTCATTAAACCTTAGATTATAAAAACCTTAGATTAATTAAATTTATTTCTTATTTAATAATTATTATTAAGTGGTGATTTTAAATTATTATATATATTTAATTTGTGTTTAAATTAATATAAATTTGCAGTAATAATGAATCAACTCCAATAAGTGGATTATGAAAAATCAATATTTAAAATGACTTGTTTAAGAAAACATCTTCTAAAAGATATCACATACTTTTTATTCTTATTTAAAGACTACTTAATTTTAACTTAAGTAAAGAGATAAATTTATATTTTAAGGAACTAAATTCATAATAACCGAAATATGTTTTTAAGTTAAATCTTGATACAAAAGTATATTGGCAATAAGAGAAATAAAATTATTACTAAATTGGATTAGAATATAAAGGAGAAGTTAAATATTTTAATGGTGATTGTGAGGGATTAAAAAAACTGAAGATCTTGTTGAGAAATAAAGTGATATATCGTAATGTGAATGACTTCTATATACCAATCAAATAGTTAGGAAGAGGAGGTTCTTCAAGAGTAAATGCAATTTTTAGTTATAGGTATATTTGGTGACAGAGAAATGTACTAATTAACAGTATGCTTCTAAAAATGTAGAAAAAAGATATTTGAAAGAAGATGGAGGATTTGTAAATATATAAATGAGCTTAGGAAGCTTTATTTAATGAAATAAATTTGATGGCAACACTAAATCATGAATACATTGTGAAATTAGAAGAAGTTTATGAAGGAGAGAATACATTTTATATTATCTTGGAATATTTGAAAGGGAATTCACTTCATGACATGATCACTAAAGGAATTATATAATTAGGATGGGATGAGATAAAATCTATAATGATGGTAATTTAATCCATATAATTAAAGTCTTTATTAACTGCAGTTGTACATATGCATTCTTTAAATATTATGCATCGAGATTTGAAGCCTGAAAATATTATGTTTAAGAATTTAAATGATATTTCTGGATTAAGAATTGTAGATTTTGGATTGGCAACAAGTACAACACCACCTAGTTATCCATTTCCTAAATGTGGTACTCCAGGATATGTTGCTCCTGAAATAGCAAATTTAAAAGACCTTTCCAAAAAATATGACAAAATTTGTGATATTTTTAGTGTAGGTTGCATTTTTTATAAATTGTAATTATTCTAAATAATTCAATTAGAATTACTTCTAAAGATTTATTTCCTGGAAATGACTATCATGAGATCTTAAAATTAAATAAAAAGTGTATGATAAATTTAGATACATTAAGTATCTACTAAACACCTTAATCAGCTATAGATTTAATCTTTCAAATGCTTTAAATTGATCCCAAAAATCGTATTACAGCATAATAAGCATTGGAACATTAATTTTTTACAGATCCATATTAAGATAGAAAGCTGAAATTTTAATAATAAAAAAAATGTTTAAACAATAATTCAAAGCCTTGGCAAACTTTAACATTTAAATAAGAAAAGTCTGATCGTTTATAAATACCTGAAATAAATCAAAATGTAAAGTAAAAAGATGAAGAGGATATTGATATTGAAGATGAAAAAGCAACTATTAAAATACCACCAATTAATAGTCCTAGGTTTGTTTAATAGGCAAAAATAAAAAATCTAGCTTTAGCAGAAGGTTCTCCTAAAGAAATGCCTAAAAAAAGTGCTTTAAAAAAGTTTTCAACTTAAGAATTTGAGCATCTAACTCCAGATACTTAATCACCTGATTCTGGTGGAATGAACTTTAGCAATAGCCCTAAAGTCATTCAGGAAGCTGTTATTAAGAAAAATTTTACTTTTTCTAAATATAATTAATAATAACAAGCTATTGATGAAGTTGATGATGAATAAAAATTGTGATTTTTAGACTGATTTTTTACCATATTAAAAGTTCTTTTATTTCAATTACAATTTATATTTATTACTATAATTTTAGTACCATTTATCAAAATAATGATGCACTCAATATAAGTATTCATATTTCATTATAACAAGACTCCAAGAATTACCAATGATTATTTAATGGACTCTGTCTCAGAAATTAGATTCGGAAATAATGATATTTTTGCTACCGGAGCTTGGGATGGTTATATACGCTTTTATTAGATTCTTTCTTAAACTGGGATATAAACATAAATAGCTCTTGACTTTAAAAATGGGATTGATTGCCAAGAACCGTAATAAGAATATTTATAAATTTAGTGTACTTTCTATAAGTTGGAAAAGAGATATGACAATGATATTTGCAGCTTTGGCTGATAATACAGTTAGAGTTTATGATATAAAAACAGGATAGAATATTGTTTTGGGTTATCATGATGATTGTCCTGCAAGATAAGTATTTTGGAATGATGAATTGTAAGTATTGGTTTCTTTGGGTTTTGATAAGAAACTAAGATTATGGTCACTTAAATAAAATACTATGGGAATGAAACCATCTCCTGTTTATGAATTAAATTTGACGAGTATACCAACAGTTGGTGAATAAGATTAAAATGAAAGGATGTTTGCATATGCTGATGTAGATTCTAAAATTAAATGGTTTTCATGGGATAAAATTAGAGGCAATTTAAATAGCGCTGTATCTAGAAATATTTTTGAAGTTGAGGATTCTAAATTAGGAATTAAATCATAAATTAGTACTTTATCAATATCTCATAATTCAAAGTAAATGGGATATTGTTCAGTTGATGGAAGAGGAGCAGTTATGGAAATGACTGATAGATTAGAAGCAATAAATAGAATTGTATATAAGTGTCACAAAAGAGAAGAAGATTCAAAAACCTCATTTAAAACAGAAAAAATTAGTACATATTATGTTGTGAATTCGCTTCAATTTAATAGTAGATCATATGATTGGGTTAGCACAAGTTCTTCAGACAGCACAATAATATTTTGGGATTTAAAAAAGAAAAACAAAATCACAACTATACCATTTGATGCTCCTGTTATTGCAAGTTAAGTGTCACCAGATGGTTATTTTTTAGCCTATGCTACTGGATATGATTGGGGATAAGGTTTAGATGGAATTGAAAATAGATTTTCTAACAATGTTGGAGCTATTTTTATAGATAAACAATAATTATTTTATGTTTGATAATCTTAATTTATACGATTTAAATTCTATTATTTAGAACATAATTATTATATCAATCATATATATTTTACAATAAATTACAAAAGTTTGTTTTTTATATCTGATAATATTAATAAAAAATCATAAAATAACAATTTTTATTGATTATCATTTTTACTAATCTTCTTTTTTATAAGTTCTTTGAATATTAAGGTATTCAGTCTTTTTAAAACATAAAATATAATTTATCTAATACATCCTTAATAATAATTTTTAATGTTGTATTTAAGAATAAAAAGAATATACAACTTTTCTTTCTTTATCTGATATATTTATTCACAATGATCAAATATTTTGTAATATGTGAATTTTATATTAATTTAATAAAGTTTACCAAAAATGGGATCATCTTTGTGCTTTAAAGATTCTTAAAAATCAACCGATGAAATAAAATTAATATCTAACAAACAATATAAATTGAATGGACCTCCTCATCTATTCAAACCAACTCCGATAGTAAATATTCTAATGTTTGATGAATAAATTGAAAAAGAGGAGTCTCCTTAAACTGAAATTTTAGATTCTCTAAGCAATATATAAAATGTTTAATAGTTTTCATATACTGCACAATAGTCAGAAGAAATTGATAGCACTCAATCAAAACCTTGGATAAAAAAAACTTATGCTATTTAAACTATTAATGTATCTAATTTTAAAAATGATGAAAATAATAATAAAAACAATAATTCTCAACCAAGAAATTCCAGTAGGGAACATAATATATCAATAGGAAAAAATAAGAATATGAAACAAGGTTCAAATATTTCCATTTAATTGGGACAATAAGGATCGATTTCAAATGCAACTTTAGATAAAAAATAACTTAAGACTAAGAGCCAATATAAAAATAAATGATAATCAATTATATTTTTTTTACCATTATATATACCTTATATTTCTTTATATGAATATAGCAGTAATACAATTGTCATCGATCATTAGATATTTGATAATTTAACTAATTTTATTTTTGAGAAAATAAAGTAAGTTAAGATAAATTTTAAACTATTTTAATTAAAATGAATTTTGTTTTAACTAGTTATCATAAACTAATATTATTAAAGCGATAGTTTCAATAAGATTACTCATCCAATTATTTACTTATAATATCCTTAAAATTATATAAATTTTCTTGTTTTCAATAAACAAACAACGAATATTTTTTTAAAGCTTAATTCATAGTACTGTTTTTACTATCATAGCTAAGTATGTAAACTTGATTAAACATCTAACTTATAAATGTCTTTTTGCAATAACAGTTTCTAATTTTATTTATAATTTAACTAAATTAGCTATAACAATTCATTAATAATTTTGATATATATATGAGTATTATATAAAATGCCTCTTAAGACATTAGAATTAATAATCTTTAGACAGATTTAAAGCAATTGTCAATTAATACAAATTTATATATGCTTTAATCAAAAGATGAAATAGCTTAGTTAAATGAAAAGATAAATTAGATCATCTATTAATAAAATCTAAATGCTACTGTATATAAATGATTCTATAGTTAGAACATAAATATTATTCAAGAGAAATTGAATTAGAGAGTAGAAAAAATATTTATGGAACATGAAGCAACCCTTATTAATAAAATAAAAGAAATAGAATTGTAAAAATAAATGTAACATGAGGAAGAAATAAAAAAGAGAGAAGATATGTTCAATAAATTTGTATAGCTTGATTAGTAAGTAGATAAATTGGATAAAAAATTTGAATTAAAGGCCAACGATAAGTTTATAGTTAGTACAATATAAAATAATCTAATGAATAATCAATTACTACAATAAACATTAATTGATAAATCTATTAAGTTAATTGATGATCTATTGAAATAGAAAATTGAGGAAATGTAAAAATGGACTGATGAGAAGATTTAATAATAATATTATCAGATATAAAATTTTTCTACTTATCTAAGAAAATCAGAAAGGGTAGTTGAAGAACTATAAAGTGCTATTACATTAACGAAAAATTCAACTATAGAATTTGAAAAGGAATTTTTACAATAGATTAATGATATTTCTTAAAAAAATTAAATTTTTAAAGAAACTATTACAATCCAAACTAAAAGGTATTCATTTTTTTAAATATTAAAGTATGATGACTTAAAGTACACAAATAAAGTAATAATTTGATTAATTAGAATAAAAAATTTAACTTGAGATGAAAAATATATTAGAAAAATAAAATAACATCTTAAATTAATTTTAAATAAAGTTAGATCAAATAAATAATTATATACAATTTTGTTTAAATAGTTCAGAAGAAAAAGTATTTACTTTATGCAAATAAGAAGATTAAGATTTAATGGAAAAACTAACTAATTAATTTGAGAGAAGATTTAATACTATTCAAGAGAAGACTATCTCTTTAGAATAAGAAATTAATAATTAAGCAGAAATTTGTATCTAAACCAAAGAAAAATTAAATACTTACTTAAAAAGTTAATAAGTTCATTAAAGGTTATATCAAAAAAAGGATGGAATACATCAATTAAACTAGAAATAAACTACAAAGGATTAGTTATTAGTTATTGATAATTTATTTAGGTATATTTCATAAATATACTCACAAATACATAAATCCATAAAAATACCAGAGAATGAATAATATTAAACTATTCAAGAATCTACTAAACATTCATAATCATGTTCTTAAGTTTTCCTAATTGCAGAACAAACGTAATCAACAAAAAAAATACATGTATCTCCAAATAAAAGTCCTGAAAAAGTTGAGAAAGTAACAAATGATAAAATGGATTTAAAGGATTAAAGAACTTAAATGTCATCTGTAGAAAAAAATAAAGGGGAAATACATAAAATTTAGGATAAAAGTCCTTATGCAACATTAGAAAAACCTAACTAAGTAGATAAAATTGGAGAAGAGATTTTTAGTGATTCTAAATTGTAAGAATCAAATCATTACCCATTATTAGTAGTTGGAAAAAGTATAATTTTTAATTAATAATAGCTTAATTGTTGGATATAAGACCATAGTAAGATTTACTATCAATATAACAAAAAATAAAGAAAGTCCAAGGTATTCTAGGAGTCGATCTACTTGGTTAAAGATAAAATAATAATATATATTAAGCTTAAAGATGTAATTCTGCATCAAAAAGACTACCTAAAATCAATTCAAGAAATTTAAACTTTAGTATTGATTGAAATGAAATTAAAATTATCAACATTATCATATTACTCTTATAAATTTGTTTAAAACCAAAGTATTTAACAATTTATAAAATTTACTTTATATAAATTCAATTTAATTTTCTACATGCTTAATTTAAAAAAGCATTCTGAATAAGATGTGGACTCTTTAATTGAGTCTATGCTTAGATTGATTGAATATATGAATAATAACCCTGCTATAAAACGTTAGATTTTTCAATCTTTCAATTAAGAAGACTTAGAAAAAATTTTGAACAATTTGAATGAGAAAAAAAACATTTTTCTAAGGAAAGTTTCTTGCATATTTTTATGTATTGTGCTATAGAATGAAGACAATTGTTAAAATTTTATGAAATTTTGTGATCTACTTCCAATCAATTCCAAGTTAGCACTGAATGGTATCCCTGAATAATTGAGTTAGTACATATCTAGTGATTTATTATTAAAGCTAAATTAGGCTTAGCCTTCTGAAAATAGTTTATGTTGGTTTTATACTTTATAAATGGCAAAGGAAAAGATACCAAACTTAGCATATTTTTAACTTAATTCAAAGGAATTGAAAAAATAAATTAATGATTTTGTAGATCCATCAGAATGCATGATTGGAATCATTTATAGAAAATCACCCTCAAAAACTCCTTAAACAGAGACTTAAAACTGGAGCAATAGAAATGAACATAATCATAAAATGAGCATCTCTCCTGTAAGCAAATAAATGGCTTCTTTGATATTACCATTAAAAGAAATAAACAATCCAAAATATTATTAGAAATATGTAGCAAAATCTTTCAATCAACAATAATGCAAGAACTTACTTTCTAATACTGCAAGAACAGAAAATTCTTAAGAGAAGCATAAAACAAGATTAGAAATTTTTAAGAATAAATTTTAATGATGGCGCAATTTTATGTGAAGATACAGTTTGCATCTGTACATGATTAAATATTTACTTATATCAACAAAAACTTATCCTTTCTATCAATCATAATTTTAATCTGTAATACCTATTATTATTAAAATTATTATAAACAAATATGGATATTAATTAGAAGAGAAAAATAAAAGTCAAAACAATATCTCAATAAGTATTTGAGCTTGAAGTTCCTCAAGATGTATTCAAAACTAATATAAACATAGATAACAATTGCAGATTTAAAAAAAGAAATTTTTTCTAAATCTTAAGTTCCTATAGATAGATAAAGATTGATCTTTTTGGGAAAGGCACTGCTGGATAATCAAAAATTAGATGAAATAAGTATATAATAAATAGACAATTAGTTAAGGAAGATGATCAAACAATTCATTTGATGGCAATTACTCATCCACAGTAATCCCAATAACCATAATAAAATTAAAATCAATAGTAATAATAAAGGTTTTAGTTTATGCCAGGGATTCAAACAACTACATAAATTCATATAGGAGGAGGAAGTAATTAATTTTCTAAATCTGCATTAGATGGATAACAATATATGCCACCAGAAGTAGCTAATATTCTATCTATGTTCATGCCTCCAGTAGTAAGACAACCATAATAACAATAACCTTAATAATAATAAGCCTAAACCACTCAATAGAACTAACAATAATAGCAATAACAATAGTAATAATAATAATAATAATAATAATAATAATAATAATAATAATAATAATAATAATAATAATAATAAAATCTAACTAATTAATCTGCCCCTACTCGACAATAACAATAAATACCATAATAATAAAACCAACCATAGTTATAATAAGTTACTTTATTGCCAAATGATTAATCTGCGGTTGAAGTACTTCTTCCTTTAGAAAACATTCAATAATTGAGTAGATCATTAGGAAACTTTTATTAATCTTCATTACTTGGGTTATCATTTTAATTACCATAAATGACTGAGAATAGAAACAATGTTACAGTTTTAGGTCATTATATTCATTAATTGTGTTATGTTCTTTAAAGATCTTTACCAGTTTTGTAAAGAGTATCAGATCTTCTAATGAGGGAACCCTTTTTAACTTCTGAAATTTAAAGAAGAGAGACTATGTAATTAAGTAGGGATTCAGCAACTGTAGTTTAATCAATAAATAGGATGACAAGCGATTTGTATTCTGCATTACTTCGATTTTTAGTTCTTGGATCTACTCCAGGTTAATTTCAATTACAGGTACCAAACTAATTAATATAACATCATCGTCATCATCATCACCATCATGGAGTTATAAATATATAACATTAACACATTACAAGAAATCCATAATAATAATCATAATAATAGTAAAATCAGTAAGTATAACAACAAAATTAATCATAATAATAATAATAATCGCAATAATAATAATAATAATAATAATAATAATCAACATAATAATAATAATCATAATCATAATAATCAACATAATAATAATAAACTTAATAAAATTTATTGAGCTCTTTAGGCTAGCTATTAAATTAAATTTCGTAAAATCCAAATTTATAATAAAATAATTAATAATAGATCTAAGTTGAATAATAAGGGGATCAAATTTTTATAGATGCACAAGTCGTAGAGATTGATGCAGGAAGGGAGTCAGAATCAAATTAAGAAGGAGATTAATAATAAAATAATAATTCTTTAAATGCAATTAATAATTTAGTCAAGTAAAATTCTTTATATAATTTAGCAATATAATTAATACTTAGTAATTCTAAAATCAATATTAGCCCCAACAATAATTTTAGTCTCCACATTAATCATAGCCTTAAGCGCATGATTAATAAGAACATTAGCCATAGAATACCCAAAACTTGCCTTAACAAGCACAATCAATTATGTCAGGATTGCTTGGAAATCTAGGGTTAGGAGGTCAATAAGGAGGAGCCAATTTATTGACAATGACTTTACACGAACTTATGATGTAAAATTATGCAAATCAAATGGAAGATGGTGAAATTGAAATTCTATAAATATTTTCGTAAGTTAAAGTAGGAGATTTAATGGCAGCCTAATTCTCAAACAATTATACATTTTTGGATGGATAACAAGCAAGTATTAAAGAAAATTTACATAATTTAATAAAAAAATTCGAAGGAAGAATTGAATTAATTGAAAAAATTGCAAATTCATTTTTATCAACAGTAGTTCCTAAAGGAAGCCATTAGCATTTAGTAATTGAAGGATTTGAACCAAGAATTACAGCTTCCGAAGCTCTTGTCAAACATATCAAACAATTTTTTTTAATAATTGAAAAGGATTATACAAATAGCGTTGAAAAATTTAGTGATGCGATGGTCAGTCAATTCTTTAAGATGATTGGAGAAACTGCTTATGAAGTTTCAGAAGGATTAGTTCATGGTCTAGATGATTACAAATTAGTTATTTAGTACTTAAAATTTTCATTATTAGAGCAAACCTTCAGGATTTATTAAGAAAATCTGTTGGGCAAGAAATGGCTTTAATGTTTAGTGGTATGCTGTTTATGATGCTTTGGGGATTGATAGAAAGGTCCTATAATTAACATAAGAAATCTCTTGAATAATAATAAACTAAAATATAATAAGAAGAAGATTTAACAGAGGAATAAGTAAGAATAATTTATTTATATACTAAGTTATTGAAAGAAATAAATGAGGCTAGTTAAGCATGCAAATAAAGCAATGAAATTAATTTTTCTAATGATTATAAAAAAGGAGATCCAGGCTATAAAGACTTTGATTGATAGATATGTGAATTTGTACAAGAAAATTATTATATAAATGTTTACTTTTAATATGAATTCTTTCATCTTTTAATTAATCAATAATTTTGTTATTGTTGTTGTGATGATTAGATAATATGAAATGATACACTTATATTTCAATTAATAAAGCTTTTTCCATAATTTTATAGAAAAAATTAACCTTTAATATTAATTAGAAACTAAACCTCTTTTTTATTCTTTAAGTAAATACTTATAATATCTTTTTTATATACATTCTTCATTTATTATTTTAAAGGAATTGATAAGTAATATTATTTATGCATCTATAAGTGTTTTAAGATCCAAAAATGATAAGATTTTGTGAATTAAATATTATAATAAATAAGATTGCAACAGATGAATTTGGTAGACATTTATTTATTTTCATTACAATTACTGTTAATTATTCCAATAAGCTATCTCAATTTAAAAATAATTATAATAAAGTGTAAATCCAATAATTCACATAAAATAATTTATTTATTTCAAAGAAAGTTTGAGATACTATAATTAAATTTTATTTGAATGATAAAAATAAAAGAGAATAGTATTCTTTAAATGAATGGTTTAGATTTTTGAATCTTCTTTAGAATTTATTGATAATTATTTTTTTCCCTGATTAGTATTATATTTAATTAATTTTTTTAAATAAATGTCTAACAAAATAGAAGAAGAGAAAGTGATTGCTTAACAACCACAATAAATACAAAAAATCTTTGATGAAGATGATGACGATTTCGAAGAATTTGAATAAGAGGGTAGCTATTTGAATATGATAAATGATAGATTTGGAAGTGAATCATGATTTGAAAATTGATATCAAATAATGGAGAGAGGATTGGGATGATGAAGATTTGACAGATGAATTTTCAATTTAATTGAAATAAGAATTAGCCCAAAAATGATATATAATATTAAAAGTTATGGACTTTTATTAAATTGCTGCTAAAATTACTTAAATTTGAATTCTGCTGATAATAAAATCAACATAAAAATTTAATAGACTATTGTCCTAAATACTATTTAGACCTTAAATATAAAGAATTTAAAGGAGATTGTGGAAATATAATCCAAAAGAATATTTAGATGATTACTAACATTAATAAGAGCACTTAACTTATTATAAATAGCAAATGAAATAATCTATGTATAGTTAAGATTTAAAATTTCAATAAAGCAAATTATATTCAGCTTGATTAGGATAATCTAAATTTCAAATTGATAAATTTGTTTGAATTAATTTTACATCCAGAGGTATTCATTTTAGAAAACCAAATGAAATTAAAGATTGAACTAATAAATAGAATTATATTTTGATACAGATATATCATTTATATTCTGTAAATATAAATGGATTTATTGTCATTCTGATATGTCGATTGAAAAGAGTGGCAATTTTATTATTTGATATCTCAATACTGTAAAATTTACAAATATAATATGAAGGGATTAGAAATTTGGAGCAATAATAAATAACAAATGATAATTATAATCAGTAATTTTTTAAAATATTAAAAAAGTCTTATGGCACTTTACTTTAAACAATTATTTTTCTTTTGTTCTTTTGATTCTAGTTTCTAAAGATCTTTTTTAAATCACAAGTATTTAGTAATAGTAAATCTAAAATTCTTTCTGTAGATTATGGATGTTCCTTTTATCCACCACTCTTAATTTTATTTAGGTCTTCCAAACATTTTTCAATACTAAAATTATTTTATTTAGTATTAGTATTTTCTGATATTGCTGGCAAAACAGGAATAGTGATTTTATCTTAGTTGTTATGCTAAGGTGATTATTTCTTATTTAAAACTGGAAGAGAATATCTTTTCGGTTATTTGTCTAAGTTATTGCTGATTTGAAAAGGGTTCTAAGAAGAATAGTTATTATTTTTACAGAACCTCTTTTAGAACTTTTTCATTATTGATTTTTTTATCCGCCCTTTATCTATTCTCTTATATGTAATATAAACTTTTTTCTAATGTTTTTATTTTCTTTAATTCTTCTAAACTTACATCAACAGAATTGTTATATCTAACATTATATCCACATGTATCCCTACCCAATTTTATTGTTTTATGTTTAATTTGATGTGGTTAAGTTACTTTATAAATCTAATGAATGGTAGTTTTATCAACTGACTTTCTAGGACTCATGACAGGATTTTAAGTATTCACATGAACAGAGTATTTATTGTCATATTAAATATGAGTGTTATCTATAGAATTTCTTAAACGAAGAGCTAAGCTGGATCTCATAATATAAGTGTAAAATTTAAGTTTATATATCAAATATATTACTCTATTGATTAAATAAGTACTTCTTAATTATGTTATTATTACATCTTGCATTTTAATTATTTCTTTAGGATTCAAATAATTTCTAAATTTTATTGTAATCATTATTGTTTGTTCCTAAAAAATGAAACACTACCAATAATATTCATTTTAGAATAATCTATGAATAAATTCAAAAAATTAATAAAAAAAGTATTTAATGTTCTACTACTACTCTTATTCAATTAGGTGTATAAATATTCTAAGTTATTCTGAAAATAAAAGTATGAAAAATTAGAAATATTAATCTAATTTATATTTTATTCTTCATTATATATATATTATTTTATACAATAAATTACTTTCAATTTAGTAATTGTAACACATATTATATTGGCTTTTATATAATGGTTCCTAAATTATCATAACTTTTGGAAAATAACAAAATTCATTATAAAACATTTTTATAATATTATATGGACAATTAAATTTGGAGTTATGCTGATAAGCAAAGCAATTCTTAAGAAAATGATGAAACCTCTGAATAAAAAAGATCTTTGAAAGGATATAAATAATATAATTAAAATGTTTAGAACTAATAAGCATTTTTTAATTCTTAAGAAGAAGATCTGCCCTTAAGAGGGTATAAACAATAATAGAAAAATTATTAAGTGAGTTAAAATTCTTAAGATTAAGATCTGCCTCTAAGAAGGTAAAACTAATAAAATAAACTTTATTACAATTATTAAGCACGTCTTAATTCTTAAGAAGAATAATTGCTTGCGAGAAGGTAAGAACAATAATATTAAGATTATTAAGAGTGTTTTATTTAGAAAGATGAAGACTTGCCCCTTAAAGGGTATAAACATACTTAAGGGCATCTTAATCATTAATAAGAAGACCTGCCACTAAAAGACTATAAACAATATAATAAAAAACCTTAGTCAAATAAAACATAGTATAATTACTAAGAAAAGATGCCTATTAAGTAGTCTAATTCAGAGTAGATTCGAAATTAAAACTAATAATACTATTATTATTAAGACAACTCTGGTTAAGGATGTTATTCTGATAAAAATTAATATTTCAGATAAAATCCTGAAGAGTAAAATAGGGAACAATATAACCATAGAGATAATCAAAGAAGTGATTATTATAATAGGTAGAATAATCAGGCAAATTAATAAGTTGAAAAGTAAAACAGTAGAAAATAAATGCCTTAATAATATAATAACATTTGCTATTAATTCCAAACATAATTTTTAAGGGCTAATAATTATTATGATATAAATGAATTAAGGACAAATTTTAAATCATTAAGATAATTAAATAAAAATCATCAACCTTCTTAGAATTCTCATTTTGTTTTGATAAGACCAAAAAATGGATTTTAAAATATACACAAAGCAATTAAATATGGTATTTGGTGTTCAACTTCTTCTGTTAATCAAGAATTATCATCATTATATTATGAGAAAGATAAATGTGTTTATTTAATATTTTATCCTTTAGGTTAAACATCTTAACTTATAGGAATTGCATAAATGGTAAGTGATTATGATCCAAGTTAAACTTATAAATACTGGGACAATGATGGGATTTATAAAGGTTCTTTTGAATTGATTTGGCATTCAATAAAAAATGTCAATCCATAGTGTATTCAATAAATATATTATAATGTTGGGATAGGAGATATTAAATTTTTCAATATTGATTAATTGAGAGATGGAACTTAGATTAGTTATTATGATGCTTTATAAATATTTGAAATATTTAATTAGGCTCCTGTGAAACCTTCTGTTTTTGATCACTTCGATGTGTTAGACATGCAAGAAGTATATAATTTTTATTAAAGTAAAAGGATTAAAAGAGAAGCTATAAATTGAAAAATTAGGAAAAAGAAGAATTTTAATTAAAATAAAAAGGATTAAAGAAAAAATATTAATATTGATGATTTTTCTATAATTGATTTAATTTTTATTATTTTATGAATACCATTCAACAGGAAGGAAGCTCATTATTGAAAGATTTGGAGAGGATTAGAAAAAAAACAAAGATTTCTAATAAAGTAATAAATGGTTAACTAGATCAAATTATTACAGAAATTGAAGAAGCTAAAACAAATAATGATTATTCTTAATTAAAAGATAAATTACAAGTATGTTATTTATTAAGTAAGAATTAAAAACCATTGACAAAAATAAAATAAACAAATAATGAATGTTATGCATATATTTCAAAGTTAGGTAAAAATATGGATAAGTTATATAAAAAAAATTTATAATATGGTCAAGAACATGTTGAATTGGATTAGAATGTCCTTACAGAAGTAACCATTTATAATAATAAATTTAGTTAATAAAAACACATTTGCTTAGAGATGGAGAGTTTGAAGCATATGAGACTTTAGTAAAGGAATCAGGTTCAGTAGACTCCAATTTCCATTAATTTTTTACTGAAGCTTAGAGTATTGTGAAAGATTTAAAAGAAAAAAAATTAGATTCAGCTATTTAATGGGCAGAAAATAGAGAAAAGAAGTCTGTCAATAATCTACTTTATGAATTATTAAAATAAAGAGTATTTTATGACTTATACTATAAGGTTATTTAATTAGTATAAACTGAAGGAATTAATGCAGCCATAAATTTTATGAGAAATAGCACTTCATTTTAAGAATAAAGTCAAGGAAGATTATATGAGATATGTTTAATTACTTATTCCTTATTAATATGGCCAAATGTTGAAAATACTAAATACTATTATTTATATGATGATGAAAAAAATTGGCCTAGAATTTTAAATCTATTTTTAGAAGTTGCTGCAAAATCTTAAAGTATTTATATTCTTTATTCTAGATATATTGACTAAATCAGAAATTAGAACTGTATTTTCAGCTGGTTGTTTAGCTATGCCTAAATTAATTAAATATAACTAAATCACTAGAAGTAATATATTCAATATAATTAAATAGATAGATCTTCAGAAGTTATTACAAATGATATCCCAATAGATATTGAAATTGGGAAAGAATATAAATATCATTCATTCTTTGTATGTCCTGTTTCTAGAGAAGTGACAAATTCAGATAATCCTCCAGTACTATTAAAATGTGGACATGTCATTTCTAAATTATCTGCTCATAAAATGATAGCAAACAAATCTAAATTTAAATGTCCTACTTGTCCAGTTGAAACCAAAGGAATAGATTTACCTGAACTAATATTTATTTGATAAATAAATTCTAAACTATTATTTTTATTTGCCACTTTTAATTAGAATTAATATAATATAATAATTTCAAATGGGTAAACCGTTAACAGCCGAGCTCATAGTTCAAAAAACAAAAAACGATCAACTTTTCTAAATTAAAAACTTAAATTTATGGGGAAATGACATTGATGATTTGAAAGCATTAAGACAATTACCTAATTTAGAAGTGCTTTCATTATCTGTGAATAAGATTTCAACTCTTAAAGATATAGGGTGTTGCTAAAAATTACAAGAACTCTACCTAAGAAAAAATTGTGTTAGTGATATAAAAGAATTGAGATATTTGGTTCATTTACCTAATTTAAGAGTTTTGTGGTTGTAAGGTATTCATTTTTAATATTACTTTATTTAGACAATCCTTGTGCAGATCATCCTAATTATAGAGAAATCGTAGTTAAATATTTACCAAACTTAGTTAAACTTGACAATACTACAATAACAAACGAAGATAGATAAAATGCTTAATCTGTCAATATTTTAGAAGATGATTTTGAAGAATAAACTTAGAATAGCAATATTTTAAATAGACCAAAATCAAGTCTAAAAGAATCTCCTAAAAAACAACCATTTATTTTCAACCAACAAGAATAATAAAGACCTGTAACACCTGAAATCACATCAAATCAATAGAATATTTAAAATAATAATAAGAATATAGAAAGAAATGAAAATATACTATGTGCTGTGCTTTCTTTAATTAAAGAGCTTGATGATAATTCTTTGGAAGTTGTTAAGAAAGATATTGATAGAAAGTTACAGAAAAATAACCTTAAGCGAATTCTTTGAATTAATATAACAGAGCTCATTATTCATTCCTTTTTTTTGCTAAAACTACATCATTAATAATAGATTTACTTTTTAATTTAATTGCATTAAGTTATTAATCTTCTTCTGAATCCTATTCATTTGGAGATTGTTTTTCTATTTAATTGTTCTCAACTTCTTTATCTTTCTTTTCAATATCATCAATTTTCTGTAGTTATTAGGTTTTTAGTAATGCTTTCATTTAAGCAATGAAATCCTATTTACTCTATAAAGGCAATTACACTTTCGATTAGTCATCTATAGGTACAATATTTTGCTACTAATCATCTTGGTTAGTTTGTTATGCCTAAAACTAAGACTCTTGATTTGTCAATGAGTTTTGGTGGATATTGTCATCTCTAATTTATTCGTTACCTTTTAAATTTTATTACTAGATATTTTTGTTGTTTTTAGTTTGATCATTTTCATTCTCAATCTCCATATTGGATTTAATCATACCTCTATCTAAATATTGATCTTATTCTTTTTTTGAATTTTGATCTACTAATGGTTTCTCTTAATCATTTTTTTATAAATCTTTCTCTTTAATGTTTTCTTTTATTTCTTTTATTTCTTTATCTTTATCTTTCTCTTTCTCTATCTCATTTTCTTTCTCCCTTTCTTTTTCTCTTTCTCTTTCTCTATCTCTTTCTCTATCCCTTTCTTTCTCTTTCTCTTTCTCTTTTTCCTTTTCTTTCTTTTTTTATTTTTTTGATAATTTTTTATCATTAGATTTACTTCTAGATCGACTTCTAATAAAATAGTAATTATATATTTACTTCTTTTTCTTTTTTTTATCTTCTTTTTTCTTTTCTTTATCTTTATTTTTCTTTTTTTCAGATTTATTTTTTTTATCTTTACTTTTTTTTTCTTTTGATTTACTTTTCTTTTTAATACTTTTTTTTTCTTTATTATTAGGTGATGGTTCCTATTTTTCTTTAATATTTTGAGTTGACTCTTGTTGTTGAGTTAATTAAGGCTATTAAGATTATTATTAGGATAGTTAAAGAGAATTTTATTTTTTAGTTTCTAAAGGTCTTTCAATCTTTTCAGGCATGCCATAGATTTCGCTATGTTAAATTACATAAGCTACTCTATTGGCTTTCGCTAATATTCTTCTTGCTTATCTAAAATCCATTTTTTCAAATTCATAAATATTATAAATGGTGGCAGCTACTTACTCTATTTATTCTAAAGTAGCTTCTAACAAAATCCACCATGGTTAAGTGGGCATAGGATGATTACAGACCCTCAATGCTAAATACAATGCTCCTGCTGCAATAACTTAAGGTGGAAAATGTACGCATAAATCAGTCATGTATGAATCGTTCAAGTAATACCAAGCTTTTTGAGCCACCTGCTTATCGACCTTAATAAAATGATAAAATGATTCTATGAACTTATGCGGATGATCTGATACTCTAAATAATTCAAATCCTAGTTCTTTAAGAATTAGTTTTTCTTATTTAATTATGATATCCCTAGCCATAAATATTCATTTTACAATGGAGCTTATTTTTGTTTTTGAAACACAGAGCTAAATGCACCTGCTATATACCATGTTTTCAGTAATGTTTCTTCAACTTTGCCTGCCAAATATAATGAAGCCATTGAAATTTCGCGGTAATCAAAATCCACGAAAGAATTCCTAAATATTTTTCGCATTATTATTAATACTTAGCAAAAAATCTATGAAATATAACAATGCTAGTAATGGCTGTAGTTAATGGTAATTTTAAATGATTGCAGGCTTGAAAACAAATTTAAGCACCATGCATTCTTAGGGCCTATTCATCCTCATAGCTTAAACCATCTGCTTAAGTTGGAGTTTGAATATCCATTGGAATGTAAATATTTTCATGTCCTTCTGGTGTGATTGTTTCTAGTGATAAATCTGAGCTATGTAAAAATCTTTCTTTTAAACGATGAAATAAATATTTTTTTTCATACTATTCTTTTGTAAGGCCCACATTTTATTCTAAGCTCAAAATTTTTAGACGGTCATGACTTTTGGATGACATTATTTTTCTTTATTTAATAAATTATTATTACACAATATATTTCAAATACTTTTCATAGGATTAATATTTTTAGGCAAAAATCCCTACTTTATTGTTCAACAATAATTAAATAAATTATTTATAGAATAGATCAAAATTTTTTATAATTAACTTTATTCTTCTACTACCATTAAACTGCTTCATCATAAACAGTTTGTTATAAAATTTCTTTTTTCAATTCCATTTTATCCCAAGCCCAATCAAAATATGAATTACACCTAGGTTCATCATCTTTTGTATGTAATCCATCAAAATAGGGATGATTCAAACATTATTCTACTGTGTATCTTTATAAAGGACTAAAAGTTAACATTTTAGATAATAAATCTAAGCAACTTTGATTCACTTTTTAGAATAATTAATTAAAATTTTGTTTAGTTCTTTTAGGTAAAGATCTTAAAATATTTAATTAATATATTACTTAATATATTTGATAGCTCCTTCATTAGTAATATATTTAATTTCTTCATTTGAAGGTGTACCCAAAACTGCAATAATTCTTTATATCTATTCTAGATAGTCTTTTCCAGGAAATAAAGGAGTTCTACCAAGAAGCTCAGCAAATATACATCCTACACTCCATATATCTATAGCTTTTGTATATTCTGATGCCTAAAGGATTACTTCTGGTGCTCTATACCATCTTGTTACTACATATCTATAGATTTAGAATGAGATTACTCTGTTTTATTTTCATCTTCAATTTCAAATCCTCTTGCCAATCCCAAATCACATATTTTTAAATCACAATTCTTGTTCACCAAAATATTACTAGGTTTTAAATCTCTATGAATAACATTTGCTGAGTGAATATATAACAACCCTCTCAGAGTTTGATACATAAAATATTGAATATGGTCCTCAGTTAAATCTTATCTAGAATATATTACTCTGTGTAAATCTGTTTCCATTAATTCAGTAACAATATAAATATCATTATAACCAGTCTTTGTTTCTGGTTTTATTATATCCACTAAACTAATAATATTTTCATGTTAAAAAAATTAAAGTAACTTTATTTCTCTCACAATTCTCTTTGCATCGATAAGATCTTCAAAAGCATTTTATATCTAATTACTTATAATTATTATACCTTTTTTATAGCAACCTTTTTATTTTTAACTAAATCAACTCCAGAGCATACTATACCATAAGCTCCACTACCAATTTATTTTTGACATTCATATCGATCATCAACAACAAATTGAGTTCCTAAAATTCTTCATTGAAATACCTCCAATTTCATAAATATTTCTACCATTAATACTCTTTTTTTTCTAATGCTTTGTATTAAGGTTGATTTGCTGTAATGGCTATGATTTCATAATCAAAATATTAACGGTATTATTAAATAATTAAATATGTAGGAAATAAATTTCAAAGAATCATTAAGCAAATAACTAGCTCATACGATTAAAATTAAATGAATTATTCATTCGTGATTGATTAAGTAAAAGTTATATTTAATATTGTTGTAAATTTTTATATTTAATTATGAATTGTTTTGTTATCTAATCTATTCATATAAAAATTTTATTCTTTTTATATTTAGTAAATTAATCAATATTAATACTTTCATAATTAAAGAATTATAACTAAAAAATGATTTAGAATTCGTTTTTCAATACTTATCAAACTACAAAATTGTGAAACTTTTATGTGTCTTTTCCTTCTATTTAAAGAATATTTAATAGAAATTACTTGGTTCTATTTTAATTATTTATTTATAAAGCAGAAATAATATATAATCAGAAGTATTTATTTAGATTCAAAATAAATAATTATTTAAATTTAGGGCACTTCTAGTTACTAAATAAATTGTTTAATAGTTTATTTAAACACTTTATTCATAGAATAATATATTATAACTTGCAAATTCTTAGATTTAATAATAGTAAGAAAATAGATTAAAATATCATGAAAATCACTATTCCTTCAAGTAGGTCTGCAATATTTGTTGAAATCTTATTTTTTTACATAGATGACAATAATTAGACAATTATAAAAAAAATGAACTTTAAAATTATAAAATTTAGGTAATTTAAATTAATTAAGATTATGAATTCATTACCTAATTAGTAATTAAATGAAGAGTATAAACTGGTTTTTTCTGAGATTTAATTTTTATTTAATTGCAAATAAATTTTATTTAATCATGTACCTTTCAGCAAGAACACAAGGAAGACTAGCAAACTTAATCATCACGATTGCAGAAGGAGAAAAGAAAACAGAGATGGTACGTTAAGTGTTGGCAGAACAAAAGATGTTTGAACCATATACTGCCTTCAGGAGATTGGATTAATTGAGAACAGGAGAATTAACTGTTTCTGACATAGTTGAGTTCTTGTCAGATAATAAAATTTATCCAACCAAGGCTCAATCTGATTATTTGTTTAGAAGACTTGATCTTAATAGAGATGGAAGAATCACTTATCCTGAGTATTATATATTGTAATCTGATTAGCTTCGTCAAAGCAGTTTTACCAAAAGAAGATTCTAGATTGAGACAAATTGCATCACTTAGAGACAGTTATTATATTGAAGTTAATATGTTATTACCAACAGAAATAGAATGGGGACTTTCTAGAGTATTCTAATAAGAAATTTAAAACTATAAGTATTTTTATAATTTGAAAATATAGTTCAATAACTGCTTCCTAAGAAATATTAACAGCAAGTGCTGATTTTACATCTTTGGATGCCTTTAGATGTATTGATTAAGTATTTTTGGGTTACATAACAATTGATACGTAATAATTTTTATATTAAATTTTAGTTTATAAGATTTCTTAAGATAAAATGGAGCTAAATTGTCATTTGATGAATTGACAGCCTTTTTTAGAGTTGTAGATTCAGATGAAGATGGAAGAATATCTTATTCTGAATTATTAGAGGCTTTAACTTTTATTCCAGATTTCTTTTAGCAAGAGAGATAAATAGCTAATGAATTAAGAAGGAGTAGAGAGAGAATCATTCAAATTGAAAGAGAAAGAGAAGTCTTAGAAGATTTAAAGAAAAGTAGGGAGCGAGTAGAGGATCTGAGAAGAAGCAGAGAAAGATTGGAATATATGTAGGATTTATAAAGAAGTAGAGAAAGAGTTGAGTAAATTGATGAATTGAGAAAAAGTAGAGAAAGATTGGATGATCTTAGAAGAAGTAGGGAAAGATTAGAGGATTTAAAAAGAAGTCGAGAAAGATTAAACTAATTGGAAGAACTAAAAAGAAGTAGACAAAGATTAGAAGAATTAGAAGAATTAAAAAAAAGCAGAGAAAGATAAGCTTAAATTGATGAATTAAGAAAAAGTAGAGAAAGATTAGAGGATTTAAGGAGGAGTAGAGAAAGATTGGAGTAATTAGAATAAGAGAGAAAGAATTAAGAGAAGATTGAAGAACTTAGAAAATCAAGAAGTAGGATAGAAGAATTATAAAACTAGAGAAGAAAAATTGAAGAATTAAGAACAAGTTAAGAGAGATTAGAATAATTAAAGAGACAAAAAGAAGAAATTGAATTAAGAAGAAGTCAAGAGAGATTAGAAGATTTAAGAAGAAGTAGAGAAAGATTAGAATAAATTGAAGCTTTGAAATAGAGTAGAGAATAGTAAAGAGCATTGGAAGAATTAAGATAAAGCAGAGAGAGAGTTGAATAGTTAAGAAAATCTTAATTGAGAATTGAATAATTAGAAAATGAAAGAAAAGTTCTTGAAAGAAGTAGATAATTAGATAGAGTTGAAAGAGAATTAGAATATGAAAGACAGAGAAGTAAAGAGAGATTAGAGAGATTAGAGTTGGAAGCTCAATTGGAAAGAAGAGCTAGAGATAGAGCATTAGAATATGATTTAGCTGCATAAAGTAACTTTGTTCAAAGCAGAATATATGATACTCCTAAAAGATACAAATGATTTAAAATATCAATTTAATATAATTTTTGGATCAAATTTTAAACTATTATAAGAGCAAGTACTCTTTTATAAATTCAACACATTTCTAATCTGCTTAATTTTGATCTTAGTATAGATTTTGCATTTATTTAATCAAATTCAATATTTCTTAATTCCTTAAAACTAGATTTAATTATTATTCATCAATTAACTTTTTTGATATTAATCTATTTAAAGGGTCTTAGTTTCTATTCTTCTCAGAATCTATATGAGTATTTCCATCTCTATTTTCTTAATGAGATTAATTTTTTTATTGTTCCTAAAACATTGTATATGCTCGTTGCTCAAAAGCATTGCTTGTTGAATTTACGATTTCTTTCAAGAATAAAGATGAAGCATGTTAAAATAAAGGGTTTTTAAACTAAAATTCTATACTATAATTTGCTTAACACTATTTTTCATCTCCTTTTAATTCCCAAATACTTTTAAGCATTTTAAATACAGCATTATTTTCTGATATAGAAGTAATTGTATAAAATTAAGGATGTTATTGAATAAAAACTTTGGAAATATAAGAAGATTTAAATAGTTTATAATCAACTTCTAATTCTCCTTCGAAATAATTAGATTTATGATTGAAAGTCTTACTTTAAGAGCATCCTGGCAAAAATTAGTAATAAGCATCTACATTCTTTACTATTTCAAACATAAATTTTGTTGGCACTTTTATAAACGTTGTTTATTGATGTTTAATAAAATTTAGCATAATAAAAAATTTAATAATTTTTTCAATTTACTTGTAATCAATTTAGCAATAAATAAATAATAATAATCCCCAATAAATTTGTAGGCGTTCCAACCAATTTTGTTTAACCTAATTTCTTACCTTCACATAGAATGATTTTACTGTATAATCAAATTTTCCATGTTGTTTTTTAATTTTCAAAGCATTTACCTTAATATTATATCCTTATAATACCTGCATAATATAGATCATCAATAAATAAAAGTTCTAATGTTTTTTTAATTCTATAAATCATCTAGAATAATTAAATAATCCTTAATAAACTTCTTCTCCATCAAAATTTATTATCAAATTTCTATGATAAAGTGTACTATCTATTCCATTTTATATTTTAATTATTCTTTAATTTAATATTTTTATTTAAATCCAGAAATTTACTCGTTATTCTCCTAAAACTATTAATTAAGAATAAATTTGATAATATTTAATTAATAATCGAAATTAAATTATGTTTTTAGAACCTCACTGATTTATAATGAATTCATTTGAAAGTTCTCTTTTTTTGTTAATTTTTATTAAGTATTGATAAAGGAATTGCTTTTCTCAAATTTTCCTTATTCTTTAAGTTAAACTCAAGATCATTATTTATTAAATTTTTGATGAAATTTATTCTCATATTTTATAAACATTAGTATTCTTTGTTATTTACATTCATATTATATTTATAATAATATTATCATTCAAAATTAAATTTTAAGTATAGTATTTATTGGAAATGTATATTAATGTTCATTTTTAAAAAAAATAAATTTTGTGAATTATTTTTACAAATAAGAAATTCTTTTGATTTTGCTTTCTAATAATCATTGATTTTTATTTGTCAATATTATGAAAATAAAGATATGTGAAGTTTTAATTATTTAGAAAAATTTAATTAATATTTGAATAAGGAGTTGAAAAATGAATACTCCAAATTACGCAGATAGACCAAGGGAAGAGAAAAAAGAGATATTATTTGAAAATTTAGATGTAAAAAGTATTGAATGGAGACCATATAGATGTTTTATAATATTATATTTATTTAACGCAACTATTGCATTGCCAGTTTTTACAATAAAATTGCTTTATTTATATGTCGAATAAATTGTCAAGAACATTAGATTCTTTAGAGTAGTTCAAGTAATTATTGAATATAATATGTTTTAGTGTTTGAAGGCTATAATCTTCTTTATTTGTGATCTTGCTATGACATTATCAATTTTAATGATGTATATTCTAGTAGGATTAAGATATAAATAGACTATAAATTATGAAGATTGGGCAATATCTTGTTTATTATTTTTACAATCTCAAATTTTAATGTCATCATATGTTTTAACAATATCAATTGATAGAAAAGAAATTGATTTTGATTTTCTAATATCAGCTGCAAATATGAGTAAGTTAGGTCTTGGAAGATTGTATTAAAAATTATTACACCAAAATCTTTCACTTGATAAATAAGAAGAATTGAAACAAGAAAATTTATATAATTAGATTAGAAATGCAATGGAAACTGAGAATATTGATAGTACTCTCTATTATATTGCACTTGAATCTGATCCTGGTATTTGTACAATAGATGATATTATATCATTGAGTGATCATTCAATAATTGAACTTATAGAGAGAGCACGTAAAATATTATCGACATAACATGATATATCTTTTGATAGGAAATAATTTGAATAACCAATTAATAAATTGAAAATCTTAAAAGAATTAAGAGTTTTGGGTTTCAGAGGATACAGACATGCAATAGATAATTTTCTATGGCCTCATTATGATTATATAAAAGTTAAATAAGAAAAAGAGCCAGCATCTATTCTCTTAATTTATTTAATTGTTTTAATCGCAAAAGGAAGCTTTCCTCTTTATCTATTATCATCAACAAACAATGCTTTAGATATTGAATATCTTTTCTTTGGATGTTTTTTAGGAATGTATTTAAATATGATCATATTGCTCATTGATTTAATCAAATGTAATGATATTAAAGGAAAAAGATATATACTTAATGTATTACAGACAATGATCATTCCAAATAAAGCTCAAGATTAGATTGAGGATGAAAATGATAGTGGAAAAGATGAAATTCCAGATGATTTGCCTTATAATTCAGATTTTAAATTAGATTTTAGTTGTAATTTGAGTTTAGAATCTTGGGATAATATGAGAAGATTAACTCTATTAATAGATAATGAGTGGATGGATTATAATGAAGCATAAATAGCTTTTGTATTTCTTTACTTTGTATACTTGTACATGAATTTATCATCTGTATTTCTAGACTTTGATTTAATTCCCATATTGCATTCTTTCTTTTAAGATCCAATTTTAGAATGGAATATGATTGTTGATTTTACTTGTTTAGCTTTATTATTCTTAAATAGAGTATATTAAGGTACTTTATATAATTAAACCTTTGAAAATATTATAGAATCAATCAAAAAAATTGAAACTGTTTATGATGATAAAAAAGCTTTATTTGATTTCTATTTTAGCAGTAATTTGATGGAAAATATATAAAATGAAACATACAGAAAAATAACTTAAAAGATATATTGTTCTGCTTGTGATAAAGTTATTTATACACTTGCATCTAAAGGAATGTAAGAATTACCACTTTTAGTAATATATATAATATAATTAATTAGGAATTCTTAATGCTTGCTAAATCATAAGCTAAATAAAGAGTATTTTAATTATGTGCTACAATGAAGAAAGTGAAAGATTAAATCGAATTTGATAATGATAATTACAGTCATAAGATGCTAGGAATCTACAGATCAAATATTTGGACTGTTATTTCAACTTTTGGATTTTTAGGATATATTTTTTTCCGTGGAAAAATTAAAGGATATCTTAATAAGCATAAAGCCAAATAACTCTGATTTTAAGTTTAATTAATTATATAAAAAATATATATTTAAAATCACAAATATCTTATCAACAGAATCCAATCTTTCAATTATATTATCATTATAAATATATATAAATAATACTATTTATTTGAAAATATAAACATAATTTACTTATATGGTAATTAAAAAATATATTCAAAGTATTTTTATATATATCTTTTATCATAACAAAACATTTTTGGATTTTTATTCCCAATATAATATTTATATTACTTATTAGTCAACTTTGAGAAATTAATGATAATCTTATATTATAATATATTTAAATTAAAAATTTTTTGTAATTATGATAAATTATTGATAAAATTGATAAATCAATATTAATTTTTTAAGAAAGTTAAAACTTCATCATGGCTTTTCAGATAATCCTAATGAAGTAAGTCACTGGGTTCACTGCTTTCCAAATTGATCATCTTTATTTTCTCTAATGTTTGATGAAGTTCTTTAATTTATTGTTTTGCCATTTGTAATTCAATGTATAGGGTTTACTTTTCCTTATTCAAGATATTGTATCTCTTGTATTCATCTTAGACATATAATTTTTAATTTTCAAGTTCCTTTAATTTAAAAAATGATATATTACTTTTATCATGGATTAAATGATTTCATTTTTTCCTTCATTTTAAAAAGAGGAGTCTTTTAATTCATCAATTTATGTTAAAAGTGTTTTTATTTTAGTTGATTAATTTTCAACAATACTAGTTAATCTTTCATTATCATCTATTAAGGTTTTGATCTAATCTATGGGTAATTTTTTAAAAGTTTCTATTTAAGATTCTAACTATTTATTTTTTTATTCTAAAGTTAAGATTTTACTTTTGTAATCCAACTATTCCAATTACTTAATTTGTATTTACAATGATTCATTCTCTTTTTTTAAAGAACTAACTAATCTAGTCAAACGAGCTATTTCTCTATCTGTTGTCTAAGATTAACTATTCCCTTGATTTGTTGGTGTTTCTTGACTTAATTATCGGAACATAGAAAAAGGATTTGGGGATTTATTAGAATCACTCAATACTCTAATTAGTTAAGATTTTTGCATTTTTGATAATATTAAAAATGAAAGTGTTTTAAAGTAATCATTCACACACCCAATTTAAATCAGAAGGTTTCCAATCCACAATTTCTTTTTAATTAAACCATAAATTAATCTCTTTTTAAGCTGACTCACAAGAATCACTTCCATGTATTAAATTTCTTTATAATTCAAGTGCATAATCAGCTCTAATTGTTCCTGGTTTCTATTCAATAGGATTTCTGCCTTCTCCAAGCATAGAACGAATTTATCTAACAACTAATTAATTTAAATTATTAAATACCATCTTTGCCTTACCAAATCATAGCAATAACAGGTCCTGATAGCATATAACAAATCAAACAGGGAAAGAAAGGCTTAAACATAAGCTCTTCATAATGCTTCTGTAATAATTCTTGATTAGGTATTAACATTTTCATGGCCACCATTGAAAATCCTTTATCCTCAAATCTCTATATTATTCTCCCTATTATTCTTCTCTAAACTCCATCAGGTTTTATTAGAACAAAGGTTTACTCTTTTTCCATTAAATAATTAAATATTTAACTAATAACTATTAATTTCATATTATTTAATTGCAAATAGATAATCCCTAAAATTTTAGAGTATTATGATTTACAATAAATTTACATTATTTTTTATACACTACATAGATTACTTAATATCAGAAAATATATCAAAATAATTTAATTTATTATTTTTGAATACATAGTAGAATATGAAAATATTTATATTTATGTGTTATTTTTGGAATAAAATATATGATATTAATATAAAACATCATTAAACTTAAGATTAGACTATTAATTAGTATTTATTTTTTAATAATGTCTTCAAAATTATTTAAATACAAAAAAAAAGGAGAATCTTATATACTTTCAGTTAAGGACTCTTAAGAACTTGTGCAATAATTGAGAAATGAACATACTCTCCTTTCTAAATAAATAGAGGAATGTAATAAAAAAAAATAATTAATTGAAAATAAATTAAGAGAACTCTAAATAAGGTTTAATTTATTTACTAATATAGTGATTAATCAGAGTTACTCCCTATGATTATTTAAATGCCCAATGAACATATTCAAGAAGAATCTAATACTAACTAATAATTTTTTTATGAATTTAATGAATACTAAGAATACATAGCAGAAAAACAAGAAAGTTAAATAAAAACTAAAAGAGAATTATTTGACTATTTTAATTGCAAAACAGAATTTAAAAAATGTTTTGATGATCTTAATGATATAACAATTCTTAAGAAACTTTCTGAATAATTTGGAATAAAAACAAACAATACAAATAAATTAAAATAGCAATTAAAAATGATTTAATTGTATTTGCAAAATTAATCTTTTCCTTAATCCTGGAATCAAATTTATAATTCAGAATTATTTGAAAAATTAGAAATTTGATATATAATAATTAAAACTAAAATAATTCAAGTTCTTCTATGTTAATCAATCTTTTCACCCCATCGTTTTTCTAATCTTTCTAAATTTTAAACTGTTTCATCATATTTTCTTTTAATGTTTAAGTATTCATCATTTTTCTCATTCAATTCTCTTTATTTTCTATTAATTTCATTCTACATAGTATTAACTTTCTACTAAAGACTTAAATTATCTCTTTAAAGATTTTCAAATGAAATTTAAAGATCTTATTATCTCAATACAGATTCTAAATATAATTAGATTATTAATTACTTCTACTATCTTCTTATTGTTGCTTTTTATTTTATTATTCTTTTCTCATTTCTTCTAAACTTATATGTAATTATTCTGCTTCTTCTTTTCTTTTCTTTAACATTTCATTTAAATGTTATTGTTCTTATTTTGATTAATTTAATTCATTTCTTAAATTACTTATAATAGCTTAATTTTAATTTTATAATATTCCAATTTTTAATAGTTCTTCTTAAGTATTGAAATTTTAACTTCTAATTTTTTCTATTTCTAATTTCAAAGCATCTATCTATTCATTTTTACTTTGAATATCTACTTATAGCTATTACTCTCTTTAATCAAAATCATAAGATGTTAATGCATTTCTTTTATCAAGCATTTTTAATTATTATTCCATTGTTAATTTGAAATCAATTATTTCTTATTCCTTTATTTATAACAATTCTTCATTTTATAATTTTGAATTCTTTAATCTTCTTTCTAAATCATTAATACTTTCTTAACAAACTTTCTTTTATATATCATATTAATCTTTCAAATCACCCATTTCTTCAAGTAACTCATTTAATTATCTTTCCTTTTCTTAAGTTCTTCTACTTTGTAATTAAATCATTTCATTTAATTCTGTTACTTGATATTTCATTTCCTATTAAATTGCTTAATACATTTTATTCAATCTATCACATTCTATTCTTAAACCATTTTCAGTTTATTTCAAACCTTCAATTTATTGAATTAGTTATTATTATACTGAGTTCTATTATTATAATGATTAATTCATTTAATCCTATTTTTATTACAAAATTTAATTTTTATCAATAAGTTTTTTAGATTCTTATTTTTAAAACTAAAATTCTTAATTTAATTATTCAAACTTTTTTTCATTTATTTTCAATTCTTCTTATATTTTATTCTTTCTTATATCCATTGATTTAAATTCATCAAGCAACTTTTAATAATCTTATTTGGATGTTTATAATTTATCCTCCAATCCTTTTAATTATTGAATATAATTATTAATCTATCCTTTTGATTCTCTCTCAATCTCATTTCTTTATTTTTATAGATTACCAATCTCATTTTCTTTAATAGATAATGCACTTTTTAATTATTCATTTAAGATTTCTAAATTATTACAAATCTAAACAGATTACTCTTCTGAAATTGTTTTTTCTTTTAAAATTGATTTAATTTTTTCATCTAATCTTTAAATCATTTCATTTTTGTTATCAATTGCCTTAGAATCAACTTAATTATGAGCCATTTCTGCTTTTAAATTATCATTTTCAATTTATAATTATAATAATTTAAGCTCTAATTATTCTGATTATTTAGAAGTACTTGAATGAATTGATTTCACAATTAAAGGAGACTTTGGTATATCTTTTTAATTAGCTTTTTCAGATAATAATTATTTATACTTACTTTCTAATACATCAAATTCCTTTTATAATTATAAATTTCTTTATTTATAATCCTAAATATCATCATTAATGATTTTATTTTGATTAATTTTTACATTGTTAAAAGAATCTGTCTATTTTAATTTCATTTTTAGTTCTTCATTTTCTTTTTAATTTATTTATAAACATTCAAATACTCTATTAAATTCTTTATTTGTTTAATTTGCTTTATCTTCAGCTTATTATCTCTTATTTTATTCCTCTGTTACTTTTTATTCCTACTCTATCAAATTTTTGTTTAACTAAAAGATTTATTATATTTAATTACTTTTTAATTCTCTTATACTAAAGCAGTCATTTTAGTTTACAACTATTCAAGAATAGCTTTTAATTTATTATAATCTTCAGCCATATTTAATGTTTTTTAATCATTATCATTAGGTTCAATATTAGATAATTCTTCAACTTTTCTAAAAGTAGCCAATATTTCAATCATTTTATCATTAATATTATCAGGCAGTCTTCCATCACTAACAAATCTTTAAACACTTGACATCAAATCTCTCAATTACCCAGAAATCTTTGATATTTCTGTTGATATTTTTGGTTTTGATTATAAAAATCCATTATTTTGAGATTAAAGCCTATTATTACCCACTGTAATATGATAATCAGTAATTGAAGATTTAGTTGAAAATCCATAATTTTCTTTACTTTCTTAAATAGTTCCATCTTTTCTTAAAGTGTTACTTTTTCTTTCTGTTGTAGTATCTTTATTGTTATCACTTTAAAAGTTTCCAGCATAAGTTTTCTGATATTCATATTTATATGTTTCATAGTTAGGTTTGAGTTCATTTTATGATTTTACTAATTCTTGTTAATTATATGGTTTTAGAACATTGTAATTTTAGGTTAAGGTTTTTGTATTAAGTTTATATTAATAAGAATTCTCTAATTTTTATGGAGGAGATGGTTAAATTGCGATATTATTTGAGTTAACATATTTACCATCAAAAAGTGGAGATTACATGTAAGGAGAAGGTCCATTAGTTAATATTTTAGCTTGTGATGATGTTTTAGGACAATATATTTGTTTATCTGGAGATTAGATAGAAAAATTTCCTATATCTTTTTGAAGTGAGGACTATCTATTAATTAAAAATGCTTGACTAGGTTTTTATACACTTTTCATAATATGTTGGTTATTTATTTTTCTGTTAAAAATTAATATGTATTTAATTAGTATTATTATTAACATTTCTTTATCATGATTATTTTGTAGACAAGAAAGTGAAATGATTAGCTATAAAATAGATTAATGAAGTTTGAGATAGATTTACAATAAATATTTATTAAATATATATATTTTTATATAAATATAATATAAATGGACGAGAGGGAAGAAGAAAAAGTATTCATTTAATAATTACAAAAATTTTGGGAATAAAGAGGTGTAACTATTAAAATACCATAAATTGGTGGTAGAGAATTAGAAGTTTTTAAGCTCTATAAAGCTGTCACAAAAAGAGGAGGTTTAAAAGTTGTATCAGCCAATAAATTATGGAAAGTAAAATTTTTAATTTTGATCTAAAAAGGAAATAGTAGATTAATTCTCTTTTCCAGCCACATGTACTTCAGCCTCATTCACTTTAAGAAATCATTATTAAAAATTGCTATTGGCATATGAATAAAAATATTTCTTTGGAAAAGAAGATGGTTATATATATGATGAAGAAATGAGCTCAAATAGAAAGAAAACAAAGATAGGATTTGAAGAAGAAAATCAATAAGCTAGCTATGCGTAATAATAATATCTATTTTCAAAGTGTTGAAGCAGAAGATAGATAACATTAATTAGAATTTAGTGGATAACCTCTTAGTACTCTTTTGAATTAAAATTATTAAAAAGTAGAAAAAGCAGAAACTATATTTTTCATAAAGAAATCAAAAATATAAGCATAAGCAAGTGAAGTTAAAAGAATTATGCTTGCTTTTGAAAGTAGAATTGATGATGAACTTACATTTGCCATTAATAATTTATTAATGTATTCTTGCAATTACTCAGTATTACAATTTATATTTATTATTATAGCAAAGCTTTCTCATTGATTAGTATCCACAATTACTTGATACTATTACTTCTTATATTGAAGATACAATTAAATAAATTAGTTATCTAAATAAATCTTACTCTTTTAAAACTTGTCTTTAAACAGTAGGATAACAATAATTAGAGAATTTAGGATAATCATAGCGAAAATCAATGCAAGTTTAAACTGATTTAATTAAAAATCAGAATGTATTAGAGAATTATAATTCTCATATATCAATAATTATGAATGATTAAACAAGTGAAATTGTTAAACCAAGTGAATTAATATATTAGAAAAAATATATAGATTTAATTTAAGGGAATTATGAAAAAAAAGCAGAATGTAAACATTTAGAAAAATTGAGAACTTTATTTGTAGCTTTGAGAAATTTTGCTATGATTAGATCTAATGAAGCTTGCTTTATGAAATAAGATAAGTTATTATCGTTTTTTTATTAAATTCTTTTGTCTGGAGCTGATTAAGAATTATCTAAATCTGCATTAGAAATATTCTCAGTCTTATCTAAACATATACATCTAAAATAATCAGTCTACATGGATGCCTTTATGTAAAAATTAATAGAAATTCTTAATGGTGAATCATATGAAGATATAGGTTTAGTCACTGAAACTTTTAGAAATATGATATCCATTTCTGATAATGAAGCAATTATTGAAGGAGCAATAGGAGAATATATAGATTAATTAGCAAGATTATTAATATATCAAAATTAAGAATTAAGAGAAATTGTTTTAGAGTTTTTTTGTTACTTAAGTGATTTAAAAATGGCAACTAGATTATCCATAGCTAAACATCCTAAAATATTATAAAGACTTGTTGCTATATTGAGTATCGGATAAATTAAAAATAATTCACTAAAATAATAAGAATAAAGAAATAATCAGGATAAAATCAATGAAAAACATGTCAAATTAGCTGCTATCACTCTCAATAATATATCATAGGCACCTGCTGCAAAATAATATTTGCTTATTTTTGAAAAGTAAATATACTTATTAAATATATAAAAGGGAATTATTTTTGGTGGCCGCATCTGATGAAACTGTAACTCCTTTGCTTTCATAAATCCTTTTTGAGTTATCATTAGTAGAATGAAAATGTTAAATATATTTTAAACAAAAGCTAATAGATTTATCAATTTAGAATTATAATCATAAATATATTCCAAATCATTATTAAATGGGTATCATTAAATAAACAAAATGCTAAATTTAAGACCTATTGTAATTAAAAATACTAAGATTTAACTATTAACAATTATATAGGTTATATTTATACAATTAATTTTTTAATAAGAATTATATAAATTCAACTATTAGTTTCCTGTTTTTTCAAACTCTTTAGTATTTCTTGATCTTTCCCATAATATTGATACTTATATAGAAAAAAATCATACTAACAATAATTAACACTCTTAAATTAATTTATTTTAATTTGCATCTTATCTCTTTGCTGATTCTAATTTCTTAATTACAAAGGCTAAGAAATCTTCATTATTCATATTTTCTTGTGTTATTTGATTACTTTATGAATTTTAATCTTATTTTTTAATAATCGAGATATCATGAGCAGCTCCATTATCCTTTCTGTCTGTTCCTAGATTTTCTTCTCTCTTTGAATTTTATTAATCATCTTCTTTATTATGCTTTTTTTTTGTAAAACAAGTAGTTTTTTTATCAAGACTTAAAGCAGGCAAACTTATTTTAATTAATTCTTTTTATACAAGAGCTACTTTGCTTCTATTTTCTGGACTTTAATTAGGTGTAGTTTTTTTTCTTTTTTCAGGAGTAATAGTTCTTTTTTATGAATGAATACTAGTATCTTCTAATTATCTTTTTTTTTCATGATTTTTGAGTATTATTTACAATTATTAAATATCACATCTATGAACTGGGTTATAGGCTAATAAATTTCTTATAGCATTTGTAGATGCTTCTGATATTTTATGTTTAAACATTAATGTATAATCCATTTGATATTGTTTTAATTATCTGATTAAATCATCGATTTTATCTTCAATTGAATAAAAGGGAACAATACCTATTTAATATACATAAATAGATACCAAAGATCATTTCAAAATATAGAATTCCAAGAGACCATAAGTCTGTTTTATGATTGTATTCATTTTTTATTAATGTCTCTGGAGACATATATAATGGAGATCCGATTTAAAATTATTTATCTTCAAATCCAACACTGCCTTATTGAATTGCAAAACCAAAATCAGCTAGTCTTACTTCCCCTTCATGAATTAAGATATTTGATGGTTTAATGTCTCTGTGAATGATTTCTAATAATAGTCAAATCATACTTTACTTTTTGAATTTAAGTATTATAATGCTTCACCAATTTATTAAATATAATTAATTACTGTATCTTCAGGTAAAGAACCTTGTTATTTTATAATTTAAAGAATGTCTATAGTTTATTAATAAGTTATATACCTGTTTCACAAAATTCTGTTATTATATAATAATTGTTTTGTGTTTCATAATGAGAATACATCTTTAGAATATATTAATGATCTAATTGCCTAAGTATATTGATTTCATTTCGAAGCATCTATTCAAAAATACCTTTAGTTTATTTTTTGTCAATTTGTTTAATTGCCACTAGTTTCTTAGTCTTTTCATGATATCCTTTATAAACATGACTGAATTAACCAACTCCAACTTTGCATTCTTCAGATAATATATAAACATATTCTCCTATTACTTTTTCGTTAAGCATATTAAATTTAAAATAATTTAACAATGGATGAATATATAACAGTAACAATCGCTTATACTCTCAATAGTCGAATCGCGATTTGATCAAAGCTATAGATTGTATTCCAGTACCAGATATTACAGTATCTTCGCTATCTTAATAATCAGCAAGATTGACCAAAAAAGAGAATTCCCTTACTAAGGAATAAGTCATGAAAATCTTGAAAAAGACCTAACCTTAAGAATAAACTGCTATCTAACCTAGAGCAAATTTATACTTGAATGCTTTCAATTAATATGATCCTCAGGAAATGTTTAATAAAGAAAAGATTAATAAGCATACTTAATAAAAGAATCTACTTGATTAAATTTCCTAGTTATAATAATAAGTTGATTATTAAAGAAGGGAAATAGAATCTTAAATAAATCAAATAGCATTATTAAATAAACAGACTAATCATTTAACAAATGAAATTTAAGAAAAGAATATCTAATTATAAATGAATGCTTAAACTATTTAATAGTTGCATACAATTAATGTTCAATAACAATAGATTATAGAAAATATATCACTTGAAAATGAATATAAAAAAAAATTCAATAAACTATGTCATTAAAAAGAGTCTGAATCTATTACTGAATTAAAATCCAAAATATAAAATCTTGAATCTGAAATTAATAAAACAAGAGCCACATTCACTTTATTTTCACCAAAGAATGAAACATTTTAATCAGATTCATAATCTTATAAAAATAAAACATTTGATCCTGAATTATTAAGTGAAGATGAAACATTGACTATATTATTAAGTTTACTTAATAGAGTTTCAAAAAGTTTTAGGATGACTGCAATCTTACAAAAAAATGCAGATTTTAAAAAATTAATCAAATTTAAAAGAAATTAACCAAGTGTTAATCGATTATCTATAGTCTAAAATAATAAATCTTTAGAGCGTCAGTCATCCTGTAATTAAGAGTATTTCAATAAATTGATAAAAAATTAAGGAATAAAATTTTATTGATTATTAAATTCATGTTAATTTATTATCAAATATTATTTTATCATTATTCTATCAAAGAGATTTAATTTGTATCTAAAAATTATAATTAATTCATATATTTATGTAAATAATTATTATTTTTATTTACTATCTTTAGTAACGAAAATATTATAATAAATAATATTAACGATTTAAGTATATATATATATATTTCATTTTTTAAAATAGTTACCTCTACTTGTTATACAAGTTTGAGGTTCTATTTTAAAAATGGATTAAGTCATCTTAATAGGAGATGTTTATATACGCAAATTCTCTTTATTATTTGATTTACAATGGTTGCATTATGTCAAACAAATGTTTTCAAACGAACAAGTATTATTGAATAAATTAGCATAAAGTCTAGATTTTTGTGGTGTTTTAGGTGAAGTATCAATTTTAGGTACTAAACTTCTATCTAGTTAACTATTTTATAAAGGAGATATAGATCTTCTTAATTTACTAATGTTAACATTTTAATCTGTGATTATTGGTTAAATGTGTTTTTTTGTTTTAATGCATTAAATGATTTTCTAATTGTTCAAATATTTAAGAGATAATAATTGATCATCTAAATCATGCTTTAAATCGAAGTGTTTTTTTGTTCGTATCTATGACTTTTATTCAGGTGTTGTAGTTCTTAGTGATCCACTAAAAATCATTATCAGTTAATAAATTAATAATATACTTATAAGAATATATTAAAAATTCAAAATTTATGTAATATAGGTCAAGCAAACCTCCTCAAACAGTCAAGAATTAAGTGGCATCGTTCTTTCCAAAATAAACGTTCTCTCCTACAAAGTCGCATATTGAACACTTTGTTTCTGAAAATCCAACTCCACATTATAAAAAATAATCACAACCTTATCCACCTAGATAACATTCATTTAATATATCAAGTGGAGAAAGCTTAGAATAAAATCACAAAAAAAAGTAGAATTCAAACTTTAGTCAAGAAAAGAAAGCTCAAAAATAACTCTTTAATATATTGTTTAATAATCCAAAGCGTAATGAAAGTTTTTGTAAAGATATGTACATCTATATTATAATGATAGGAAGAAATAACCTAGATAAAGTTCAATTAATAATTAAATATAGAATTAGTACTTTCCAAATAAGCAAAAACTATCTTAAACAATGCAAAAAAAGTAATCAAAAATAAATAACAGTATGGAGGGATAGTAGACAGTTGATTTGAGTTTTGAGAACATCTTAATCAAAGGTCTTTAAGATCATAGTGGATTTTAGAGTGATACAACTAAACCTTTAGATGATTATAATCCTAGAGCTATTAAATTCTTAGAAAAAGGCAAATAATTATTAAGAGAAAAGCAAATTGAAGAAGCTATTGAGTATTCTACCTATATAATTTTAGATAATTAAAAAAATGTTTAGAAAATGATACCAGATTATTAGAAGGACATTACTTTTTAGGTATTGGTTATCTTGGTAAATAACTATATCCAAAAGCAATAACAGAATTTTAATATGTTATTTAATAAGATGCTACACATAGAAAGAATATTTATTTATTATTAGCTATATGCCATAAAAAAATGAATGAATTGGATTAAGCAATTGCTATTCTAAACAAAGTCATATTAATGTTTCCTAGATATTATGATGCCTTTATTTATAGAGGTAAACTGTTTACAAAGTTAAATTAAATTGAAAAAGCAGAATCTGATTTTAATATGGCAATTCAATTAAGTCCTCAAAAAGGATTAGGATATTTGGGAAAAGCTGATTGTTTAAGGATATAAAATTAATATAAAGAAGCTATTAAATGTTATTAAAAAGCTATAAATTGTGAATAAGCTGTTGGTAATGCTGCTTTATTGAAAAAAGCAATTACTCTTTATGAAAGCTAATAATATGATGAATGTGCAAAAGATTTAAGTAAACTTTTAGAAACTGAACCAACTAATTCTGAAGCTTACTATTTTAAAGGACTTTGTAGATTAAAAATAAGTATTTATTATATATATTTTAGAGAATCCTACTGAAGCTTTATTATGTTTTGAATAAGCTATCAAACATAATAATTCTAAAAAAGCTGTCACTAAATCATTATATGAAATTGCAAAAATGAAGATTGAATAAAGAGATTTTTATGCTGCTTTTCATACATTAAATAGATCAGCACTTTTAGATACTGAAAAAAGTTACTTAGAAAAATTTAGATTATTTACTGAAGTAATTTATTTATTAATTATTATAGGCTGTCATATATTTGATGAAGAGAAAATTTTAAGAGAGTTTAAACAATTTTCAAGAGATTTAAAATCATCATTAATTAAATGATTTTCTTAAACCTTTATATTATGCTTATAGAGCTTATGGTCACTTTTGTTTGTCTAAACATTAAAAGGCTTTGGAGGATTATAAATATTTATTAGAAATTCAACCAGCTGAATCTAGTGTTCATTATAATAAATTCTTATGTGAAGGAATCTTAAAAATTTAAACTGGATAATTCAATTCTGGTATGGAATTCTTTTAAAAAGCCTAAAAGATTTTCTAAAAAAAAATGGAACCTTCTTTTTATTAAGGAGTAACATTAATAAATTAAGCCTTTAAAAAGAAAAGTGATTAATATAAAGATATAATTAAGGGATTAGAATTATTAGATAAAGCATAAAGTTTAAATGATTAAAATGCAAATGTATATTATGTTAGATCTATAGTGAAATGTTTTTTAGGATAAAGTAATGAAGCTTTGGCAGATATTGAATCTGCTATTCAAAAATCAGAAGATAATGTTGCTAAATATTTTTATTTTAGAGGAATGGTATATGGAATTCTTAAATAATATCATCATTCTTTAAATGATTTTAGCATTTGTTTAACATTAGATGAAACATTTGCTGATGCTTATTTAAATAGAGCTAAATGTCATTTTTTAAGTGGAGATTCTAATTCTGCATTTCAAGATTTACAATAATGTATACATATATTATAAGATGATCCAAGAATGCATGTATGGGCTGGTAATTTTTTATTTGCTAATGCTGCTATAGAGGATGCAATCAAAGCCTATTCTAATAATAAAGATTTCAAAAATAATCCTAAATTAATACAATTAAGATCAGAATGTTATATGGTTTTAAGTGATTTGCGTCTTTGTTAGGAAGATGTTAATAGACTTCATAAATTGACTAAAGATTAAACAGCTGAATTTGATAAGGATATTTTATAAGCATTGAGATTAGTCTTTAAAGATGATTAATAAATTTATTTTAATGAAGATAGTGAAAGTGAATAACATGAATTAAAAAATAATTTAAATAGAGCTGTAAATAGTCTAACATAACTAGTTAGAGGAAAAGGTAGATTATTTTAGTAATTCCATGTTTTTATATTCCGAGGAGTATTCTTATTTCATTTAGAGAAATATGAAGAGGCATTGAAAGATTTCTAAATGGCAAAAAGTTAAAAGGAACTTTCAATAACAGAAAAACGATTAAGATAAAGAGAAAGTTAAAGTGATTTATTTAGTGATGAAGATTATTTTGAACTTACTGAAGATGAGGAAGATGCAGATCTATTAGAAATTTTAGAAATAAAATTTAATGAATTAATTTGCTTAATAATTTTAAAATAATTTAAAAAAGCAAAAGAGAAATGTAAATAATTGATTGAAAATATAAATGAAGCAAAATAAGAAGGTTTATAAATTCTTTTAATGCATATTGAATAAATTTTATTAAAGGATTAACAACCTATTGATTATTAAAGAGTGATTTGTTTATATGATGAACCTAAAGAAAATATAATTTGTTTCTAAGTTCCTATTATATTTGTTGATGGATTTAAGATTAGATTATCATTTAGTTTACCAAAGTTATCTCCTCCATCATTATCAATTGTATTTGATAAATAATTAATTTAAAATATTGGAGTAATTTATTAATATTCAATTTTTTTAGCCTTTGTCTGTTGAAAATAAACCTGAAGCTCCATGGATTAGAAGAGAATAGTCAGATGATATGATTATATTTACTGATAATGTTTAATTAATTGATGATATAAGATTAGAAACAGAAATAGAGGATGATAATAAACATTAAGCATAATCTTAAATGGTAGAAATTACTCAAATAAAAAATAATTTAATGTTGGATAAGGAAATTGAAGAAAAATTATAAAGATTTTTCCAAAATAAATAACAAAAATGATGTTATACAATTAAATATTCTTATCATCACTATCTTTACAATTAAATTAATCTCTTTTAATAGTATTCAACTTCTTATTATAAAGCTAGACATTCTTAATCTCTTCCATTTAATATTGCTTTTAATTTTGAATTTTCAAGTAAAATTTATTATAATTGGCCATCTTAAAATTCACATTACTTTTAATATTATTATAATTAATTTTTAAGTTCTTATTTCTTTTATTTATAAGATTTCTTTTCCTTTTGTAATCCATTATAATTAAAATCTTTTTATGGTAACATTGAATTTAAGATTTTCTTTTCTTATTACCATTACTCTTTTTCTAAACAATATTAAGTTTTTAATTGAGTTAACTCTTGCTCTTAATTTAATTATTTATCTAAATTATTTTTTATCTAATTTCTTAAATCATTTAAAGATTCTATAATCATAATATATTATAATACCTTTATATGCTTTTTTCTTATTTTTATATTTATTTATAAGGATGATATGTTAAGGTAAAAGTTATTAATCTTACAATGTTTATTGATATTAAGTTTATTAGAATTGAGGATTGTGAATTTAACAATATTGCATATATAATTTTAATAATTATTCGTTAAATATTTTGGAAAAAATAAACAATATGAATATATAATTTATAAAAAAATATCATTTTTTAAATTAACAACTATCTAAACTTAAATTTAGTTTGTTATTGACTCTCTATTTTGGTGTATTAGAAAATATAGATTATTTCATTTATTTAGTTGTCTCCTATTCTTATAAAAAGGAATCCAACTAATTTGTCTTCTTTTATTATGTTTATTATTTTGATGACGTAATTTATTAAGTTGCATAGTAATTATTATTATTATTATTAGAATTCTCTTCAATTTTATTGATACTCTTTTGTAATGCATAATATTTAATTAATAATCTATCATACATAGTTCTACATTCCTATAATTATTATTCTTTGTTTTCTCTTTATTCTATTTCTTATCCTAATTCATGAAATGATTTTCTAAATAATTCTTATTATGTTTGATTAGTCAATTAGTCAATCAATTTTATCATCTTAATGTATAAAGGATGATTAGTTATAGATTTAATGTTGAGACAATCATTACTTTTTAGATTACTTATTGATTCAGGTAATTAGATCTATTATTTTAAATTTTAATTTTCATACTCCAATTCCATAACTCTATTTTAGTATTCTTTCATTTATTACTATTAATGTGAATTCTATTGATAATATTAAATAAAATACAATCTGACTATTAATTCTATTTTATTCTTGTGAGATTTAATCTTAATTGATCATTTATTTCAATTATTCATTTTCATTCCTTAAATACTCACATTATTAACATTCTTATTTATGTTACTAAGAAATATATTAATATTATTATAATTTTTATTAAGTATCTCTTAATTCTTAATAAAGTGCTTACATTTTTTAATGAATAGATTGTTTATACTCTTAATCACTCTATTTAATAATAGTTAATTCTAATTAATATTGAACTAATTTCTCTTTAAGTTATTAACATTCTTCTTATTTCAGACTTAATTATTATTCTGTTGTTCTAGCACTTATTTTTTGAGTTGTTTATTATTTTAATTACATTGAAACTCTTTACCATTTTTATTGAAATTACATACTTTATTCAGTTAGTAATTTAACTTTTTATTCAAGTTTTTGATTTTCCTAAATTTGATGATCTAATTTTTTTTGTAAAGTGATAAAATTATAATTTGCATTATTAAGCTATTCTTCATTTTTTTTCGTTGATTATAATTTTTAAATCAATTCATTATTAAGTCTTTCTACTTATTGCATTTTTATAAATGCTGTAACTAATTCTTCATCTTTTTCTAATATCTTATCACTATATTCATTGGTCAATTATTATATATGTTCTTATAAATAATCAATTTATTCATGCAATTTTAATTTCTCTATCTCCATTATTTCAATTGCGTAATTTAAGTCTTTATACATTTATCTATTATTTTTTGTCTGTTATATATAATTTATATATATAATCTATATATATATCTGTTATTAATTAATTTATGCAAATTAAACATCCTGTTTTGGTTTTAAAAAAAAAAGTAAAGGAACGAATAGAATATAAAATAAAATGGAATACAGGTTCGATTACTTATGAACCAATGGTTGAACTTACACCAGAAATGCTTCAAATAGTCAATTAATGGGAATTGAATGAACATTAAAAAAAGAATGTTAAGTCCATTGAAAAGATTAATACAAAAACAACAAAAATTATTGAAGAACAATTAAAATACAGAATGGATATTGAAAAACCAAAACCGACTCCCCATAAAGAGAGAAGTTCAGAAAAGGGTTATGTAAAATCTTTAAGAAAAAATGATGGAAAAATAGAATTTTGGATATATATACATGATGAAGGTATAGAAAGATGGGTTACTTTGGAAGAAGTCAAAAATAGAATGCCAATAGCTTTATGTGATTATCTTTTATAAAAGGTTAAGTTTGGAGGTAAGTGAATATCATATTTAAAAATGCATTTTAATAATTATCTATTTATAAAATTGTATCATTTTTCTAATTCATTTCTCAATTACCTCTATAAAATAATTAAAAAAAGAACTTTAATTTAGTTACATTTATTTCATTATATTTTCTAAATGAAAAACAAAACAATTCAAAACTTATAATCTTATATGATTTTAGTTTTAGATTTATACTATAATTCATTTGGATTTATGATTATGATAAATAAGAACCAATTATGAGTAATTTATATGATGGTTGTTTATATAAAATAAAATTATCAATCAATAAGTTTCTGGCATGCAATATTTGCACACAATCGAGCAGCCATTAAAATTTTAAATTAAATTAAATCTTTTATACAAATAAATGTCTTTGGTATTGGAAAAGGCTGATTCATTCAGACACATTATTCGTATATTGAATACAAACGTTGAAGGAAAATAAAGACTTGCTTATGGTATTAGAAGTATCAAGGGTATTGGAAGAAGATTTGCTATCTAAATTTGCAAGGTAATTAAACATATAATAGATAGGTCCTCCGTCTTGATCTTACAAAGAGAGCTGGTGAATTGACTGATGATGAAGCTCACAAAATCACAGAAGTCATCAAATCACCAGAAGCTTATAACATTCCAAGATGGTTTTTGAATAGATAAAGAGATTTCAAAGATGGCAAAAATTATTAAGTCACAACAAATGAATTGGAAACTAAATTAAGAGAAGATTTAGAAAGAATGAAGAAAATCAAGTATTTCAATTAAATTAAATTAAGGTGTAATCGTGGTTTGAGACATCATTGGGGATTAAGAGTTAGAGGACAACACACCAAAACAACTGGTAGAGGAGGATAAACACTCGGAGTTGAAAGAAAGAAGAAGTGATTAATAATTTATTAAAAGTACATTAAAAATAATAAATGGACAAATAACCATTATTGCCCAACTTTTAAATTACTCTTAATCATAAGTTGTTTTTAATACTTGATAAATTGTTGTTTAGATAGAAAAACTGTTAAACATCAATCTTCAAATAATGAATATATTATTTTACTTACAAGATAGACTTGATTCTTGATATAATTAAGATATATATATGGAAGAACCATGTTTAATAATTCTATATATTTGTTAATCAATATCCTTAAAATAGTCATATTTTATCGAAAGAAAATTAGATGAATTATATCATTCTTATCATTAATTTATCTAAAATTCATTATAAATTTTATACAAATATTAAAAAATTAATATTTTTAAGGATAGTATTAAATGTTAAAGGTAAAATATTACTAAAATTTATAACATTTATAAAAGTAAGCAGATAATTAACATATAAAAATAAAGATTAAAAATTACAAGGCAATATGATACAAATAATAATAAAATCAAGCACCATTTTTCATTATATTTTCAGATTAATGATGATTAACTTGCCTTGGTATTTATGCTATTATCCTATCAATTTAAAAGCCCTTTTAGAATGTAAAAATATCATATTAACATTTCCAAATCATCATAATTAACTCCTTACAATTTTTTAATCCTTCTAACATGAACAATAATTATTATGACTAAAACTAATGTATATTTACTTCAGTATTTGTCGTCTCATCTGAAGATCTTTCTATTGTTGCTTAAGTTAAATTTAGTCCTAACTTATTTAGACTCAAATTTAAATAATGCAAGGCTATTTCATAAACAGTATTATTCTCATATAAACTATCATTACAAAAAGAACCTATAATCTGATCCTTCTAAAAATCTTATTATAAGTATTTAATTTACTATTTTTTAAAGCTAATCTCAAGATTTTCTAGAAATGCTTCATATATTTTATTTAATATTCAGAAATTGCCTAACATATTCCAATAAATGATTCACTTTTTTTGTAGTTATCATAATCATAAAGTTAATTGAAATTCTCTACTCTATTTTCTTTATCCAAAATTTTAGATAATTGACTGATTTTTATGGCTATACATTTTCCTAAGACAAATAATATCTTATCTCTAACTTCTATTGTAAAAAATTTAGAATTGACTAAATATTAGGAAAACTTAAATAAATATCGACAATAGTTTATCTAAAATACAAGAATTTGATTATTAGTTTTAAATCCATCATTCTATTAAAGGATTTATTTAACAACAATATTATTAGTATTTTCAGCTTAAATATTTAAAGGATGTTTAATGTTTTATTGTTGTAATTATATCTATTATTAACTAGTTGATCTTTAGGGCATCTCTTATTAAACAAAAAACTTTTTATTTCCTTCATCTAAATCATTTTCAAGATTGCCTTAATCTTAATTATAATTTCTATTTAAATTTTAAGTTAAACTTCTTTTACTTTTCTTTACTTAAGAATTATTAATAAGTAAATTGATTTTCTTTAATTGTGATAAACAATCATCTTATGAAAAACAATAAAAATGTTTTGATTAAATAATTTAATGTTCATACATATCTTTAACATTAAATCTTTCATGATCATTAATTTATAAGCATTTTTTAATAAAATCTTTTGATAATTCAGAAACAGATGGGGTTTAAGGTATAATTAATTATTTATTAAGAATATTAGATAATAGAGCTGCTTCTGATTAAGCATTAAAAGGTGTTCTACCTAATTTAAATTTAATAAGGTTTTACCAAATAACATCTCAAAATATACTATTCCTACAGCCCATACATCACCTTTTTCAGAATAATCTTAATGTTTTAATGCTTATGGTGACATATATAGGGGAGTACCCACATTGATGTTTCTTTACTAAATTCTTGCTTACCAGATAGGAATTGCAAATCCAAAATCTGCTAATTTTGGTTCATTTCCTTTTAAAAGAATATTAGCTGGTTTAATATCTCTATGAATAAATCCTTTTAAGTTTATTTCATTTATTGCATTAACTAATGCTTATAAAATTCTAATAGCTTCTGGTTCCTTTAATTTTAAATTTTTTCTTAAGTATTTATCTAGATCTCCCTTCATAAATTATGATTATACCGAATCACAAAATTCTGTGATTATATAAGTGTTATTTGATGTTTAACATACATCAATAAGTTTGAGAATGCTCTAATGATTGAATGATTTCAAAGCATTGATTTCATTTTTCAATAGTTGTTTATGTATTGATTGCTTCAACTTCTTCATGTCAATTACCTAAACAACAATATTTTCATACTTTAACAGCAACATTCTCTAAAGTTCTTTCATCTCTTCCTTTATACACTCTACTACTAAATCCTTTACCTATTTCTTAGTCAATAGCATATGAATAATGATCAATAATTTTTCTTTTTTCAATTCCACCTTTTCTTATAATACTTTGTGTTTCTTATATAATAACCCATATTTACATCTATGAGGATCTTAAGAATAAAGATATTAAGGCAAATAAGTGGAATTTTAAAACATATTTTTGATATTAATTAATTACCATTTTAATGAGAGTTCATTAATTAAATCAATTCAAGATTTTTTAAATTAATTTGAATAAAATCATATCGACTAAATTTTTAGTTTAAAGTAAATATTTTATCAATTAATAAATGTTTTGAATTAATAACTAAAATTATCAAATAAATATGTTAATTCTATAAAAATAGAGATTAACATTAAGAGAGTCTGCTATAAAAAGAAATCAATTAATAATTATTTATTTAATTTAAGTATTAATTTAACATTTTAAATTAAGTGCAATCAATTGATAAACATAATAATGCCTTAATTATTTATAAAATAGTAATATAATTTATTTATTGATAACTATTAATATTATTATTTTTATCTATCATAAATAAACAAAATTAACATATTTTTATTAAGATTAAAGTAAGCATAATTTCCAACCTAAATAAAATAATTTTTATATACATTAATTCTACAATATATTAAATAATATAGATTAAATAATTGATTAATAAGTAATTTTTTCAACCTTCAGGATTTCTCAAATTTCTATCATTCATGAGTTACAATAAAAATAAACAGAATTATTTTATAAGAAAATAATCATATAATTGTTAAATAAATAAAAAAAATATATCTTATTAATATCTTTTAGAAAAATTAAATGAAAATTAAGTATCTGTGTTTTCAAAACCACTTTCATTCAATGAGTTTAAAGGTATATTAGATTGATATTCAAAATTAATAGTTATAAAATGAATGATAATATAGGTATGAGAGAGTGATTGAATGAATTCAAAAATTTTTTAATCTTTTATATTTTATTTAAATAAAAAATGGGTAGAAGACCAGCAAGATGTTATAGAGTGAGTAATGGTAAACCATTCCCCAAATCCAGATATAACAGAGGTGTTCCAGATGCTAAAATTAAGATCTATGATGTAGGAAAAAAGAAGGCTAATGTTGAAGAATTCCCAGTACTTAATAATTAATATGAATTAGGCTGTCATTCACATTGTTTCAGATGAAAAGGAATAAATTTCATCAGAAGCCTTAGAAGCATGCAGAGTTGCCATCAATAAATACATGATTAAGAAAGTCGGAAAAGATGCATTTCATCTTAGATGCAGAGTTCATCCATGGCACGTACTCAGAATCAACAAAATGCTTTCATGTGCTGGTGCAGATAGACTTTAAACTGGTATGAGAGGAGCCTTTGGTAAACCAAATGGTTTATGTGCCAGAGTAAAGATTGGTAGCATTCTCTACTCTTTGAGATGCAAAGATGCTTCAATCAATCATGCTATGGAAGCATTGAGAAGAGGAAAGAATAAGTTCCCAGGAAGATAAAAGATTGTTGTCTCAGCCAAATGGGGTTTCACTAACTATTTCAGATCTGACTATCTCAAATATAAGGCTAATGTATTACCATAAATTAATATTTTAGGATGAATTATAATACTATGGTGTTCACGTTCAAAAATTGAGATAACACGGTCCATTGGAAAAATTGAAGATTTTCTAAGCCCTTAGAAAATGATTTGTTTAGAATAATCATATCATATATTAAATTATCGTATTTTAACATTTTTCTATAATCATTGATTATCTTCTAATTTATTTATTATTATTATATAATTATATACGGAAATGATTGAAAAATCCTTTAATTTAACAATTTGAATTTAATTCAATGAATACTTGGAGGAATTTGGATATCTATTTTCTACTTATTTGTATTATAAAAAATGAATAATTTATTCAATATTTAATAATATTGTGCTATAGGTTTAATTCAAATAATTTTCTTCTAATTAATTTTTTTGATCATAAAACCAGCTTATTTATATGGATTATCACTTTTATCCTACATTACTTATTCAAAATTTGTCCAAAAAATTAAAATAATTTAATTATAATAGATATTATTATTTCTTTAATTTGTAGTACAATCGCTAATAATTGAATTAAAAATAGGTGGATTTTAAGATTTGATTCCTTAAATCTACAGAAAATTCTTATTCTAAATAAACAATCTGATTTGCTGATATCTATTATAAAATAAAATAGATATTAATAAGTTTGGATTTATGGTGTCTCAAATGCCTGGAATTATAGCTTACATGACAATACATTTACAAAAAAACTTGGTTTAATTGTAAAATTATAGTTTTTCAGAATAGGATTTAATTTTATAGAAATGGATTTTTTCTTATTTTCATTCTGATAGATTTAGAAATATTAAAGTTTATTCATAATTTATTCTTCCAAATTATATATTGAAAAACTTTCTTAATAAAAAAAACTAAAGTTTTTCTATATTTGAATGATAAATGTAATTGCTGATTAAAAGACGTAAAAAAACCATTCCATTATTTGACTCTTCGACTCTTTAAATGAAAATGATAAATAAAGAGTAGTTCTCTATTTACATATGATGGATAATAATTGATGATCAAGATAGATGACTTTTATTTGAATTTTAATCAACCTAACTATCAATTAATTTTATAATTTGATGTTAAAAATACCATTATTGTAAATGAAAATTAATGATTTGATAATAATTCTGCTTAAAAATCAATATAAGTCTGCTATATTAATATTTAAAAGAAACTTCAAATTTGAATATGAAAAAACTGTATCATAAGGACAATCATAGAAAGTCTAAAACAACATTAATTATATAAGTAAATTTTAAAACTTATTTAATTATCTTGGATTGTGTTTTACATTTATTTTAGTCTAAATGTTATAATGAATGAAGGTTATTGAATTTAGAAAATAATTATGATAATGATTTAAATGTAATTTCTATTGATAAACTAATAAACTTCTATAATTAATAATATATGAATTAATATATATAAATATATCAAATCAGGTACAAATTAAATTTTTTACTCTTTAATCTTTGAATCTTACTTACTTTTTTTGAGGAGAATTAGTGTCAATTTCTGATTCTTTTCTTTTTAAAATGGAATTTGGAGTTAATGATCTAAATTTAGTAGGACTCTCTAAACCTATTATGTAAGCATGATCATCACATATATCACTTATTTTTCTTCTAACTTACTAAACATTATCTTTTTTCTCAGGTAAATCTGAATATTTTCTTTTTGGTGTTATTTTGTCTTTCTGTCTATTTATATAATTTAAAGATTCTCTTTTTTTCTTTAGTTTATCTAAAGTAGCACATTGTTTTTAAAGAGGAGAATGGGAATGACTCTTTTCTTATTACTTTTTTTTTGTAGAAGATTGTATGAATTTAGGACTTTATTATTAGTTTTATTAATGTTTTCTTAATTTTTAATATTGTAAATTAATCTATTATTTGGGTTGGATTATTTTTTAAGACTTAGATTGGTTTTATTGTTTGTTTTCTTTGATTAAACATAATTCTTTTTACAATAAACTTTCTTCTGAAGGAACTCTAACTAAAGATTTAATTTCATTGTATTTAGATATATGGGGTTTAGTAGGTGATCTTAATTGAGCATTAGGAATTTCCATTTATGTCAATTAACTTGCTCCAATCATACTATCTATTTAAGGTTTGACAATTTGAATATTCTCATAAAATGAATCTTATTTGTTCATTGTACTTCTTTCTGATGCTTAGCAATTCTATGAACATTTGCTGCCCATTTAGGATTTATTATATTAATAATAATAGTAAATAAAGTTAGATCTTGAGTGACATTATTTCTTACTTAGAAGGTAAGAAGTAATAGTCATATCAAATGAATAATAATAGTATCTTTTAAACATTAGTTTTATGAATTTGAATCATCAATTGGTTTCTCATAACAACAATTACATAATTAATAATAATTTGAAAATTGTGATATATTATTAAATTTTAGAAATTTTTGATTATCATTAATAAATATAATTATATTTAATTATTAAGTTTAAGTAATAAGTTACATTAACAACAATGATTATCGGTAGAAAAAATATTGAAAAATAAATCAAGCTTGTCTAAGCTTTTCTATAACAGTATCCATAATCTTTCTTGGGTCATCCTCTTCAGCCTTCTCAGCATTTAATTAATCATAATCTATCTCAACACATCTTTAAACTTTTTTATGAATTATAATAATATCTACTAGGTTGTCTAATAATAACATAATAGGTCTAGAAGGAGTTCTCTTATGTTCCTCAATCATTTCTTAACTTTAAATAATTTATTAATTAGTACCATAATTATTTAATTAATGTATTTAAAGTTAGATTTAACTTATCACATTCATTATCAGTACAATTCTAATCCTTTGAATTTATATCCAGTTCTCTATCACAATGCTACAATTACCCATTTCTTGATAATGTTTCAATTAAATCAGAATGAAATTAAATATATTAATCTTAATCTTTTTTTATTGCTGGAACCATTATTTGATTAGCTAAAGCATATAAACTATTTTGCATTGCCATATTAGTTTTACTCAAACAAATCATAAGTTTTTCAATTATACTATTTTTATTAGATGTATATCTTGGGAATAATTCAGTTGTTAATACAAAATTCCTAAATATAATTTCATTTCTTAAACTCTTAATAGAAGGAGTTTAAGGTTAGATTGAAATAGGTTAAACAGGAGCAGATGCTTAATGCATAGGTGATTATGATGGACCTTAAAATATAGATTTCTTTCTTTCTTTTTCATTATTTGGTAAACTCTAATGATTATTTACTCTAATATTTAAATTAGGAGAAGTTTATATTCTCTGATCAGATGGAAGATTCACAACTTCAAACATTTCAAATACTTTTTCCCATGATATTCTATCATTTTCTTCTATAGTTAATGTTTTTCTCAAGAATTCTTCACATTTAGTAGTTAGAAAACCTTTTTTGATTGAAACAGGAACACTTAAAATATTCTTTAATAAATCTCTTTCATCTCTTCCTTTCCAAGGAACATCAGCAAATACCATTTCATAAAATATGACACCGAGAGACCAAATATCACATTTAGTAGAATAAGGTTTTCTTGCTAAAATTTATGGAGCCATATATAATGGAGATCCTACACATGATCTTAGTAATTGATTACTAAAATTATCAACATATTTAGCAAATCCAAAATCAGCAATTTTAAATACTCCTTCATGACTAAGAATATTTGCTGGTTTTAAATCTCTATGTATTATAGCATTAGATACAAGTTCACGAAATCCTTATATGATTTATTTCATGATTTTCCAAGCATCTTATTCATTATATTTTTTTCTACTCATAATTTCTCTTAGATCTCCATCTTTACAAAATTCTGTTATAATGTAAAGACTTCTTTGTGTTGAAATCAAATCAATAAATTTGACTATATTTTTATGATTAAATTTCTTGAGAATTTCAATTTCTTATATGATTGATTGTTTAAGATAATTATCTCTTTCAAAATTACGTAAATCTAGTTTTTTTATAGCCACCTTTAAATTAGTTGTGGTATCAAGTCCCTAGTATACTTTACCATAAGCACCTTCCCCTAAACAATGTTTTAGATTGTAGCTGTAATTACCAATAACTTTGACTTAGCCTTATTACATATCAACGGTTAATATTTAAAATAAAAATCTAAAGAAAAAATAATGTATTTAATAAATTAATTAAAAAATGCCCAAAATCGAAAATACTACGGGAATGCCAATAAATTTGATTATTGATGAACTAAAAAGTGATGACATAAGAAAAAGGATTCATTCAGTCAAACATTTAGATTTGATTGCTAGTACAATTGGTCCAGATAGAACAAAAAATGAACTCATTCCATTCATTTAAGGTATTCCAAATATCTAATTTAGAATTGCTTGATGATGATGATGAAGTATTGATCGAATTAGTAGATTCACTATCAAGAAATTTTGTAGAGTTAGTAGGAGGTTAAGCATAAGTTCTATTGCCTACATTTGAAGCATTATGTAGAGTAGAAGATGCTTCAGTAAGAGAAAAAGTAAAATAATTATTAATAAAGGCTGCCAATCAAATTAAAAAATGTCTAACATAACTACCAGACTAAAAGAAAGTAGAAGAATTATCAATAGGAATAATAAAGAGATTAAATGATAGCGATTATTACATGGCTAAGAATGCAGTAGCAATTTTAATTCCAGCAATCTTTAATTAAGTTTCATAGAATAATTAGAATGAATTAATTAATATCATACTCAAAATGTCTTAAGATCAAATTCATTAAGTTAGAAAATTTGCATCTATTTATTTTTAAGTATTAATTTTTCAAAATTTAGGATTTGGTTAAACATTTTCCATTAGTAAATGAAACATTCATTTAAAATATATTAAATTCCTTTATAAAAGATGAATAAGACTTTATTAGAATGTACATAGTAGATGCATTAATACAAACAAGCAAAACTCCTTTCTTCTAAAAATAACAAAACTTTGTTCTTAATATGTTTAAATAATTAGCTGAAGATCAATCATGGAGAGTAAGATATTATTTTTGTGATAAATTGGCTGAAGTAAGTCTATTTATTATTCAAAAAGATAGGTGAAGCTGTGACTAAAGAAGGATACAGAAAGAATTTTTAAAATTATCATCTCAAGTTCTTATAAGATTCTGAACCTGAAATGAAATCTATTGCAGCATTAAAAATTGAAAGAGTAAGTACTTTAATGGATCCAGATGATATATTAAATAAACTCATACCTCTCTTAAAAACAATATAGTCTGACACTAATGCATTTGTTAGAAGTAAATTTATAAAAATAATAAATCTAATAGATGCTTTAGCTTCTTCAGTCTTGGCATTATGTCCAATTATTGGTAAGAAAAATACAAGTGAATAAATCTTACCAATCTTTTTGACTTTACTCAAAGACTAAGATTCAGAAGTCAGAATAACACTCTTTAAAAAGTTAAGTCTTATCACAAATGTCTTGGGTGTTGATTCTTTATCTCAAAGTGTTATTCCTGCTTTGACAGAATTAGCATAAGATAAGAATTGGAGAATAAGAGCTTCAACAATAGAAGTTTTGAGTTTCTTTGCAAGAGCTATAGGCCCAGAATTTTTATCTGACAAAGTTCTGAAATTATTATTAGATTGGATGGGTGATAAAGTCTTCTCGGTTAGATAAACAGCTATATAATAAACAGCCTAATTGATATCTATTCTTGGACTAGCTTGGGCAGATAAAAATTTATTAACAAAAATTTGGGCATTTTAATCAATTTAAAACTATCTTCATCGATTAACTGTTTTATTCACAATCAATGTATAATATTGTATTTATTATAGCAAATTACTTCTTAATTAAACAATGAATACATTATAAAAACTATAGTCCCTATTTTATAATCAATGGCCAAAGATTCAGTTGCTAATATTAGAAGCAACGTTTGTAAAACATCTATACAATTGGCCAAGGAAAAGGGAGGTAATATTGCTGATCCTATGAAAAAAATTCTATAAACTCTTAGTGATGATTAAGATGCAGAAGTCAAATACTAAGCAAAAAGTGCATTAGAATCATTGTGACTTTCATAATGGTTAATAAATTATAAAATATAAAATCTATTAAATATTTCTTTCTTTTTTTACTTAATTGTATGATTTATGTTATCAATCATTAATAAATATAAAAATCAAATATCTTTTATTACATATATAGATGGATCTTTAGCTAAATTAGTTCTTATGAAGTCTTTAAGATTTTCTATACTTTAATTACACTACTTTAATAAATCCATAAATTCTTAATCATTTTAATATTCATCAGTCACTTTATCTAAAAATTCTTTAAATTAAAATTATGAAACATCAACCTATTCTGTTTTCATAATATAAGTCATAATGCATTGATTAAGTGATTATTAATATTTATCTTTCCATAACTAATGTAGAAACAATAATTACAAGTACTCTATCTTTAATATTGGTTTATGGAGGATTTTTAGCAAAATCTGATTTCATTTCATCCAAATAAAATAAAATATCTCCTGTTAGCTTTTTAAAAAAAGAACAGACTGAATCTCTATCGTAATTTGGAATTTACATTATAATTATAATATAAATATTATATTATTTTTAAAATTCAATGTCCAATTCAGATGATTATAATTTATTTAAGATATCAATTGAGATACCTAATATAATAAAATGCTTGTTTAAATTATATTTTTTGTATGATCCCTTTTTCAAATATTTAAACTTAAATAATAAAGTATAATCCAACTTTTTTAAACATTATAAAGCATTTAAATAACAAATTTATTGAAATTAACTCTTTCATTATTTTCTTTGAGGTTAGTTGTATGAATTCCATAAAAATAAATAGCCCATTATCATAATAATAATAAAAAAGAATTGATCTTAGAACAATTATAAACACTAATTTTTTGTTTAACAATTAATGAAATATAAGTTAACAATGAATTCTAAAAAACTAACTAATAAATATTTAGTTATCATAATCTAGAATTATAATTTATAATTAAATTTAATATGAAAAAAGGATAACTTTTTTGATTTCATTCATAAATATTATTTTTTCTGTTATGACTATATTTATATCAGATTATTATTAATTCTGATGCTTATCTAATGAAATTTAATATGTATTATTTTAATATTTATAAGTATAGAAATAAGAAATTCTGATAATAATAAATATTTTTCAATTGTTATACAAATTCAGAAAATGGAAAATTCAGCGCTCATCATCGTTGATGTTTAAAATGATTTTTGCGAAGGAGGATCTCTTCCTGTATAAAAATCTTCTGAAATCATTCCTAAAATAAATAAAGTGAGAAAATACTTCAAACATGTTATTTTTACTAAAGATTGGCATCCTGAAAATCATGTGTCTTTCAAAATAAACCATCCAAATTTACATGAATTGAAAAAAGAAGTAGTTGAAAATCTTTGGCCAGTTCATTGTGTTCAAAATACATATGGAGCTGAATTACACAAAGATATCTAAATCGAGGAAAGTGATATTATTGTTCTTAAAGGAACAAATTCTAAATATGACAGTTATAGTGGCTTTGGATGTAAAGAAGATTAAACTAATTTAAATGAAATTGTATTATTCAATTAAATTATATTAGCTTCAATCCTTAAATGTGGATACCATTTATGTTGGTGGATTGGCATTAGATTATTGTGTTCTCTTCACAGTCATTGATGCAATAAAATTAGGGTACAAGGTAAAGATCTTAAAGGATTGTACTTAAGCAATAGAACCAGAAAATGCCAAAAGCAAAATTAACTAATATTTTGCTGAAATCCGTCGCTAAGACAACACAATTTTGGAAAATTCTTTATAAATTTTCACTTCTTATGAGGTAGAAGAATGACTAATATACTTCTATATTATTATATACAAGCTTAAATGCTTTTTTAATGATTTTTAAAGTTTAGTCTAATTTTAAGATAAAATTTTATTCTTAATAATTTTTATTTTTTTTTAATATATAAATTACTAAGAATAATTGAGTTTAAAATTTTAAAAGGTAAATAGAGAGGCACAATTGATAAAAAATAGAAAAAAAAAATATTTTTATAATAAATTTTAATCATTTTTTTGTCTTATTTTATTCTAAATTCTCAATTTACTTTATCAAATCTTATTTTTCTAAAATATTTTTTTCTAATTATTCTTTATAAGATAATAATAATATAGATGTTCTCTATATTATATTTTGAAGTTAAGTTATTGTTTACTTATCTTTTTCTCTAAAAGACATTGCATTACATGAATCAAATGATTTTTTTTATAAAGAATCCTTAATTTGATTTCTCATTCTTGGTTTAATGCTACTAGATGTAGTAGAAGGTGTTCTGACATCAGGTTTAAACAATAACTAAGATTATTGTTAAGTTGGAGTATAACCATTCAGATATTATTAAGAAAAACTGTCTTAATATTATAATTATTGCTATGACTTTTATGATACTAATTTAGAATAAGGACTAGATTTAAGTAATTATTGTAATCCTTAACTGATTGCTTATTTTTTATGACTTTATTTGATTGCAATTGGAGTAATCAAATCAGCCTATGAATAATTAATTCTTCGATGTAGTATATTTTATATCTACTTTCCAGTTTCTGGACTGATAGTTGATTTACGTTGTTATTCTAAATATGGTTATTCTCCTTTTAGAACAATATTCATTTTTATTATAAATTAATATTAATTACAAATGAATCAATAATCTAGATTGGCAGGTGATTTTATCAATTAAAGAACTAATTTATTAGCATAAAAACTGAGAGAAACAGGAGAAGATTCCAGGTAATTAAAAAATTAAGTGAATTTAGATTGGAAGAATATTTGAGATAAAAATTAATTGAATGTAGATGGAGAGATGATCTAAAAGATTATTGTAAAGAAGTCATAAGATAAAAAGGACTTGAAAAAATAACAATTGAAGAATTAACAGATATGTTATATGTTAGAGGATAAGCTACTATTCCAAATAAAGTGAAGGAAGACTTATTATCAAGACTTAGACAATTTTTTGATGAGAATCAAATATGATTTGTAAACTGGTCATTATAACATTTATTAAATAGAATTTTTCAATTCTAATCTTATATTTGTCACATAATCAGGAGTAATATTTTGAAAATTCCATTCCTATTTCTTATTTATACATTCTACTAATCTATGAATGATTGCAATCGAATACACTCCACAATCATAAGAATTAGTTTATTTTGGTACTCCATTAAATTTAATAACTGAAATGTCTTTGTTCATCAAACTCTCATCATTATTTATAATTGCTAACATTTTTTATGCAATCAATTCAGCACTATTCTAAATATCAAAATTAAACTGTAACTTATAAATCTGAATTCGATCCTGAATCGAAGAGATAAAATTTAGATTAATTAAATAACAACACTCCCCAATGTGATCCATTAGGATTCTAACAATCATTTATTGCTGTAATAATGCTTTCTCTTCCTATTAATTCTTATTAAACAGATAATAAATCTTCAAAATCATTTTCAAATATAAGAAATGTAGCAATAGAAGGATCTAATACTTAAATTCCATTTGGTATTTCTTTAATTAAGTATTGAGTTCCAAAATATATGGCTTCAGCTGTTAGCCATTATTTGGCATTTAAAGAATCAATATCTCTATGATGCAATTAAGCATTCTTAAATTTCAATGGATATTAATTTTGATTCATTTATTATTATAATTGAATATTAAAATATTTTATAAATAAAATAGGATTTCAATATCCATTTTTATTATAAATATGCTTGAAAATATTAATTGAATATTATTATGAAATAATAATAAGAAATAGATACATATTCTGATTGAAATTCTACTAAATAAATCTAAAATTTAGATTATGTTCAGAGTGATGGAGTAATTATGTAAATAATCTTAAATTAATCAATTTCATGATAAAAATAATCAAATTGATAAAATAACTAAAGAAAAATAGATGGTAGTCTTGAATTATAGAAGAGAAATATTATCATATTAATTGATATTTATTCATATTTCTAATTTACTAGAATTATAATTATTGGTTTATGTAAATTCTTAATAACTACAAAATATCTTATGATAATAAATGAATTAAATTAGAATTTATAATTTATTTTATACTTTTCATTTAATGGTTATCAGGGTTTTTAATAATTTTGTATTTTCTCTATATCATTTTAAGTAAGATTGCTTTAAAAGTAATCTGAAGACTTAAAAAATTATTATTAAATATTACATTTCTAATTTATTTAGAGCTATTTTATTAGACAACTGTAGTTTAAGTCACTATTCTTTATGAGCTTTATTATTTCTATAATGATTCATATTCTGCCTCTTTTACCATTAGTTTTTCTTAACATGCATGATAAACATCATTTAGTTCTTTGAATTTTTTTTTCCAAATTTTAGCCTCTTCTTCAAAGGTTTTAACTGACTATGTTGTTGTAATTTCTTCAGTCAATGTATCCACTTATTAATTTAATTCTTATATTTCTTATTCCAATTTTGATATTAAATCATCCTTGTCTTTAGAATTTTCAATATAATTTTAGATATTTATTCTTAATTATCCATTTTCTTTTTATAATTTTTCTATTAATTCTGAATTTAATAATAATTCATTTTTGAACTTTGCAATAGTTTATTAAAGTGTTGTTATTTGTATTTATAATTCAGTAACTTGGGTATGAGATCCATTCTAATTTGACTCTACAATTATAATAATTAATAATTTACAAAGATCCAAATTTAATTATTTTATTTACTGATTCAATTTAAAAATTGTTTCATCCTTAATTTAACATTACATAATATAATTTTAGATATCATTTCTCAATTATAAATTTTCTAATTTATATTTTTCCAAATTTTAATCACATTATTTTAATTCTAGTTATAGATTTACTATTGTTTATTAAAGAGTCGTTATTTTCATTTACAATTCAGATATTTACATATTAGATGAATTTCTACTTTATTCTATAGTAATAATATTAATTATAATTACAATTTTCAAAATCCAATTGTTCAATTGCAGATTATAATTAAGATTTAAGATCCATGATTTCTTTATCTCGATCTTCTAATTATTATTTTGTTCTATATAACTCATTTTCAAGTTCAATTACTCTTTCACTATCATCATTTTAAACTGCCCTTAATTCTATTGTTTCAGGTTCAATCGATTATTGTTTTGTTACTAATAAGTCTTCTATTCCTTGCATTCTCTTTTTCCAAATTTCTTCAAATTTAATTAAATCCACAACTTTTATAGGATTGTCAACCACAGTCTAAGTAATCATAGGTTCAATATGAGGAACATAAACTGGTGGAAGGTACTCAACAAAAGCAGGTTTTTATCCAGATAGGTTGCCATTACTTTTATGTGATGCTGGACCTAATGGAGATTAAGTATTTTAAATTCGAAATGACTATGGAATCTCATTTTTTATATATTTTTATGGGGACTATTAAAATGGTTAAACTTAATTTCTAATAGATTTCAAAGGCTCCTGTTTTTTTTATAAAATTAAATTTTACTTGCTAAGCAACGATTCTATTAGAAATTATATTAGGCCTAATTTATTATTGAGTTAAATTCTGTTTTTGAGGGATGACATTAAGTATTTAAGGATTATTTAAAGTTTATTATTGAGGAATCTATAGATGTTGTTAAAATATAAAAATACCATTTTTTGGTTGATTTACTATTAATTTTGAATTAAAGAAGGTTATTAAAGATTTCGATTTTAATTTTAAGGAATTTAAGTTGGCATTTGTCCATATGATGTATTTGGTTGTTAAATTTGATTATTGAACATTTTAATGAGCTAATAAATTTATTAATAATTTATTTTTAATACATTATTCTAAATAAATGAAAAAACTGAAGAGTTTAATTCGTTAGTTTATTCAAATATTTTCAAGTTTATTTAAAGTTTTAAATATTTAAAAAGCATGTCAAACATTTTTTTTTGAGAAATTTTATAATGAAAGACATTAAACTTTATCTTTATTTTTGATCCATATTTAAGAAAAACAGATTATATGACTAATAGTTATTTACATTATATTTATTTGTATTTTGATATTTTTGATACTTATCTTGTGAGAATTATTCAATATTTTGAGTAACATAACTAAATTTTATAGTATTGTTAGAAATTATTAAATAGAATAATCTAAAATAAAATAATTAATGGCATATGGTTACACTTATTAATTAATTTAAAATAAATGAATTAAAAGGTAATATATAATAAATAATAAGAATATATAGTCATAATATAAATAGAAAACTTATAAAGTGATTAATAATAAATATATAAACTTAATAATCAAAATAAAGATTTAGTTAATTAGACAATGCCTAAAATTAATAAGAATAAAAATATACTCAAAAAAGATATATATTAATAGAATAATATTCATTTAATTAGTATATAATTTAAGTATTTATAAATATCAATTCATATTAATTTTTGAATATTTTTAAGACATTTTATTTCTAATAGTTTGTAAATTATAATATTTATTCTTGAGTTCTGTAATATTGATATAATTATTTAAGTTTTGAATATGATAATTGAATGAGTTTGTATAAATATTATTTATCATAAAAATATTAAATATTAAATATTAATATTTAATATAAATATAATTTCAACAATTTATGGCTTAACCAACTCCAAGAATTATTAAAGAGACATAAAATTTAGCCAAAGATAAAGTGTAAGGAATTGATGTGACTCCAGATCCACATAACTTTAAACATTTCTATGTTATCATTTCAGGACCTCCTAATACACCATATGAAGGAGGTGTATTTGATGTTGAATTACTTTTACCTGATGATTATCCCATGGTAAAATTACTTAAATTAGTTTGTTAGTCTCCACCTAAATGTGTTTTCAATACTAAGATTTATCATCCAAATATTGATAATTTAGGAAGAATTTGCTTAGATGTGTTAAAAGATAAATGGTCACCAGCATTATAAATTAGATCTATTTTGCTATCAATTTAAGTATTGTTAAGCTCACCAAACCCTGTATGATTTGTCATAAATAATATTTAAGGATGATCCATTAAATAATGAAGCAGCTAATTAATGGAAAACTAATGAAGGATTAGCTTTAATGAAGGCAAGAGAATATACATAAAAATATGCTAAAAAACATTGATTAGTATAATTTATTGAAAAACAAATATATATTAAATTTCTTTTTTTTCTAATAAAATAGATTGAAATGGCAAAATATATTTTACAATGTTTATTATCAAATACTTATAATTTAAGTTGATATTCCTAAGAATTTCATTTATTATTTAATTTAATAATTATGAATTCATAAAATTTTCTATAAACTGCTCTAACTAGATTTAGAATGGCGGCAAATAATGATAGAGTAAATTCAATCTAAGTTGAAAACATTTTGCAAAGTTTAAATTATAATGAGTCATAGATACACTCAATAGTCTCTTAAATCTAATCTGAAATAGGTGAGATGATTAACTATATAGACATTAATTAGTTCCAATAATTACTTTAAAGTGTTGAATAAGAAATTCCTATTGAAAAATTGACATCTGAATAAATTTATGCACTTCATGGAGAATTTAAGTAAGCTTTACATGTATAACATATTGAAAAAGTAAAACATATATTAAGTATGCAATAAATTCTAAAATCTTAGATAAATATTAATCAGAAGTAGATTTAGTAAACAGAATAGATCCATAAACAAGATAAATATCTACATTTATAGCAATTTAAGGGTCAGATGAAGAGGTTTCATTACAGTTACTAAAGTTATTATGTGATTTGGGGGCAAATATTAATTATAGAGATAATCTCAAATAATCTATCTTATTTTATATTTGTAGAGATGGTAAAACTAAACTATTTGATTATCTGATATCATAAGGAATAAATATATCTGATCCTGATTCTTATGGTTAAACTCCATTATTTTATGCATCAAGAGAAAATAGGGTTGATATAATTTAAAAGTAAATATAAGAATTAAACAATTTAGATTTATAAGATTGGGTGTAGATGTGGCTCATTTAGATACATTATCTTGTTAAACAGCATTATTTTATGCTGCAAGTAAAGGACATTTTGAAGCATGTAAATTATTGATAGAAGTAAGATTATTATAATATGTTTAGGCTGGTTGTCCAGTTAATCATTTAGATAATAAAAAAAAAACTGCTCTTTATTTTGCAAAATAATCTTAAAAAAAGGAAGTTATTGATTTAATTACAGCAAGTATGGCAAAACAAAAGGAAGATGTTCATTAAAAAAAAGAAGAAGTTGTCAAAGTAAATGAATAATAAAAGCAAAACAGAAAAAAATAAAAAGATGTACCAAAATAATAATACAAAATTTTACATACTGATGATAAAGGATAATAAAGAGAATTAACTAATGAAGATTTTTCAAGATTTTAAAGATAATATCCAGAAATTGCTTAATTGATTTTAAATGCTGATGATATTATTGATGATAATATGATTAATTAATGCAAAGAAGATGAAACTTGGGAAAAAATAGCTAAAAAGTTAATTGGTATGTACTAATAAAAATTTAGCTTAAATATGGAAGTCAAAAGGTGCATACTTCTTCCATAAACCAGTTGATTAAAAAGAATATCATATTAATGATTATTTTGAAATTGTTAAAAGACCTATGGATTTTGGAACAATCAAAGTAATAATCAACTTATATTATAAATCAGAATAAATTGAATGTAAGTGCTTACAAATCATGCAGAGAATTTCATACAGACATGTTATTAGTCTTTGATAATTGTGCACTCTATAATGGTACATAAAGTGCTATTGGATAAATTGGAGTCAATATAAGAAATGAATACTTGAGCCTTAAAGATTAATTTGGATTAAGCAAATATTTGTGATTTAATTTTGCATTTCCATAATTATAAAAATATAAATACTCAAAAAATATATTAATTAAGTAAGATAAAATTGATTTATTATATTATTATATAATACTCATCAACTAATATATTTATCAGCTTGTTGCTCTAAAACCTTTGAACTTTATTTAGCATGTAGGAATAAATCATGAACTTCTTGAATGTCTTATTTTCCAATTTCATCTCTTCCAGAAGTTTAAGCAAGTATATTTGCTGGAGTGAGCAAAAGAATAGCAAATCTTAAATTTATTATTAACTATATAGATACCTTAAAGAAGCTTCATTTCCTATTTAACTTAGATCTTATAAAGCTTCTTCAGATATTTTTAAGCCTTCTGTCTAGGCTCTAATAGCTAATATTTTAATAATATCTTCTAAATTATATGGAGTTGTTCTGATAATTAATAATCTTAAATAATAATAATATATTAATAATAATACCTATCTAATAAATCAACTGGTAATCCATGAGGACTGACAATATCTGTTCCTCTAATTTAAGATTAACCTCTATTGGTAGCCAAAATAACAATTGGAGCTAGAGTAGACTCTAAAGCTCTATTTAAGAATGTAAAAGCCTCTATATCAAGCATGTGACATTCATCTATAAATAAAACACCAGGAACTAATTCAGCAACTCCTTAATCAATATATTTGCTCACAACTTTATTAATTTCTCCTCTTAATTTATCTGTGATATCAGTTTTCTTTTTTTTATTTAATTGATTCATTAAAGAAACAAAATCATGTCCTCCTTATGGTTTAGCATTAGCTACATCCAAATCATGTAATGTAACATCTTAAACAATTTCTTTCTTTTTATGTACATCACCTTTTGGTAATGGTACATACTCTTCTGCTTCTAAATCATATTCACTATTGTAAATATCACATCTGCCTACTCTTTTGACATTACCACTATTAGCTTCAATATAGATGACATCTCCAATAGTTACTTTTTCTCTTGTTAAGTTTTCATGAATTGAAGGATCTAATTTCAATGTTTTTGATCCCTTAGATGTTTTTAATGTAATTACTACAGCTGATACTACTTTACCATATCTAAATTATCATTAGAATATATTAATACCCTGTTTAATCATCTTTTTCTTCTGTTTTCAAATCTGTAACTTCACCCTCCCAAACTTCTTTTGTTTCTTTAATTCTTAAACCAATTGCTCGTCTAAAATTCTCCATTAGTATTTCTGTCTTTTTCACTTCAGCTGAATACACTTCTGAACCCACCATTGGATAGAATGGAACTTTCGATCCTAATTCTTATGCTACCGCCAATGCAATTGCAGTTTTTCCTGTTCCTGGAGGTCCAGCCATAAGTAATGCTCTTCCTGCAAGCTTTTTAGATTTGACTAAATCGACAAATATTCCTGCAGCCTATAAATATTAATACTTTGTTATTACTTCTCTGGCAATTTATTACCCAACCATTCCAGATGCATTTTCTAAAGCTGTGCCATCCTCTGATAATCCCAATCCTTTTATATGACTATGATGTGCAATTCTTTAAGTTTTTGTTGTCGATTTCACTTCTTCTATCTACAATAGGTCTTAATTTGTACTTTCATCATGTTTTTAAAAATTAATTTATTTTTTTAATTAATCTTGAATAAATTTAAGACAATTCAAAGGTGTTTAAATTTTTGGCCTGGTATTTTATGATAAAATAAGAACAAGGATAAATAAATTACAATAATTAATGATATTAAAATATAATCCTGAAAATTGAGTATACTAATTTGGATTGGGTATGAATGTGATAGATCTATATGATATCTAAAAGATTTAACTAGAAATTAAATAGAAATTAGACTGGATTGAATTAATAACATTGTTTTTAATTAATTACTTGATGACAGACATATAAAATATAGTTCATTCTAAATATGGGTATAACTAATTTGAAATGTTTTTAATGGTTTTAATTACAGGGATAACTAATTTTGTAATGATTCCAGTAATCATCATTATCAGGAAATAAAGAATGGATTGCCAATATTATATCTCCATATTTACTTTCATAACAAGTTTCATGTATCACACATTAGAAAGTGTTGATTGTGAGTATTTCATAATTGAAGAAGGAGGATGGCATCGTTTAGATAATATTGGATCAATTGTATGTTTTTAGATGTTATTTACATAATTGAGTGATTTTTAAAATTTACATCTTGAAACAATGTTAAATTATTTTGGACTATTTATAACATTCATAGCATAAGCAAAATCTCCCTGGGATTTAAATTATACAGTGGGTCCTATTTTAATATAATTTTTGATTTGCATCTTTTTGATAATAAAAAGAAGAAGATTACCAAAATTGAACAAAAAGAAAGTATTTATAAATAAAATATATTAAGATGAAAAAAGGATTGATAATATTATTGGCAGCCGTAGTTTTTTTTTGTATATCATAAGATGAATATAAGGATTATTTAAGATTTTATCATGGAATGTGGCATACAACAGTTGGATTATTTTCATTCTATGTGTGGCAATCAAAATGTGAAATTGAATTCACTTTAAGAAATTTTTATACAATACCTACTTTGAAAGAATCATATTATAAAGAAGAATGAAAATTGTGTATAAATTTAATTGTAAATTTGAATTAATTAATTATATCAATTCATTAAAGGAAAGTCTCATTTAATCTTTGAGCTTCAAGATTAATATCATTATCAGAATCAAATTCTAATTAATTAAGTATTTTATCAAAGCCTTTAGAGATAAACAATTCAATTGCCATATTGATATCACTTTGTGTATGTTTACCAATTTGATAAGCAAAATTATGTACAATGTTTAAACAAGTTAAAACTATTGCTTTTGATATTTTTAATTTAAGTTGATTCATAACAATATCAGCAACATTTCTACTCATCAACACATACTTTAATAAATCAATATTTTTTAATTATGAAAGACTTCTCATAACTTCAAGAATATCTTTAATAATTTCAGTTTCATTTTCATCTTTTTACATAATTTTAATAAGATCATGTTATATAATTGTTTATAAGACTTCAAATTTTTCATTACAACATAAATTATTTAATCCCCATAATATTATTTTTTTGAATTCTTTTTATTTGTTTCTACCTGGTTAAATATATATTTATAAAAAGAAATCTAAGATTTTGAATTCATTTACTAATTAAGTAGTAATTTAATCATCTGCCAAAGCAAAAGATGCTATAATTTCAAGTGTTTTCAATTAAACTTCTTCATCTTCACTTGTTCTCTACATTTCCATTAAATCATTAAAGATTTTTAATTTATTCAATATTATCACAAATACTTCTTCTTTAGCTAAACACATATTCTTAAGAGTTATTAATGAATATAATTTTATTTCCTTTTCATTTTATTTGATGCATTCTAATACAATTGGCAAAACCTCTTTGACCTTTATAAATTAAATATAACATACTTCACTTAAAGTAAAACCAGCAACATTACTTGAATCATATTAAAAGAAATTACTTAAGAACCAACAAAAGTCTTTAATATTTTCAATCTCAAAATATATTATAATATAAATACTTCGAAGTAAATTAGATTATTAATCCACATTTTTTTTATAAGAGTACAAAATCCATAATCAGCTAATTATCTAGCTTTAACACCATTATCCATACCAACTAGATTTGCTAATAAAAAGAATATTTAAGATTGAATTTATTTATAAGTAGTCATTTATAATAAATTGAACAATTTTCCCATAAGTTATTCATTTTATAAAAGTTTCAAATCATCAAATATATTATAGGAATGTAAATTTGCAAATATATATAGTAATTATTAAATTATATGATAATCTAATTCTTACTTATTCCAAATGTTAAGTAATAAAGAATATACTTCATGTTTATTAATTAATGTTAAATTATACTAATAATAAATTATATCCTATTACTTCAACAGTTGAATTTGATAAATATTATCGTATTTCATCTAAAGTTTCCTCATAGTTTTAGTTTACTAAATTCATATACCAAATATGAATTTTTTCATCTGTTAATTAAGTTTGCTCATTATTAGTAAACATTCTTCGTTTTTGTTTAAAAAGCTCTTCAGTTGCCTTTTTTCTTAATTCAACTCTAAAGTTGTCCCTTTTCTATTTTAATAAATCCCCTAAGATTTCCGCCATTTAGTTTTCAATTAATAATAATAATTAAACATTAAAACTGAATTCTTAATCAAAAAAATTTTCTTTTCATAATATTCACTAAACTATTTGATTATACCAAGTCTTCTCTAATACATTAAGTATTCCTAATTGAATTATCTAAATTCATTGATTAAGAATTTAGATTTATTGATATTTAATTTGCTTATTACTCAGTTAAATAAGCTTTTCTCTTAGCTGCTCGATCTTCTTATTTTAATAAGGTTTGATTAATTTATCTATCATTAAATAATTTAATTCTTTTTGAATCTGTATATCGAAATAAATTACATATTATTCTTGTTAATGAAGTAAATCAGAAATTTTTGAGAAACTTTTATCAATATTATCTTTTTTATCTTTACTCATTTTTAGGAGATCATACATGAGAGATTCTATAGTCTTATTCATAACTTCTGAACATTTCTGATAATGAAATTTTCGCATTCATATATATTAAGAAAATTATTTATTGTATAATCCTAAAAAAAATAATAAAATACTTATTAAGAATTCATTAATATGAATACTAACAATATATTCTATTTGATATTAATGAACTAAGATATTAAATAATAAACTCCAATAATTTATACAGAAATTAATCATAATATTATTTGAAAACCACTCAAATATTAAAAAGGGTATTTAATTAAAGATTCAATACTATATTAAATTTCTATTCAAGAAATTTAATGCTCCAAGATCCTTAAAAAAATTAGATACTTGAGGATTCAGAATAGATAAAATAAATTAATTAGTAAATATCAATTTAATTCAAAGTTGAAAATTTATTCTCATTTATTTCTAGATCATTTGAAAAATAACAAAGAAACGATATATATTGATTCATTGGTTATAATTTATTAAAATAAAATAAACATTTAAGAAAAACCAAATATTTATTATCATAAATATTAATGTCCTATAGAATTTTTTAAGAAAATTAAAGAATCTTTCAATCTAAGATAACCTTTTAGAACTTTAACAAATCTTGAATACTTAAGAACAATTATTTCAAAATAATACGTTACAGTACTTTCGAGATTACTTATACTATTTATAGATGATTTTTTTGAAATAGTTATCAAGACCATTTTTCTACTCTAATAAAGTAAGACTCTTTGATGTAACAGCCATCTATTTATATTAAGAACTTATGTTAATTTGAATATCGATTTTAAAATCTTGGAATTAATACTGTATTTTATTCTTAAGCGCCAAATTTAATTTTAAGACTTTGCTAAAAATTTTAGTATAAATTATTTTATTACTTTCATAGATATTAATTATTTTAATTGTACTTTAGTTTTATATTAATGAATATGTAAGATTATCCTTGATCATATGATACTTTTTCTATTTAAATATATTTATAGACAAGAACTCCTAATATATTTATTAAAAATAAAGATATAAGTATATATAATGTAAGGGGTTTTCTATCTGATATGCAATTAATTGAATAAAATTGTCCTGGTATTTTTGTCAAATATTAAAATTTTTTAAAATAGTGAATACTCTAAATAAATAAGAATATTAAATCACTTAAAAAATTAAAAATTTTTAAGGAATATGATTAATTTCATGAGAAACTAGTTAGTTTTTAAGAGTGATTGTTGATATATTTAAGATTACTTCTTCTGTGATTATTTTAATTTCTAATTTAATAGTATTTTCATTTGAATATGATGGAATCTAGGATAATATTAATCAATTTTAATTTATTAATTTATAATTAATATTAGTTAGATGCTATCGAAAAGGAAAGTCTCGTAATAAAATCAAGAAGAATCTTCAAATTCAATTGAAAATTTATGCAATAAAATACGTAAAGTGATTGTTAGCGAGGTAGGAGAAAAATACATTCAAAATACTTCAGATAAGGGGCTAAAGAAAAAAAGAACTAAATAAAAAAGCAAAATGCAAGATAATCAATAACATGTTGAGTAAATGGAAAATGAAGCAGTTGAAGTTGAAGAATAATTATCTTCTATAAAAGCTATTTCTGAATCTTAATCTTGGGTATTTGAAGAACTATTTGATGAAATAAATAAGCTTAATGTACTTTAAGATATTGAATGAAGTTTTTTCATTAATTATGATTAAATTTTTAATTTTAATACTTGGGCTAGTTTTTGCTGGGACTCCCTACAACTAAAAAAAAGTGTTAGTGTTATCTGATAATCCAGCAGTTTATGTTTCACATTCACAATTTTTTAATTTGTTAAGTAAGACATACAGAGTTGATTATAAAAACATTTAATCAAATACTTTCAATTTGTAATTGTTTGGAGAATGGCAATATGATCATTTAGTGTTATTTAGTACTACAAATGATTTGAAAGTAAGTACCTAAGAATTATTGGACTTTTATGACTCTGGTAGAAATATTTTATTATTGGGATCAACAGACCAATCTAAGTACTTTAGAAAGTTCCTAAATAGTTTTGGCTTAGACATGCATGAATATGTAATATTAAAATACTATTTTAGGGCACTTCTGTAATTGATTATTTCAATAATATCAAAGGGAATCATAATATTGTTACCACTACTAATGTGAATATACTTAAAGTAGATAAACCAGTAGTTCATTAAGGAGCAGGATTAGCAATGACACCATATGAAACATTTTAGGTTTATGGTTTAGTGAGAGGGTCAGAAACAGCATTTTCAGGTTCTAATCTAAGTCACAATATTATATATGTTGGAGCAACTTAAGGAAGAAATAATGCAAGATTTGTGGCTACAGGATCTTGGGAAATATTGAGTGATGAATATTTAAATAATTCTAATTTGGGAAACTTTGAATTAACTTAGGAAATTATTAGATGGGGTTTTGGATAATCAAAGATTTTAAAGGCAGAAAATTTAATTCATAGAAGATTGGATTCAGATGATATCAAACCTTATAATTATAGATTGAGAGAAGATTGTTATTTCTCAATTGATATTTTTGAATGGGATTATTAAAAGGATTAATGGATACCTTATGTTTCTACAGATAATGATGTCATTCTAGAATTTGTTATGTTAGACCCATATTATAGAGTTCCACTTAAAAAAGGACAAGGAGCAAAATATGAATTATCATTTAAAGTAATATATAAATCTATTTTATGCTAGATCCCAGATGTTTATGGTGTATTTTAATTTAAAATAAATTATTTAAAACCTGGATATACATTTTTAAAAATAGCAGAAAAAATAACTGTAAGACCGTTTAGACATGATGAATATGGAAGATATTTAGTCTAAGCCTATCCATATTATTTTTCAAGTTTTGGAACAATGGCTGGATTTGTTGTATTTCTAATTGCATTTTTATTAAATAAATGATATTAATTAAATTTCAAATAAAAATTACATGTCAAGTGAAGAGGAAGTAATTAAGATTTAAATATTTACACTAGAGAATGAAGCAATTGCAATCTCTTCCTATAAGAAATTATTTGGATTAAACAGTCGTTCCAGTCCTACTTTAAGCAATGACTGAGGTCGCTAAAGTGAGGTGAGTTTGTATAATTTAATAAAGACCTCCTAACCCTATTGAATTCATTGCTAACTATTTGATGTAGAATAATCCAGAAAAAGCGTAGGCCAGATAATAATGAGGGTTTGCGAACTGAAACTGATTATTATATAAACAAAATAAATATACTGAAAGATTTTTATCACTAAAATAAATATAAAACTTCACTTAATGATATCATCATATCCTACTTTGCAATATTATACTCTTGTAAATCCATTAGCAACCAATAATGTATGAGCTATTTTTGCTCTTTATCCAGTTCCACAATATATGCTAATATCTCTTAATTTATCTAATTTCTCTAAATTTTAAGGTAATTCACTAAGTGTAATTAATTGTGCATGTTTCAAAATACCTCTACCCCATTCTTCTTTTGTTCTAACATCAACAATCTATGCAAGTTTGCTTCTCTTCAAAAAATCTTAAACTTCTAACTCTGTTGGTTTGCTTATAGAATTTCCTGAAGATTTCCAATCATCAAAATGTAAATATCCAACAATATTATCATAACCTATTCTAGATAATCTCATAATTGTTTATTCTTCATTTCCAGGTTCACAAACAATTACAATTTCTCTTTCATGAGGTAGTAGTGTACCAACCCAATGAGCAAATGGAATTTAAAGAGGTACATTGATAGATCCAGGTATGAATCCATCAGATATAGAATTTCTAGAATCAATTATTTATATTCCTTATTTTTAAACAATTTAAGCTGGAGTTAATTTTGTATTAGCTTTCTTTAATATCAAATTTAGATCTTAAAATTGATTATTTTTATTTAAGCCTGCATTATAAAAAAAATATTAAGGTGGCTTAGGCAAATCACTAGCTACTAATTATACAAAAGTCTCTTAATCCATTTCTTATAAAGCATAATTATTTTTCTTTTGATTTCCAACAGTGCAACTATAACCTGCTGAAATATTCTTACCACAAGCTGAACCTGCACCATGACCTGGAAATACAATAACATCATCAGGAAGTCCAAATATTTTCTATTTAAGTGAAGCATAGAGCATTGCGGCTAAATCATATTGTGTGATATCGCTCTTGACTGCCAAATCAGGTCTACCTACTTCACCTAAAAATAATGTATCTCCTGTATAAATGCTAAAATATATCAATAATTTCAATACCTATGCTATTTACCTTCTTCATCATATAATAAGAAGCATGTTGATTCTTAGGTGTGTCCAGGAGTATGTAGAGCTTGAATCTTAACTTTTCCTAGTTTTAGAAATTCATTGTCATTCAAAACTTTGTTTATAAATGGAGCAGTAGCTTTTGGACCCATTATAATTTATGCATCTGTTTCTCTTTATAAACTTAGATGTCCAGCTATGAAATCTGCATGAAAATGTGTTAATAAGACATATTTTATTTTTGCTCCTCTTTCTTTTGCTATGTTTCTAAAAATATATATTCAATAATTACAGATATGGTTAGATGTCTCTTAAAGGATCAATAATTATAGCCTCCTTATTTGATTCAATATAATAAGCATATTCAGCCAAACATCCTGTAAAAATTTGCTATTAATAAAATCCTTTGCCCAATGTTTCACTTTGTTTTAGCTAAACTTCTTTTGAGAAATGAAAGAGTGTTCTATTGAATTTTTGCAGTATTTTAATCATATTTAAAAAAATATCCAAATATTGATTAATGTCCTTTAAAAATCATAATAAATTAAGATACATAATGGTCACACTAAGATGTTTAGAAAATTAATATTATAATAATTATTCATACTCCACCATAATTAATTAAATAATAATTAATTTATGTTTAATAGTGTAAGGAGGTACTTATTTAGTACAGGTTCTTTGTTTACTTGGGGTTAATCTAATGGAAGTTTAGGTTATGCAGTAGGAAGTCAACAATAAGTGAAAGGAGTTTCAATGCCTTAATTAGTCAATGGATTTAATAATAATGTAGCATAAGTCTAAATGGGTTAAAATCATTCAGCTTTAATCACAAGTGATGGAGAACTCTATACATGGGGAGCTGGTAATAGTGGATAATTGGGACATAATAATGGTATTGATCTGATTGTAAATTAGATAAGGATTATAATACACCTCAATTAGTTGAATTCTTTGCAAAACATAATCTTAAAGTGAATTAAGTTGCACTTGGAGATTATCATACAGTTGCTTTAACTCATGATGGAGATGTTTGGACTTGGGGATATGGAGGTAAAGAATAAAACTTTTTAATGGATTTATTATTTTTATAAGTTGGAGCATTAGGTCATGGTGATTCAAAAAATAGATACACACCTACTCCAGTCAAAGCATTAAGATCACTTAAGAAAATTAAATATATATAATCAGGAATGAGATTCACAAATGCAATAAATGAAAACAATGAATTATATGTATGGGGTAAAGGTGATTATGGTGTATTTGGAGATGGAAATAATAAATCTTTTAACATTCCATAAAGAAACGAGTTCTTTGAGGGTTACTTAAAGAATGAATTAAATCTTTCTATTGTTAAATTAAAATCATGCAATAATTATTCTGTGGCTTTGATGAGTGATGGAAATCTTTATGGATGGGGAAGCAATGATTTTGGTTAAATGGGTATCAAGAATGAGATTGGTGTTGAAATTTATGAGACAGCCAATTTTCCAACTTAGGTTGTGAGAGACAAGTTTGGAAATAATAAGATTATAGATTTTGTTGTTGCAGAAGATCTTATTGCAGTACTCTTAGATAATAATGAAGTTTATTGGTCTGGTAGTAAAGCTGAATATTCTCCAGTTAGGTAAATTCATATTTAATTTATTCAGATTTCCACTCCCTAGTGGCATTGCTAAAATTACTAATATAGGATGTTGTTATAGATGTATAGTTGTTGCAACTGAAGATGGAAAGCTATATTATAGAAAGAAATTCTTTGGAGAGGGAACTGAAGATCTATCAACTGGAATTATTACAAATGATGTTGCAACTGTATTTTAAAATCAAAATGCTAAAGTCCTAGAATTTGGAGGAGCATATCGTAATCGTTATGCTATTGTCTAAATTTGATCCATTATTTTATTAATAAAACCATATATATTTGTTAAAATGTATACAGTTCTTTGTGAATTTATACTTTTATAGTTTGTAATAACTTTATATAGAATTTCAAAATATCATATATTTCTCTTTTATTATTTATGCCCCACAATGTGTACAGAATATGCGTTTATCTCTAAATTTATTAGTTGTCATAGCAATTAGACCTGGTATGATAAAGCAGAGGAATAATAAGAAGTAACAAATGTTGGTCATTTCACTTTTTGTATATAATTCTTCACCTTCAGTGTCTTTATTACAAAACTTGCAATAATAAAAGAGATTCCTTCTTAACATCTAAATTAATTTAATTTATATTTAATCATCTTGATTATTATTTATTTGAGTAATAAATATACTATCTTTAACAAAAAAAAAGAGAATAATTTAATATTAAAGTATTTAATAAATACGGGAATAATAATAATTAAAATTAACGAATTACTGTTAGTTATGGATTTTGCATAAAGCGAAGAAAGATATTAAAAATTAGAAAAAATAGGAGAAGGAACCTATGGACTAGTTTATAAAGCAAGGGATAATCAAACTGGCGATATTGTAGCATTAAAAAAAATTAGAATGGATCATGAAGATGAAGGTGTACCATCTACAGCAATTAGAGAAATTTCATTATTGAAAGAAGTAATAATAGATTAAATATAAAAAGGTTCAACATCCAAATATTGTTCCATTAAAAGATGTTGTATATGATGAATCAAGATTATATTTAATCTTTGATTTTGTGGATTTAGATCTTAAAAAATATATGGAAAGTGTGCCTTAATTAGATAGAATGTAAGTGAAGAAATTCATCTATCAAATGTTACAAGCATTAAATTATTGTCATCAAAATAGAGTTATTCACAGAGACTTAAAACCATAAAATATTTTAGTAGATATCAAATAATAAAATACTTAAATTGCAGATTTTGGATTAGCTAGAGCATTTGGTTTACCTCTAAAAACCTATACTCATGAAGTCATAACCTTATGGTACAGAGCACCTGAAATTTTGTTGGGATAAAGATAATATTCCACTCCTGTTGATATCTGGTCATTAGGATGCATCTTTGCAGAAATGGCTTAAAAAAGACCATTATTTTGTGGAGATTCAGAAATAGATTAGTTATTTAAGATCTTTAAGATTATGGGTACTCCTAAAGAATCAACTTGGCCTGGTGTCAGTACTTTACCAGATTTTAAGAGTACTTTCCCAAGATGGCCAATCCCTACTAATCCAGCAGCTACTTTAGGAAAAGATATAAATAATTTATGTCCATTAGGTTTAGATCTACTGTCTAAGATGATTGTTTATGATCCTTATGCTAGAATCACTGCAGAGGAAGCTTTAAAACATGCCTATTTTGATGATTTAAATAACTGATATTATATTTATTATACTAAACTAAATTACCTTTAAATAATAATTTTTCATATATATATAAATAGATTTAGTTTTTAGTCAAATAACTTAATAAATATGGTAATCATCTTTAAATTTAGATTAATACCTTTTCGTTTTCTAATTGAAATTTTCTATAGCAGAATTTAAAATTTGTGAAAATAAATTTATTACACTTTTATAATAAATGTTACCTAAAGAGACAATCATTGAAGTAAGTTATATTGTTTAAATTGTTAGTAAGCAAAAATTATTATACTTCAGAAAAAGCCTAATTTAAATATTGAAAAGTTCATGAAATTGGATTTTAGTTTACTTTGTTGGTAAACAGTAGTGGTGAAGCTTACTATTCACTAATTTGAAGATGGCTTGAGTATTACTATTTTTAACTAAAGGATAATATATTGGATCATACTTTACTCTGGTAGAAGGAAAAGCTAAACTGTAAAGAATATAGATTGAAAATTAATAAGTAATACAAGAATTAGAACTTTTGACAGATTAACCATTCTATTATGGTTTAGATTATTTAGCAAATGATAAGGAATTTTTTTAGATCTTGGCTTTGTCTCATTGTACTCTTACAATAATTAAAGATGTTCGTATACAATAGATAATAAGTATAGTAAATTTTATTTAATAAAGAAAATTATTATAGCTTATGCGAATATTAAGTGTTAGAATCCTTAAGCAAAGTTTACTTTTTATAATAAGAACCATCAGTTCTTATATCAATGTTAATCCATGAATCATCTCGAATAAAATTATAAAAAGGATAACCAGTTTATAAAATTGGTGACTCTGTAAAAGGATTCTATTTAGTACTAGAAGGAGAAATATGTATTAAGAAATTAGTAGAATTATAAACATAATCTTAAGATGAAATATCAAATACAAAAAAGTCTCGAAAGAAATTAGTCATACAAAATATACTATCAAAAGATTAATAATTTGGTGAAATGGAATTATTTATGAAAGTCACTCATAGAAATGAATTAGCAGAATGTTATTCTTTAGAATGTGATCTTTTATTTGTACCAACTCATTCATTAGTAGAGGCATATTAAACAAAATTATAAGATCCTCATTTCTCATTAGAAAAATTATTTGAGTAATTTTAAGAATACATAAACTTAAAGAATTCAAAATAAAATGAAGCCATAACTAAATACATTCAAGTTAATAAACCCAGAGTTCCTCCTAAACCTGAAATGAAACCAACTTATCCTTTATTTATGAATTTATAGCCTATTCAAAGTTTCAAGAATCCAGCTGAAAAAGTTTAACCACCTCTTTAAATAATAAGAACTAGTTCTATGTACACCTAATCTTAATCTCAAACAAAGAAGGTAAATAAATAACCTGAAAGTGTTTTTGTTAACTATTCTTTAGCTAAATTAAATAGACAAGATGGATTGATGACTGTATCTTAATACATTGAAAATATAAAATTATAATCAACTGGAAAATCTGGAATAAGTGCTTATTAATAAAAGAAAAAATTAAAATAAAATGCATTATCAGTAGTCACAGAAGATTAATAAAAATTAATAGACTATGTGAGATAGTTGACTCCTTTGTATATTTCGAAAAAAAGAAATAGTGTTGGATTAAGAAAAAGTTTACCTACTTCAATTTATTAATCTGCTGGGAAATAAAGTTATATGATGTTAAAACCAGATTTTAGTAAAATGTGAATTCAATATATATATAATAATATTCATAATGGTCACAAAGTTTCTATGGGTAATCCATGTTACCTTTCTAGATAATCCATTATGGGAGTTGTAAGTAAAGCTTAAAATAAAAATTAGCAAAATCTCATTTGCCAACCAGCATAAAAGCCAGATATACCTTTCTCTTTATAAACTTTTTTAAATGCATTCCAAATAGTGAGATTTTTAAATTAATGATTATTTTCCATCTAAAACTAAGTTTTTATTGCATCAAAAGGTTGTACAATTAAAATATTAGGAATTGCTGTTAGAACAGAACAAAATATAATTTATTCAATCCTAAGTTAAGATTAAGGATTTTATTTAAAATAATATCTGACTTTATGATCCCAATATAAATAATTTGTCCAAGAAACTACTTATTTTAACATCATAATTTCCATTCCTGTGAATAGATCTCTTGTAAATCCTTTAAAACCTCCATCATGCTACCACATATACTTGAGAACTAATTTATCAAATATACTTTTACCAGATTTTGACTCAGTTTGAGTCATCAATTAACATTTCACTCTTTCAAATGGACAAGTTATAAATGATTCAAACAATGCAATTGTTACTCCTGTTAAAGCCTTATGCAAAGTTGGAGCTATGTCCATAATTGATTGAGGTAGTTATTCCTTATAAAATTTTGGTATAAAGATCATCATTGGCCATCTAGATATTGTTTATAATTTGAACCTATAATACTATTTAAATATTTAAATAGTAATTTATGAAGAGAACCCAGCAAATATGCCACGAAAGATTCCATTCCTTCTGTAACTCTCGAGAAACAACTGTTTTTTAGATTGAATTCATACCTATCTGAAACTATTATTCTATGATGCTTAGATTAGAGTCTTAAAGCGATCAAAAATATGATCCATTGGTAAACCTATCACAGCACGTGACATTCCCACTAGTTAAGTTTCGAACACGGGTTTTAAAATTTCTTTGCCTTTGTAAATCCATTATGTTGTTTCAGACATATTATTTACATCATTTAATCCTATTAAAATTACAGCATAAGTTCATCGAAGTGCGCACTAAATCTGTTAATCATGAAAGAACTTATAAATTAAATGTAAATTATGATGCAATATTTTAATTACAAATTATATTATTATAATTATAAATTATGGGCAAAAATATTGAATAACAAGAAGTGGAGAAGAATTAGACAAAAGAGTAGGTTTTGGCAATCAAAAAGAATAGAATTACTAAAATTGGCAAATCCATTAGAAAACTTGTTGTTTTAGACTAAAAACAAATCAAAAAAGCTATAAATGCTTTATTAAAATACAGAGAATCTACTCACACTGACAATATACTTGACATAAAAGATGATTTTATTTATTTGGAAATTGTATTAAACAAATTGCCCATTAAATATTCATTGAGACCTGTATAAATGTATAATAATATAATTAATTTCAATTAGTAAATTACCAAATGCTATTTACAATTAAGAGATGAATTCTAAATTTTGTATAATCAGCACAAATCCTTAAAGACAATTCAAAGATTAAATTTGTGAATTCGATATACCATTAATCCAAAAAGTGATTGGTTATGGTAAATTGAATAAAAAATACCCAACTTATACAGATAAGAGAAAACTATTTTATGAATATGATTAATTCTTTTGTGATCAAAGGATATATGGAAATTTAGCAAAAGGATTAGGAAAAATCTTTTATGAACGAAAAAAGTAATCAAATTTTAATATTTAGAATACCTTTCCCAATAAATTGTGAAAATATTACTCAAGAAGCATTGAATGATTTATCAAACTCTACTTATTTTATTTAAGGAAATGGCCCTGTATAGTAATTTTATATAATATCTTAGTACTGTTAAAATTGGTAGAGTTGCATAAACAGCAGATTAAATTACATAAAATGTTTTGGCAGCAGCATATGATGTCTTACCAAATGTTTTATAAGAAAAAGGTATGAGCTTAAGTTGCTTAAGATAATTAAATGTTAAATTGTCAAGTTCAATATCCTTACCATTTTATTCAAGACTTAGTGTAAGAGAGATAGAAGCATGGAAAAATCAATGATAATTTTATTTATTTATGTTTAATAAACATTAAGTATATTTAGGAAATAAAGACGAAGTAAATAAGGAAATACAAAAACTATAACAATCATCAAAAGCATAATAATTAGTTTCATCTAATTTATTAGAGGATCCATCATTATATGATTATGATGGATTTGTATCAAAAAAGAATAAAAGTGAAAAAGCTATAGTTATACAAAAACAATCTGAAGATAAAAAACAAAAACAACCGCAATTCTTAAATTCTATTCTTGAACAATCAAAAAGGAGAGAATTTGAAAGAGAAGCAACAAAATCAAGAATGAATGCAAAGGAGGTCGTTAAATCAGGAAAAGAAGTCTACATTTCTGAATCGTAATTAATAATGTTATATTTAGATTTAAAAAGTAACATGAACAAATTAAGAGATTTGAGTAAATTGAATAAATTTAAGAAAAAATAAATGATGAAAGTAGGAAAAGAAATAATCTCGGAATATACAAGTCTCTATATGATAATGAAACTAAGAAGGCAGAAAATTCAAATAATTAAGAGGCTCAAGTTGATTCTTATAAGATAATAGAGAAAATAATAATAGAGAAAGAAAAATTGGAAAACAATTCATAAATTACTACAAATAATTAAAAGAATTAAAAATAAGAATTAGAAGAGTTATAGGAAAATAAGGAAGCCATAAATAATTAATTGAAAAAAACTGAAAATTCTAAATCCAGATCAAGATCAAGATCCAGATCTAGATCAAAATCAATTAAAGAATAAAAGCAATAAGAAAATTAAGCTTTGACAAAAGAAGATAAACTAAAATAATATAAGGAACGTTACTTATAAAGAAAATAATTATGAGATTTCATATATAAAAATTAATTTATTAAATATAGTGATGTCTTAATAGCAAGATCAGCCTAGTGCTAAGAAACGTATAAGAAGATGTACGAAACATGATGAAAATCCACGACCATATAAATGTGGTTGTGGACGCGGCTATTATAGTTATCCCGCATTATATACTCACTTGAAGTATTTAATTTTTCGATGTCAGAATTAAACATGAAGGCCAACCTCCTACTGGCACATAGATTCCAAGTGATAAGCATTATGGTAGTAGAGGAAGACCAAGAGAAAAGAATGTAAAATGTGATGAAGAAAGCAAACATCAAGTGTTTATTGATGAAGAAAAAAGGGAAGATAATAAGAAAGATGAAAAAGTTACCCCCAATTAATGAAATCTGAAGAGAGCATTGGACTTTTTTATTTTATTAATAATTTATATCTAATACTTAAAATAACCTCTTTCTACCACTGAATTTGTATCAAACTAAAAGCACTTTCAGAACACAGAACATTAAAAAGTAACTCTTTTTTTAGAATTTAGATTAATATTGAAATTTTGAGCTAAAATCAGAGATCGAAAATCCATAGACCTTTATTTATGAATCTTTTTGATGATAGAAAAATACTATTTTCATAAAGATACTTTAATTGGATTAGACAGGATTATAAAAGAATATTGAATATTATTTCTACGGTATTGACTATAAATTACAGACTTTATTAGAATTTATCAAAGGTAATTGTTGAAGAATTGGAGAAAAAGTAAATTCTGATACTAAAAGCCATATGAGATGATTTTATAGAAGACAAGCTTTAAGAACATAGAAAGCAAGAAGTCATTGTCTTGCTTAAGATTGGATATATTAATTTAAGGAAATTTTTGGGAAATCTTTACTTCATATTTTAAAGAAAATATCATTTTAGCCAATTAAGATTAATTAATTAAACTAAAGATGAATCATTTTTAAGTAAGAGCTTGTAAATACAAAAAGAAGTGGGATTATAGCATTGAGAAAGAAATAAAGGAATAAAAATAGAGCTATTTAGATTGTTAAATAAACAAATAGATTTTAGTGATTTCACTTAGACTATTGATTTATTATTTCTTATAGTTTTGCTTTACTTAATATACATAAACAATATATATAGAAGAATTTATTTAAATAAATTTTTTGGTGTTTTTCATTTGATAATTTTACAAGAATTAGAAAATCATTTACATTATTTTATAATTAGTCTAAACTAAATTATTATAATATTTCTTAATTGAAACAATAGAATTATTGCTTGAAATATATTATTTTTCACAAAATCTCTCTTTTATATTTTCTGTAATTCAAGATATTTTACTATAATACCTATATTTAATCAAATTATTTAATTTTATGAATTAATCTGATGAGGCTGAAGTAATATCATATACTTTTATAGATAACCCTTTAAGTATGCGATCCAAAAGTAATATCAGGAATAAATAAATATGTTGTTTACACAGTGAAAGGAATGGATAAAAATGGATAATTTGATGTTTAGAGAAGATTTAGTGATTTTAAAACTATTCGGCAATTTCTATTGACTAAATGGCCAGGGTGCTATATACCACCTGTACCACCAAGAAAAGCATTTGTATTAGATTTTATTAAGCGGGTTAGGGTAATATGGAATAATAATTTATTGATGAAAGAAGGCTGATGCTTGAAGATTTTTTAAAGAAAATAGCTACTCTGAAATATTTATGGTATTCAGAAGAGTTTTAGATTTTCTTAAAAACCCCTGGCGAGATTGAAAAAGTATTTTTTGACGTCATAAAAGGCTTTGTTATCTATTCCTAAAATAACAAATGATGAGATTATTAATAAATATCAAGAAACATTTTCAGAATTATCAGGAGTAAGCTAAATATAATTATGTTTAGCGAGAAATTAATAGAGAGATTATTTAGAAAATTAATGATTTTAAAGCATTTATTAAAAAAGTTTAGCCAATGGTATAGAATTTTAAATAAATTGCAAAAAACATTGCAGAAGCTAAATAATCTTATTAAATCTTCTTAATAGATTTCATAATCAGAGTAATTCCATAATATGAAAATAATGTTTTATTGGAAAATGCTGAACAAAAAGAAAAACTTCTATTTGCAAATATAATATAAAATGAAGAAGTTAAAGGTTTAATTGATTAATATGTAATTATTATGATTAATATTCAAGTGTGATCTATTGAAGGATCCTAAATTATATTAGCTATATTAGGAAGTACGAAAAGAAGGGAAATAATTGAAAGTAATTTAATGATACTAAAAAAGGCATTTCTTGAAACATTTTCAGAAAGAGAGAAGTATGAGTTATAGAAATCAAATGCAGAATAGCGATAAAAAGAATTAGAGTTAGAATTGTAAGAGGTCTTAGCAGGCAAGACTACTATTAGAACCTTGTTTAATAAAGGAAAAAAAGAAGAAAATATTATTAAACTTTAATAACAAATTGTTGATGTAGGAAAGGAAATCGAAAGTTATCAATTTATTTGTGACATCCTTACTGTACTTGTTGGGTATGTAGAGATTGATAAGTTTAAAGTGGAAAAGTAGTATCAATATTATAGCATGATTAAGAATATAATTTCTTATTAAATTCATTTGTCAGAAATTGAAGAAAAGGTATGGAGCAAAGTATTGGAAAGTGAATATATGCAATAATGATAATGATTTAATCATATTTATTATTAACCTATTAGGCGATATGATTATTATTTTATTGTTTCCAAACGTAAAGAGCTTTCCTAATACATTTATTATGTGACTTTAATTCTTTCTAATAATTATTGCTCTAATTTTTCTAATTATTCTAATTCATCTTATTTCGACATAGTAGCTTAGAATTCATCCTCTACTTTTTTTTAATAATTTTTCTAAGCAAAAACTTGTTTATCCAACAAAAACTTTTATATTTTCTCTGTTTAAATTTATTCCATTTTTTTAATTCTCTAATATGATCTCTAATTTTCAGCTTCTACTTGTCTAATTGTTTTATGGAAATCTTGTTATATTCTTGTCTTAAACTCTCTTGTCTACAAAATTCTTTATTAAACCCTTAAAATAAATTCAAAAAATACATTTTTCCTTATCTTCCTTTGCTTTAATCTAGAATTTATAAATGTAATTCTCTTTGCTTTTATATCTCTAATTTTCTTTTTTCAATTTATTCTCTCTGTATACGAGCATATCTATCCTTTTGTGTCTCCTTCTCAAATTTGTTTTATTTACTAATGATGATTTTTTGGGTATTTTTTTCAAGGCTTTTAGTCTGATTATTAAAATTAGTATACTTTCAATATATTTCTTTGCTCGGTTAGTTACAATAATTAAACTCTAGCTCGTATTTTTTAAATGTTATCATCTAACAATTTATTTGTTTAATGAACCTCTGGATATCTTTAATTAATTAATTCTGTATTTAACTAATCATACAGTTCTGATTATTTCTATTCGTTATTATTATTTTAGTAATTTTAGATTATAGAATTTGCCCATTCTATTTAACTTTTAACTCCTGAATCAACTTCTTTGAATTCATCTGAATTAGTAACTTACTCAAATATTTTTAGCAAATATTCTTATTGTCCATCCTCTAATTACTATTCAATTGAGTTTAGATTAACTAATATTTACAAACCGCTTTATTCATGGTCTAAAAATTAAAATCTTTAGTCATCTCCTTTACAAATCAGAATCATTATTTTTAATATAAATAATATACACTAAAAATATTTTTTTGATAGTAAAAGTGTTTATCAAATTTCAATAAAGTGAGTTTTCAAAATCAAAATTCGCTTAAAGTTTCAAATTAATTAAATAGCTTTTAGTTGTTTGCTTGCAGTATAATTGTAATATATCCTTCAAATAATCATAAATTCTTGAATAATAAATATAAAGTAATAATATAGATGGGAAGTGATAATTCAAAGGCCAAAGCTCAAAAAAAGTAAAATCCTCCTTAAAATTCTGCCCCAAAGCCACCTCCAAAGAAAAGACCACAAGAGGAGAATGTATGATATATTATTTATGCTACAGAATTGGATGTATGATTTGATTTTACAATATTTGGCATCGCCTATCTGGAGAAACCCAATATCAGACTTTTTGGATGAGCATTGCATCATTTTTGATGATGAGGAAGAGAACAAAATAGTTTACTAAGAAATTCATAAAGTACTAATGTATAAAAAGAAAAATAGAAATTCAAAAATATGATCGAAGCCATGATGGAATAGTTAATGTAGGATATAGGTGTTGATGATGAAGAATACTTAAGAAAAGTAATAGAAATTGGATTGAAAAATAAAAAACATAAAAAGTATTTTGAATAGCTCCTGGTTGTTGAAAATTTCTTAGTTTTCAAAAAATTAATGTTAAAGAGAAATAAGGAATTAGAATATGAAGCATTGAAAGAGTTATAAAAAATTGATGTAAAGATATATTACTAAAAGTTTTAAGGGAGGAAAAAATCTTGAAATGGATCTTAAGGTAAAATAAGCTGAATTGGAAAAAGAGAGAATGTAAATAGAGCATGCTGTTGCTATGTCAATTGCTGTAGAATAAGAAAAGAGCAAATTATAAATTTAAGAAGAGGAAGAACTTTAAGAAGCAATTAAAATGAGTTAAAAACTATTCGAACAATAATGTACTTCATTAGCATCTTTATATAGAATCTGAATTATTGAAAAGTAATATGGAATAACAAAAGTAAATTCATCAATAGCCATCAGCCTCTTAATAATAATAACCTATCGTACCAGATTAAAAGGTGGAATCTGTTTTGATATTTGATGATGAAGTTGCAGCAGAAAAGAATCAATCGAATGTTGTTGAATAACAATAATAATAAATATAAGGAAAGAATGAAGAAAAATAATCAAGACTTAGAGAACCTCTACCCTAAATTGTTTAAGATAAAAAAGAAGTTTTAAGCTTAGCTTAAGAGAGAGAAGCATTGATGAATTAGGGAAATTAATTAAAAGAGAATCTCAAAGAAATAGTATGATAAATAATCAAACATATTAGGAAGAAACATTCAAATAAAATATGAAGAATTAATAAGATTAAGAAACTTTAGAATAAAGGAAATTAAGATTATAATAACAAAGAGAATTAATCAAATAGAAGAAAATGAAAGAAAGAAAAGATGAAATTGAGTAATATAAAGCTGTAAGTATAAAATCTATAATAAGGTTGGTGAATAAGACAAGCCAGCCTAGGAGTTACATGATAAAGAAAAAGGACCTCTAGTTGTTGATATGGTTATAAATATTCATTTATAATAGAATGATTTTGTGGCTGATTAAAAGCGAGCTCAAGAACTGGAACTGAAAAAGTAAGAATTACGAAAGAGAGCAGAACTATTAAGAAAGATCAAATAAGACGCATAATCAGAACAAAGTTGAAAAGTAGATTTATAAAAATAAATAGCAATTATGTTAATTGTTGTAAATACATTTTTTATATTAATTTGTTAACTTTTTGATTCGTCTTGCTAATATCTTACTTTATTTTTATTCCATTTCTTCTGAGAAAAATCTATAATTTTTTTTAGTTATTGCCTGTTTCTGCAATAAATTCTATGAAGTTAATTTAATTTAATTAGGCTTTTTTGACAATCTTCCTTAATGATTACAATAACAGATTAAAACAGGAATATATATAATCTTTTATTTACTCAATTTATAATTCTCCATATTCTTAGTATTAATGATAAATTCTTTTTAATTACATCAAATTATTGGAGAAAAATTTTTAATATATTTGTACTTACTTCCTATCAAATATTAAGGTTTTTAAGAAAAATTTTCCCCCATTTGTAAAAATTATCTTCATTAATCTAAGTTTCTTGATTATAAAATCTTTTGAAAATTAATTTACTTAGTTAATGTCTGAATTAAGGTTTCATCCTCAAGTCTCAGAAAATGAATATCTTTAAAAAAATTTGACTTTAATAAAAGTTATTTATTTATATTTTTTGTTATATTTACAAATTTTTTCAAATTGCACTTTATAACTCAATATCTTCCCATGTTTTTTCCAAATCATTAGAAATATCTTATTCTAATTCTTTATCTAGTTTTTCATTTTTATCAACTAAAACCTCTTCCCTTAAGACTTTTGTATATTCTCTTACAACATAATATACAAGCAAAGCGATGCTAAGTCCTGCGAACATTATTATTCCAAATTCAACATACAAAACACTTTGATTGTTAATTGATCTATTGGAATCGAAAATATCTGAAAATCAATACTATTCAAATACCTTTAATCTTGTGGAATTGTTTTCCAATAAATACAGCTAATACAGTGCTGGGAAACCCAACTATTGATTGAACAATAACAAACGATTTAAAACTCACAGTACTTAAAACTCCCATTCCATAATTCATAATAAGTTAGGGTGTAATACCAGACATTCTCATTAAAAATTACGTTTTATAAGGCTTACGTTGAGTTAACTTTTAAATTGCATTAAAAAATTTGAATTCTTTTAACAATTCTTTGAGAAAAAAGGATAGCTCCTTTCCAATGAAAAAGCTAGCATATTCACCTATCATTTTTGCTGCTGTTACGATTAAAATGGGGGTTAGATAATCTGTACAGGTGTACGCAATCGCAAATTCAAATAGAGCAAATGGCATCATTAATAATATCATTGCTACTCCCAAAATTAGTAGATTTATTCCACTCAGAAAATTGATTTATTTACACTAGATAAATTATCATACTTACTTAATCAAATAATGACAAAAACATTAATTAAACTCCAGGTATATAGTAGATGCAACAAATCAAAAATCCCACTAAGAATAATGGGAAGGCTAATAAAAAATAATAGATTTTCTTAGTATTGACTTGAAAACTTGTGTTATTTTATTATAACATTTTTATTTATGAATAAATTATTGAATATAAAATATAATTTTATCGAATTAGGTAAAGGGATATATTTTCTATGATTAATGAATTACTATTGCAAAACATATATTAATTCAAAAAGGGTATTTAAATGAAAATATTTATGTATATGAAAAACTCATCCTCACAATTCCATAATTGATGCCCCATTTCCAATCAAGTTTTAATAGATTAAATATCTTAGATAATTTATTTATGACTATGCAATTTCAAAGTATTTTTTTTCAATCATTTATTATATCGTTAAATGTTGATTTTTTATAATCTAACTTACGTAATATATTGTGTAAGCTCCACAATCATAAGAATTCTGCTGTTAACTAATCTTACAACTATCATATTATTCTTTAACATTCAATCCAAGTTATTGTAAGAACTAAGTCATTTAAAATAAAACTGCTTTTCGTTTATCTTATAAAGAATCAATTAAATATAACTTTTAACTTTCATAAACTGCTGATAAAAAATGACTTCTATCTAAGTTAAAGTAAAATACTATTCGAATATCTTTATCAATATTTTTTTCAGTTTAATTATCTTTCATTAGATAACTTTGTCCTTAATCATAAATCTAATTGAAAATTCTAGAAAACTAATAGTATAATATGATACTTATGGTTTATCTTCTCATCTTTAGTAACCATGCTTCCAAAAATATCTTAAAATTGACTGCAATTTATAAAATATGTTTTCGTTTTAAGAATACGTATATTTTGTTGCGTAAAGTTTGAATAATTTACCAAGGAGATTAATTAGTTCAACAAAATGTCAATCACACTAGAGTTTATCCACCCGCCTGGTCGAAGAGAAGCTAATTAAAAATTATTTATTCCATATTCATTAAAATTTAACAAATTGCAACTTGGATTTTAACTGGCATAATATTGTTAGATATCTGTGGGAACCTTGTCATATTTGATTCCATTCTTATAATATTCTAATTTACTTCCATTTTTCTCGAATATTTTTTCTCTTTATGTCAAGTCTTTGGCTTTATAATCAATAAAGGGGCCTTGTTTCAAATTTGACTCATATTAGCCTTTCATATATATATGTTAAGGATAATATTCCACAGTATATCCTTCTCCATGTTTTTATCCATTTTTAAATTCTCCATAATAAAATAACAGATCGTTAAGGTATAATCTATTATTTTTTCCATCAAAAAGTCCATTTTTAAACCTTCCTTTAAATAAGATATTTTCAGAACAAGTATTCATAATTCCTTCTGTTTCATTATCAAAATCATACGTATGAGGCTCAAAGTAATCATTCACAGGGCCTTTATATGATATAAAGCCACAATATAATCTTAAATCAGAATTTAAGTTATTCAAATTGCAAAATGAAAAGATTTCATTATTGAAACTTAACCATAAAGGACAAAGATGAAGACTATTTTAAGGAAACCAAAATTTACCTTTGACTCTAATTAATAATTATGATAAATACATATTTCCATTTGGTTATAAAAATAGTGAATAGGATTTTTTGCAATCAATTTTCATAATTTTCACAGAATGTATTTTTTCTTTCCTTAAAGAACTTTAAAATAATCTCTATTCGTTTATTTATTTTTCTAATTATATCTCCCTTTCTTTTTGCTATTTTTTCTCTTTATTTTTTACGGTAATCAAAAGCGCTGAATCCATATTTAAGCAGGCATGAAGTCTTTGGAACTCTTATAAAAATGAATTATCGGATTCAGGTAATTTCAAACCATCTACTTTAGCATCTTTAAGTTCACACCATATTTAAAATATCATTCTAAAGTTATTTTGTAAATTGTTTCCTTATTGTAGGATTAACTTAAGGGCATATTTTTAGTTCAAGATACTTAAATTAGGATCAGCTAAATAAATTGCAAGAATTGTATCTTCATTTTTCATGCCTATAGAATTCATCAAAGTGTTTAATTTTGTTTACTCTTATTTTTTCTTAACCAATAGTAATAGAAATAAAAAAATATGTCTGATTATGTGTGAAAGATTGTTAAATGCTTAATTTTATTTGTTTAAACTAATCTCATCGCGACATTTTCGAAACAACCATGTAATATCTAAAATTTAATGTTCTTATATTGCAGTTGTAACGAGGTTAGTTTGTTATATTGAAAGATTACCAACATCTTTATAAGTGTGTTCATTTTATTCAAATACCCATTGGATATATTCTTGGAATGTTACTTCCACATTTTCTTTCAACCTGTCTTCATTGTTCATAACAAAAATAAATTAATGATAATTTCATTATTAGTAACATTTATATATTATATTCTACAATTAATATATATTTCGTTTCAATAATTCCATTCCGATTTTAATATGCTATTTCATCTTAACTTATGTTAGAATTACAAATAATCAGATAAATTAATTTAATTTCTAATCAATTTTCTTATTTAATTTAATAATTTTTGCTTCATCTATTTCAAATTAAAAATTGTTTTATCATTTTTCAAAATATTTCTTTTATAACATTTTCGACCCCCATATTGAAGATTTTGAAGATTCAAAAACAAATAAGGAAAGAGGTAATAATTATTTTTTTAAGAGTTCACATCATAAAACACTTGAAAAATGAGAGAAGTTATATCTATTCATGTTGGATAAGGAGGTATCCAAGTAGGAAATGCATGCTGGGAATTGTTTTGTCTCGAACATGGAATTCAGCCTGATGGATAAATGCCATCAGATAAGACAATAGGAGGAGGAGATGATGCTTTCAACACCTTTTTTTCAGAAACAGGTGCAGGAAAGCACGTTCCAAGATCTGTGTTTTTGGATTTAGAGCCCACAGTAATTGATGAAGTCAGAACAGGAACTTATAGATAATTATTTCATCCTGAGTAATTGATTTCAGGAAAGGAAGATGCTGCCAATAATTTTGCAAGAGGACATTATACTATTGGAAAAGAAATCGTTGATTTGTGCTTAGACAGAATTAGAAAATTGGCCGATAATTGCACTGGTCTATAAGGATTCTTAGTATTTCATACAGTAGGTGGAGGAACAGGATCTGGACTTGGATCATTGTTATTGGAGAGATTATCAGTTGACTATGGTAAAAAATCCAAATTAGGATTTACAATATATCCATCTCCACAAATTTCAACAGCTGTTGTTGAGCCTTATAACTCAATTTTATCAACTCATTCTTTATTGGAGCATACAGATGTATGCGTTATGTTAGATAATGAAGCCATATATGATATTTGTAGAAGAAACTTAGATATTGAAAGGCCAACATACACAAATTTAAATAGATTAATTGCTTAAGTTATCTCATCCTTGACTGCATCTTTAAGATTTGATGGGGCATTGAATGTAGATATTACAGAGTTTTAGACAAATTTGGTTCCCTATCCTAGAATTCATTTTATGCTTTGTTCATATGCACCTATCATTTCAGCAGAAAAAGCTTATCATGAATAATTATCAGTAGCTGAAATTACAAATTCAGCATTCGAACCTGCAAATATGATGGCCAAGTGTGATCCAAGACATGGTAAATATATGGCTTGTTCAATGCTTTATAGGGGAGATGTTGTTCCTAAAGATGTCAATGCTGCTATTGCTACTATAAAAACTAAAAGAACAATATAATTTGTTGATTGGTGTCCAACTGGTTTTAAAGTTGGTATAAATTATTAACCACCAACTGTGGTACCTGGTGGGGATTTAGCAAAAGTAATGAGAGCAGTTTGCATGATTTCTAATTCAACAGCCATAGCTGAAGTATTTTCTAGATTAGATCATAAATTTGATCTTATGTATGCCAAAAGAGCATTTGTTCATTGGTATGTGGGAGAAGGAATGGAAGAAGGAGAATTCTCAGAAGCAAGAGAAGATTTAGCGGCTCTTGAAAAGGACTATGAAGAAGTCGGAATTGAGACAGCTGAAGGAGAAGGCGAAGAAGGTGAAGCATGATCGATTAATAATTTTATCATATAAATCCTAATATTAATGAAAAAAATTTTACTATTTAAATGAGAGAAATCATTTCATTTCATTTTGGCCAATCCGGAGTTCAATTAGCTCATCCACTTTGGGAATTATATTCATTAGAACACGGTATCAATTTAGATGGATCTGTTCCTAATACTTCTGAATCCTCAGATAAAGACACAAATCGAAATATATTATTTTCTGAAACTCAAAATGATTGCTATGTACCATTGGCTTACTTGGCTGATGATGATTGTTAAGGTATTGATCAAATTAGAAATGGCTAACTTAAATAATTGTTTTCAACTAAATTTCTTTAAGAATTTTAAGAAGATTCAGGAAGTCTTTGGATTTCAAGTTATAAAAGTGCTCAAGCATCAGAAATTTTTAAAAATCAAATTCGATAATTATTAGATAAATGCGATTCCTTATAAGGAATAATGATATATCATTCTGTTAGTGGTGGTTTTGGNTGAATGTAGATATTACAGAGTTTTAGACAAATTTGGTTCCCTATCCTAGAATTCATTTTATGCTTTGTTCATATGCACCTATCATTTCAGCAGAAAAAGCTTATCATGAATAATTATCAGTAGCTGAAATTACAAATTCAGCATTCGAACCTGCAAATATGATGGCCAAGTGTGATCCAAGACATGGTAAATATATGGCTTGTTCAATGCTTTATAGGGGAGATGTTGTTCCTAAAGATGTCAATGCTGCTATTGCTACTATAAAAACTAAAAGAACAATATAATTTGTTGATTGGTGTCCAACTGGTTTTAAAGTTGGTATAAATTATTAACCACCAACTGTGGTACCTGGTGGGGATTTAGCAAAAGTAATGAGAGCAGTTTGCATGATTTCTAATTCAACAGCCATAGCTGAAGTATTTTCTAGATTAGATCATAAATTTGATCTTATGTATGCCAAAAGAGCATTTGTTCATTGGTATGTGGGAGAAGGAATGGAAGAAGGAGAATTCTCAGAAGCAAGAGAAGATTTAGCGGCTCTTGAAAAGGACTATGAAGAAGTCGGAATTGAGACAGCTGAAGGAGAAGGCGAAGAAGGTGAAGCATGATCGATTAATAATTTTATCATATAAATCCTAATATTAATGAAAAAAATTTTACTATTTAAATGAGAGAAATCATTTCATTTCATTTTGGCCAATCCGGAGTTCAATTAGCTCATCCACTTTGGGAATTATATTCATTAGAACACGGTATCAATTTAGATGGATCTGTTCCTAATACTTCTGAATCCTCAGATAAAGACACAAATCGAAATATATTATTTTCTGAAACTCAAAATGATTGCTATGTACCATTGGCTTACTTGGCTGATGATGATTGTTAAGGTATTGATCAAATTAGAAATGGCTAACTTAAATAATTGTTTTCAACTAAATTTCTTTAAGAATTTTAAGAAGATTCAGGAAGTCTTTGGATTTCAAGTTATAAAAGTGCTCAAGCATCAGAAATTTTTAAAAATCAAATTCGATAATTATTAGATAAATGCGATTCCTTATAAGGAATAATGATATATCATTCTGTTAGTGGTGGTTTTGGAGGAAGTTATGCATCCTATTTATTATAAGAATACGAGGATGACTTTTCAAAAGTAATAAAATCAACAGTTTCTTTACTTTCATCAGATGAGAGCTCAACATCGACAATTGTTGAGCCTTATAACTCTGTTTTCACAATCAATTAGTTGAAATAATTCTCTAACTTTAACATCTTTGTTGATAATTCAGCACTTTCTAAGGTCTGTGAGCATCAATTAGATATGGATTAGGCTAATTTCGATATTTTGAATAGAATGATTGCTTAGATGATAGCATCTATTACTTCTACATAAAGACTCAATGCTGAAATGCTTATAGATCTACAAGATATAAATTAAAATCTTGTTTTACTGCCAGAATTATAATTTTTACACACTTCTTATGCTCCTTTTATTTAAAAAGACAAATAAAATACTTTTGGTGTAAATTTAACTTAAATTTCTTAAGCACTGTTTAGTGAAGTAGGGTCATTTATAAAATGCCCTCCAAAACCATCATAATATTTTGGAGCAAACTTATTTTATCGAGGAGATTGCCCTTACTCAGAAATACAAACCACTATAAATGAACTTAAGTCCTCTAAATCCATTAATTTTGCAGATTGGGTTCCTCTCAATTATTAAGTTGCCATGTGCTCTAAAAGTACAATATAATTTCAAAATACAGAATTAGGAAAAGTAAATAAAACTGCTTGTTTAGTAGCAAATTCAACGCGTATATTAAATCCTTTAAAGAATATTCATTCAAGATTTAAGAGTTTGTATTAGAAGAAGTGTTTTCTTCATTGGTTTCTAAAGAACTCTATAATGGATGAATCATAATTTGTGAATGGTTTAGAATTCTTTTCCTCTTTGATTTTAAATTATGAATAGTCAATATCACAAGAAAAAATTTAAGAAAAATAAAACAAAGAAGAAGCTGAAATCATTAAATGATAATAGATAGGAACTGATTTATTTGTGTTAATCATTGTTAATCTTTATGTTTAGTAAATATTTTGAATTCTCAAATTAATTGCTGTTTTGTACTCCAAGTTTATAAATGAAATTCTTGAGGTAACTTTAGTAGTGGTTTAGAAAAATTAGTTTTAATTTAAATAGCTGGCTGTGAATACTATTTCTAATTGAATTTATTTTAGAAAGTAGATTTCAATTATTTAACGTTAGTATAAGCTATTTACTATTATTCATTTTAATTTTTTTCAATCCTTTCTTCATCAAAATTTAACTATTTTCCAAAACTCCAATTTTGTTAATTTATGGTATGTGAAGAAAAACATTAAAACACCAAATTAGATTCATCTTGAGTTTAAGTAGTTTCTTTAGTTTCTATTCTGTGTTTCAAATGAGGCTAAGGAGTTTTAATCTAAGGCAGTCTTGAAATTTATGAGGTGACCTTTTTTGTTTCTACTGATTTTGGAGGTTATTAATTTGGCAATTATTAAAGTCTTGGAGAATTTAAATTAGATATCTTTTATGGCTGAGCTTGGGATTCTAAAAGCTAATTTATTATTTTCTGTTTTTTTTCATTTTCCTCCAGCAATTTTTCATTCTATTTTGATAAAAACTCTATCCAATCTTTTTAATCATAAGGAGACTATGCCCTTGGTGAAACCAATTATTATTATACTTAAGGAATTAGTTTCCTATGATATGAATAGTTTTTAATTAATCCTAGTTTATGGTGACTTTCAATTTCTTATTATTTTAACAATTTCTATATTTAATAAAATGATACTGTGTTTATTTAATATTCTAAATGTTTTTTTGAATTTTCCAAACCTTCTTCGAAATCTTGTTTTTCAAATAACTGTATTTTCTATCTGTGATCGATGTTATTTTATGATTACTCCTAAAAAATTAATAGTTCCTATATGGTATTAAATTTTTACATGTTTTTGATTGCTTTATACTAATTTAAACTGCCTGTGATATAATTTCATTACTATTGAAGAAATTTTATTGTTAATATAATTTAATATTAATTCATACTATAAAATGTGGAATAAACAGAAAAAAAGTTAAAAATGAAGAAATTATTTTGAAAAAGTTCATTAAGAACATGTAATCATTTAAGTTTGAACTATTTTTTATACATCAAAGTAGTCTCTATAAGTTGGATCATTTTAAGTTTTTAATTTTCCAAATTTTGAAGGATGGTTATGACTTCCCCAAACTCCCCTTTTAATAAATCCTCTCTTAACCAATGTATGATAGCTAGGGCAATATAATTCAATAATTCGTTCTTATCATCCAGTTCACACAAAATGTGATCCCACAAAATAATTGTGTCATAGAGCTTAAATTCTTTAGTAAAAACTGTCATAAACCATTTAGACATAAATAATTTTGGGTCAATTTTAATTTTCTAATATATTATATAAAATTACAAGCATATGATCATACAGTCGAAAGTCATGTTTTTTTATTATTTCTTAAACAACTCTTATTTTGTTTTATATAAATCCATTACAAATAGTAGCATCATCTTTTGAGAAAAAATTATATCTAAATTAACTCAATAAAATTGTAAAACAAAAAAATGTGTCTACTTCCGCCTAAGATCTCAATAGTATGCTGTCGTCATTAATAAAACAATAGTATAATATTGCAACTAGTTCATTCATGCCTTAAATGTATTACCCATTTAATTTAGTATAAATAAATAAAATTCTAGTTAATACATCATAATTGTATTCCGTATCAACTCTCTTTTATCTGAGGATAGCAACTTAATCCTATATATAAAGTTTTTTTACATCTTCGAATAAAGAAGCTTCTTAATTTTCTATGTGAAAAAATCCTTCTCTTTATCGAGTTCTTTTAGTATCATTTTCAATTGTTTACCACAGATTAAAATCTTCAAACCGATTGTTATAAGAAGAATCTTTGGAGCGATTTAGTGGATGATCATTTTAAGCTGGCTATTTATTATTTCTTAATGTTGACAAAATGTGTTCATCAACTAAAGCTACATAATTTTTTTTATTAGTTTCTAATCGATTAATCCATTATTTTTTTGAAGGTGTCAAATATCTCTTGATATATCTTTATTAAATACCCTAGTAAAATTCTCCAAGTTACTCCTCTTAATGCTTTGCATTCATCGTTAATTCCATTTATAATTAATTAAGAAAGTTTATTAAGATCAATTAAATCTGCTTGCATAATTTTTAACCATTCGCTAAAGATTGAAATAGACCCTTCACTCACGCTTTTCATAGATGAATAGATGTATTCAAATTGACAGAGATCCATGTAAGGATCCACTTTTTTTTAAACTTACTCTCCCTACCCAATGGTCTATAGGTTGGATTTTTAGTTTGACTAAATTTAACAAAGTTGTTACCATAAATGGAAATATTGTTTCAATAATTTTTTTTCCAATCTTGTCTTTTTTTTTCTTTTTTTAATCCATGATTTCTAATTAAAATAATTTATATCTTCTCATTAATGTTAACAAAAATAAAAAATACAATTGACTCACATAGTTCAAGTCTTCATAGAAAATGATCAAAAGGATGTAATTCAAAATTACTGTTATAAGTCTTGCCATTTCTTTTCCAAATTTTAGGATCCTTTCGAATTGATGGAGGGAAAATATAACTGTATAATAATTATTATTGAATAATTTAAATTAATAATGTTCATTCAAATTGTAAGAACTTTTTCAATTATTGTTCAATTGGCTTAAAGTCTACATTTAAGAAGTCTTCTAATGAATTCTAGTTTTTTAAGAAACACCTATAATTTGACAGGAATGCTTTGAATAAATATTAAATTTATTTTTATTTATTTAATGGGTAACCAACAAGAAAAGGAATAGTCAAGAGAATTCTTAGAAAGAAAACTTGATCCAAATTATGGAGAAGTAGCTGTATATTTAGATAAAAATACAAACCTTACTTTTACTGAAATTAAGCATGTGTTATCATCTGATATCGATGCAGCAGCTTTGAAATAAAGTATTACCAAAAGGTACCAAAAAATGAATATTAATAGATAATCATTGAATCACAGATGTTTAATAAAAATCAAGAAATATGAGAATGGAGAGATAGATGACTTGTGTAGTTCATTTATGGTTTTATCAATAACAGTTGAATACTACAGTGAATCGTTATAGAATGATATTAAACAAAGAAAGATACACAAGACAACTTATAATGAATAAGAGCTTAAATATATTATTTTTGAGATTTCAAATGTTTGTCAGTATATGAAGGATTTGAAATACGAAATCCAAGACATTCATCCTTAAAAAGTTTTAATTGACGAGAATAGAAATATCAAATATTTTGATCAATTTCTAGAGACGCAAAAGATTAATAATTATTTCCAGATTCTCTTTGGTTTAAGAGATTTGGAATATATTGCGCCTGAATAACTAGTATTATTAAAAGGAGAAATCAGAACTGACAATACGGATTAAGAATTAGTGAATGTGTTTTGTTTAGGCCTTTTGGTTGTTAGTTTAATGAGTGGCATTAGATGCGTAGAATTTTATAATTAGGATACATTAGAATATAAAAGAGATTTCGTAACTTAAATACTAGATAAATATTGTTTGAAGCATCAGTTTTCTAACTTCTTTAAATAATTAGTTATAGCTATGTTAAAGTTTCATCCATAAGATCGTCATAATTACTTATAAATTTTAGATTAGCTTCAACAATAGTCAGACAGTTTTGCCCATTTTTTGAATCCCCCAGGAAGATAGAAAGGTTAAAATTATTATACTTTTAGAATTCTTAGAATCATAATTTAATTCTTTTCATACCCAAGGTTCAGCCATTAAGTCATAAGTTTATTCAGCTACAGCCTATGATTTTAATGAAATAGATTAATTTATTAAGTCAGCAAGATAAAGAGCATAAACAACTTTAGATGAAGTTGGGTTAGACCTCAAACTGAATGCTTTCAAAGGTAGCCAGATTACAATTATTGATCAGACAGACTGATATTTTATATTGTCAAAAGAATTTATAATAAATGATGGATTAATTTTTTGAACCATTAATCAATCATTTTATAAACTTAATTTGTTTACTTGACCAAAAATGCTGACTGTTAAATTTTAACTTTACTTTGTAATCACTATTATCAATCAATTATACTAGAAAGGATAAACAAAGACCTATTCCAAAATAACAACCCAATCTTATTAAAAATTTAGAATCTTTTCACAATTCCTATAAATTAATTGTATTAATGTGCGAACTACCTTTTTACTATATTCTTTAAGTTTTGTTATTTTCTTAAAATCTATCCCAGAAGTTATTATTTAATAAAATTCAATAATAAAATTCTTTTGATTTAATCATTTTTTCAAAAATTAATATTTGAATAAAATTTAATTATTTCATAACAATTTCACTCTGATTTAATTATAAAAGGAATCTTAATCATATGGTTTTAACATCCAAAACTAAAAAGGGATAAGAAGATGATTCGTAAATTAATTCATTAATTTAATACAAATAATAAAATAAATAAATCTCATTAAATCAATTTAAGAGATTTATTAATATGTTTCTTGAAAACTGCTCCTAAATACAAAATTAAAAATCCTACTTTAAAATTAAAACTAAAATTCCTTTCATTAACCCACAAGATATTATCTCTATATTTGAAATTGGATATTAATGATACATTTAGTGACTTAATTTTGTTAGATTTAATGATAAATATTAATAAATCTATAACTTATCTATAAATTCAATTAATTATTAATAGCTTTCTTCAATTTTAGAATATTTAAAACATCTCAAAAAAAGGATCCAAACATTTAAAGAAAATTTAATTAGAAAAATTGAGCAAAAAATAAGAATAATATATATTTAATGAGTTCCATCTTTATATTTTGACTCTCTAATTATGGATAAGAAAATCTTAAATTATTTATTTGATTATTATTTTAAAAAGATATACTTGATTCACCTTAAAATATTATTTTTAATTATTTAGACAATGAGGATGATTGATGCCTTTTTAGAGAGAGAATTGTTAGATTATATTCATTTCAACACGATAAAGTATATTTTATTTCAATAGTATTCAGATAATCTTTAATTACTCCATTTAAAAAAATAACAGAAGTCTATAGAGCTCTTTTGAAGAGAGGTAATTTAAATCTTGAATAATCTTTTCTTCATAAGTTAAAGAAAATGCACGATACAAGAAAGAAAATAACAAAATATCATATGTCTAGAGAAAGATAAGGATCATCCCATTTGTTATAATTAATATTCAACCTGTTTATGAAGATATAAGATCTTTTAAAAATCTAATTCATCCAATATATAACAAGAATTGATGTTTAACTTAAGAACTTGGTTGAGAAAATCCAATAAGAATACCTTTTTAATTAGAGGTAATTTTGTTTGTGGCTATTGGAAGGGTTGTGAGTTTGATTATTTTGATATTATTGGATTGAATTTGGATAGGGCATAACAATTTAATCACAAACAGAAGAAAGAACACCATGAAATGAAGAAATTTTATGGTCATGATGGACTTGTTTCATCAGTTTGTTTATCTCGTGAAGGTAAAACTTTAGCATCTGGCGTAGGTAGTATTTTTAGAGGTAGTGATAAGTCTATCCGTCTATGGGATGTCAAAACAGGATAATAAAAAGCCAAATTAGATGGTCATACTAGTACTGTCAACTCAGTCTGTTTCTCTCCTGATGGAAATACATTAGCTTCTGGTAGTGTAGATAACTCAATCCGTCTATGGGATGTCAAAAACAAGTATTTTTCAGATTATAGATTTAAAGAAATTTAGGTTAAAAATGCAAGATATCCTTTTTTTAACACACTTTTGCAGAAAAATAATATATATATAATTTAGATACATCTAATAATATGGTTTACCCAAACTTCAATTTTTATAGGTTTGAGAGAGTTTTTTATAAACAACCCTTTCTTTTTAAGAGAATTATTGGGGTAA